AGTACCTGATGGCGACTGGTTTTGTGAACAGTGTAAGCCGAAAGAGAAAACACCGCGTAAACGCAGGAAACTTTACACGGAAGAGAGTATGGAAGAGCCAGGGGATGAAGATAGGTAAAACAAGAATTTTAACTCTTAGATGTAAATTTTAGTAACACAAATGCTTCACTAATTTCTGGTCTGGATTTGAATCTTGGCAAAATAATTATAACATGTGGAAAGACTTCCTAGAAGATAAAAACGCTTGGCAATAGTTCTAGTTATATTGTTATTGTAATTTGTTTTGTTATCTTTGAAATGTTGTGAATTTTGTTGTTTTGTTTTTGTTGTTGAAGATTTTTATTATTTTTACTTATGTAACTTTAATGTCGTTGTCGTTTAGGACATTTTCCTTTGAATAATTGTAATGTAGAGAGAGGGTAAAACTTGCTGAGTTTCTTGCCCGTTCTTCTCGGAATAAGGCCTCCTGGTAGTTTTTCGAACGGATGGCGTAGTCTTGCTCTTTCGCCAATTTTGTTAAAGTTTTTGACATTCATAAGCATGCCCTACGACGCATCTAAATTGAATAAACGTAATTTGATTTGAGACATTAGAGTTTATATACAGATATTACTTAAAGTGGGTTACTAACGAAATACATTTAAAATGGTGTCACAGAACTTATGTCTAACCTTTAGAAAATTCGTTATAATATATATGTATTATTTTTAATTATTATTAACAAATGTTTCAGCGACGAAGACCTTTCCCTCGGTGTATGCGCCACTTGCGGTAGTGGGGGTGAGTTGGGTGCCACTTGCGTCGCCTGTTCCAACAGGTACCATATGGAGTGCGCTCAGCCGCCCTTAGCCCGAGCTGCCAAGAGATGGACCTGCGCCGAGTGCCTGGCGCCTCCTCAATCACGAGGTATTTTATATTAATTTATTTTTTTTAGTTGCCCACTTGTGTTAGTAAAGTGGTCTTTCCCTTAGTACGGAACAACATTTATATTTCACTTATTTTTGTTCCATATATCGGAATCCTGATCTTAAAATTGTTGGAGGTTACAAAAAATCTTGCTCGGGCAAATTTAATTCAATGGCATATGTTGCTTATACTATGCTGTATTTTTTGCTTTGTATTTAGTATGAGGCTAAATGTAAACTTGATTAAGTCCCAGCTTCACTAGTGCGATTATGTATAATATTTAATTGCTGTACTTAGTTTTAAAGCTAATAATATAATAATTTGTAAAGCCCCGGCGTTCCGCCGTCGTTGTGCGGCCGCGGCCATGTCTTCGATACAGCAGTACGCGCGCAACTTGCACAAGCGATCCTACTCGACGGGTTTGTTGCCCAGTTCTATCACTCGCTTATCTCCTGGTACTTCATTTGACATTTTCATTGGGTGTATCATCATTCTTCAGCATTCAGCCTAACATCTCTTTTCTTCCTGCTTACCATTGCTAATCTCCTGGTATCACAATGTCATTTGCCTATACTTATTCTCGTATTTTTTTGTTATTTATAACTTTTATTTCGCTATGGCGTTAACATATCTAAATTTATTTTCCATCCTTTTGCTGTTTTTAGTTTATAATTTGTCGTTTAAAACAGTCAGTTTTTGGGATGCTGTTGTTCATTATGAAAATGTATATTCCTCTATAGTCTGTCCTTACTCTACAGTTGACAATTCGATTGCGTATGCGCATGCTTTCCTTATTACTTTCAGCCATTAAGCTTAATTTTAATTAACTCGTAAACGTAATGTAAATATAATTTATTCAATTTCAACTTTTTATTAAATAACTTTTCTATGTACTGCAATCCAGTTGCGTAAAAATTCTTAAAGGAAAAAAAACTAAAGCTGGTATTTGATAAAATAATATAAAATGTTGTTTCTAGATTCAGAAGATAGTGAATTTAATACGGCTTTAGTAAGATTAAAGTCAAAGCGATCAAGGGGCAGCAAAGAACCTTCGCCAATGGCTAATGGAAATAATAGACGAAGCAGAAAGTGAGTTGCCCTACACAAATATTATATAAATCCATTAGGATCTTTATCTTTCTGTAACATTCTATTACTTTACTGCATTTACATAATTTCCAGCAAGATTTATGTTTTATTCATTTAATTCAAATATTGAAATAACACTGTAATGTAAAGACAGGGTAAAACTATACTTAAACTACTAACAACATACCTTATTTTCAGATCAAAGGAAGATTTTAATGGAAGTTTAACTAAAAGAGGAAAGAATTCACTTACTAATGGTTTACATGGTGAGTTTATAAAGTTTTTAGATGGATAGAAAATTCAGTGGTGCACAGCCGGGAATCGAACCTCTACGGGAATGAGAGTTGCACGCTCTAGCTTTTAGGCTAGTACGGATCTTGTATTACTATACCTTTAATTTTTTTTGTTAAATTTATTATTAAATTTTCAGATGATTCCAGCAATAGAAAGAGAAGAGGGAAACACGATGTGAAACTGCACACTGACGAATTACAACATTTGTTGAGAGATGCATTAAAACACAAGGACAGCTGGCCTTTCTTTGAACCAGTGTCTATAGATGATGTAAGATTTGTATTGAGTTTAATCACATCAACATTTACACCCTATTTCAACATATTTTACCTTTATGCTTTAAAACTCCTCCAGCTTTGACACATATTAATCCCTAAATTATGAAAATTAGAAGATCCAAAAGAATAAGTAACAATTAAATTATTTTTAATTGTAGGTCCCTGACTATCTAGATGTCATAACCACTCCAATGGACCTGAACACAGTAAAACAGAAGCTAGAAGATGGACAGTACACAAAAGATGAAGAGTTTCTCTCAGATGTAGCGCTGGTCTTCCATAACTGTTACACATACAATCAGGAAACACATCCAGTGGCTAAGTAGGAGTATTTCTATTATGGGAAGAGAATAACTCATAAAATTAACGAGATATTTTCTAAGTTCATAAACTTTTAGTATTGTTCCTATAAAAAAGTAACTTTTTGTGGTTTGTGGACGATTTTAAATATTTTAATACTTTTTGAAAGATGAAAATTTTATTTTGTAAATAGTTTTTAAAAGGGGCGTAAACTGTACGTCATAAGCATGTAAATATTTATGTATTCAATTACTCAACTCTGCAGGGCTGGATACCGGTTGGAGAAATACATAATCAAACGCTGTCAGGAACTTAATTTACCACCACTACCTGAAAGTAATCCTGATGATGAAGATGACGTACCACTAAAGAGGAGTCTACCAGAGAGCGATGAAACACCTCAAGCAAAGAAAGCAAGGCGATAGTGTGTTTTAGTGAACTTGAGTATTTAGTGAAATCAATAAAAGTGGAATCTTATTTAAATCCTGAATTTTTAATAAAAAAGAATTCTGTTGAAGACAGATGATGTAGAGCATCTGTAATTGTGCTTTCTTATAATATCAATGCCTGCAGGAAGAACTTGTATAACAATTTCCATTTATAACACAAGTAATCGAAGTACAATTAGCACACATACTTCTTAAAGCTTGTTATGTTTTTTTTAAAATAGATATTAGAAGTATACACTTGGTAAAACACTGGTTTGACAAATTTATAGATTTATTTGCTTTTGCAGGTCAAAAGGTAATAGGCATTTAGGAGTAATAATGCTGTGATAACTCCACAACCAAATATTGCTTATAGTAATTATGCTAGAAGTAGACAAATGAACAATTTATTGTATATGTGAAGCCAATTATTTTTTCCTTCGAAGGCTTAAATTGATTATTCGAATTGTTTTAGGTTGGGCTTCAAAACACAATAGAAATGTAAAGATTGCTTAAGGGATGCCTTATAAATGTAAAAATTGTAAAGTTAGTATTAATATTATACTTGAAAGTAACATGGCTTTTGACACATTCTTAATTATAGTTTTGGCAAAGAATTCATAAGTGAAAGCATGGTGTAACTCAACATTTAAACCAAGGTGTGTTACCATACTGTTTAACAGCAGTATAGTTCTCGTTTCTTAAAATTTTAAAAAATATACTTTAATACATTGTGGTAATATTTGTCAACATTTCTTTACAAATTGTTAGAATTCACATTTAAATCACAACTTTTTTTGCCTTAATACTCAAACAGGCTAGTCTGCCTTAAATACCATAAAAAAAGATTTAACTTATCAGTAATGTGATTTATGTGAATTTAAGTAACAATTTTTTTTTAATAATTACTATGATGCTTTAGGTGTGTACTACTTTAATTAGTGATTTAATGTCTGTTATAGATTTATGTTGCTTTTGTTAAGGAATTTAAATATGCTTAACTTATATACTTTTTGTACAAACGGCTTAACCTTTTGTGGAGATTAAAGTAAAATTGTTTTTTTTACTAAATTAATGGTTTTAAGATTGTCAGGCTTATTTAACATTCTTTTATAATGATTAAACTTAAAATGCTGTCTGACAAGGCATTGTTTAATTGCTCATTCCAATGTTGTTAGAACATGTTTTGTTTTTAAATTTTATTAATAAGCTGTTCAGTATTTTTATAAGATCCTTTTAGAAGTTAACTTGAATTCATGATAAATCTACATTCCCAATGAAACACTGTATTATGTTAATTTTCAATTTGTTTCACTTTCATTATAATTTTTCTTGCTTTATTTATTGATGTCATTATACTGTTTTTTTTTAATTTATACTGTAGTAAATAAAGATTTGAAAATATTTGTGTAGTTTTCATTTTCAATAAATATATTGATGTTGTTATTTAATTTGGTATAATTGTAATTTTGCAGCTTTAAGCAGGTGTAAAATTACTTGTATGTACCAATATATTGTTACCATGCATTGACAAAAATAAGACTAAAAATTGTCACTTATTATTTGATCAACTCTCAATGCTTACCTACTTGTAATATGAGTTTGTATAGGTACTTGTTTCTATACTTGTATAATTAAACAAACATATAACTATTACATGATTTTATTACACTTATTAATAACAATTATTGGTTTCAACATCAATTCAGTGGTGTGCTTCAGCTTCCTTCCTTCGCTTTTCAGCCCACTGTGCTACATTCTCTGGAGAGTTGGCTGTAAATAATTATTAAATCTGTAGGACTAGCCAGTTCAATAATTATAGGTATATCACTTACCTATGATTTATACAAATAATTAGTTGAAAACATTCAAACTGCACAAAAATTACAAAATTTAAAACTACACAAGTAAAGCTATTATTAAATTATTGAATAATATAATAGTATAGAATTAAATTTTGTAATATATAGTAAATACTTACAAAGCTTGTGGATCTTGTAAAAGATAGGAATGGAAAGGACTACTCCACCAGCCAACCAATAACGCCAGATCCACTGATTCTGGAAATAGTATTTCAAAGGGAACTGCGCGATCTTAGCAGTGAGAGTGTACGGAAACTTCATCGGGCGTGCTGGAGTCTCGGACATGATGTTGATGAGCTATGATAGGATAAAAAAACATTATGTAACTTGGTTGTGAAAACCTCGGGTAATAACAACGCCAATGTAACGTATATTTGGCACATAATTAGATTTAGCTATACATTTAGAAACGTTTATAAATATTGAAATAATATTAAGATTATACACATATATAAATTTAAAAAAATATTCTAACCTGTTCTGCTTCGATATTCGATAGTTTTGCAAATTTATAAAAATTAATGTAGATATTACATTGACTTATCTAGTACAGGTAATAGTGAAGTGAGCACAGAGCATAACAGTGCTGCCAGACACGACTGGCGATATCAGAAATTTCGAAAAATATTTTCAGAAATTAAATCAAAAAGGTTTTTTTTTAATGATTTAAATAATTGTAATATCTTGAAAGATTGGCAATTGCTTTCACCTCAAGATTAATAATTATTTAACATATCACTTGCACTTAAGCTTGCTTTATTTAAATGTTCAAATAAGCAGTGTCAATGTCCATTTAACAATTTACAATGGTTGGTCGTCTTGCCATGCTCATTGACTGACTCATGACTTTCTAGTCTGTGTATGACAATTTTCTTAGTGTCCGTCATTACTTTTTTCTTTTACACATTTGAAATTTTCAGTCTTGCTGTGTGACTGTGATGGTGATATTATTATTATTGTGTCAAATAGCAAGAAACAATGTTTGTAATATAAATGAATATTGTAAAATGTGATATTGTTATTGGGTGATTTGGTTTAAAAGTTTAAGATCCAAAAGTGTTTGTCATTTACATACGGGGTATATAATGTGTTACAATGGCTTCGGTAAAAGTAGCTGTAAGGGTTCGCCCGTTCAATCAAAGGTAAGAAATTAGTCATGAAAACCATAACAAATGTATGGTTTTTTTTGTTTCTATTACATTGTTTGTTAAATTTATTTCAAACCTAACTTAGTGCGTAGTATATAAACTATAGTATCTTACGATGTGAGTGCTTCTATTGTTACGGGACATTATTTTGAAAGTACAAAAAGGCAATGATGTCACTCGAAGGCTTTCACGGTTCGTTTGCATTTAGATCTCGAACTGTTTTTTGGTTGTTGAAAGTATACAAATATGCAAAAAGCTTGACCTACTACTTCCAACTACACGTAACATTTTTAAAAACAAAATTTATTTCAAAAATTATAATTAATTTTTAAAATGATAACGATTTAAATGGATAAATAATGTTTATCATTGCTTATATTTGACAAATTTTACTACTCTATTGAAATTCTAAATAAAGTGTAATAAGGAGTGATGTATCAATAATAAAAGCTCTATTTATATCATACATGACTAATTAATAAAATTTAGATTTTGCATTGGAATTTTTTGTTGTTTCATCATATTATAAAGAATTATTCTTTGTTATGATTGTTTACCAATACTCAGCATACTTCCATTTGTTTCACTTATCACAATTCAATGATTCATAAATTTTGTGAGTCCAATATATATATACTTGATCCAGAGTCCAATATACTTGATTTTGGAATACTTGAATTTTGGTCATTTTGCATATGGTTGGTGGACTCAGTTTCCACACTTAGACTCATAATCGGTCAGTTGTGCGTAGGTCATTATGCATATTATTATTACTTTTAATATTGATTTTCAAACTTCACTACTTTGAAGATACACCATGTTATAACATAATTTTGTGTTTAGTTGTTTAAAATTTGTATTTGAAACATATAACAAATAAATAGCTTTTAAATCATTATATTAGATTATAATTAATTATTTGAAATAAATAATCAACTATACATAGGTATTCAACTTTTATTTTATTTTCTTACTTCAGACATAAATAACATGTAGTGTACAATTGTAAAACTAATTCAAAACCACACCCTCCAAAGAATTAATTAAATTCATGCAGTGCAGTATTTTCTATCTATTGTTTTCTTGCAGAGAGAAAGACATGAATGCAAAGTTAATAGTACAAATGGATGGGAAAAAGACAAGATTGATGACGGTAAAAGTAAGTATTCTAGTTCTCTGTGCATGGATTGTAAACAAAATAAAATATTATATTATTCTAAAAACTAGTTGAAGCTTATAAAAACTGACAGCCAACAACATGTATATTATTATAAGTTATCCTTAGTTCCGATCCGGATTCTATTTGTCTCTATATAAATATATGTTTATAGATACAATAATTAAAGTAGCATCAAAAAATTGTTTTATCAGTTAGCAACACAATTAGTACGGTATATTTGTATTGTAATAAGATTATTTGCGGTTTATAAGTCTCTTGCACTGTTGGGCTACAATAAATAAAATATTTGGTTAAAGGTAACTAAAAGATGATATATATTTCCCTGTTAAAGATTTATATCTACACAAATGTCAACTTGCTGTATCTCACTACAAAAAGCTTGACTGAATTCTGTACATTAAAACTGCAGAACTGCAATTTGTATGCATGTTATCAAATTTACTGGTGTATTGTTGATAACCTTGAGACGTTAGTACATTTAAATGTTTTACGTAATATCCAGCGGTTTCCGCGATTTCCGATATCGACATGTTTCGCACCCTAATAATTGCTGTCGTAATTAAATTTTACGATACTTAATAATACTGTTGTATATTTTTTTTACAAGCACTAATGGTATGTAGATTTTATAGAAGCGACATGTTTAATGAGATAACAATTTTGCAAACAATCTTATTATTTATACAATTATAAATCAATTTCGATTATAAAGCAAGAATCCTAATTGTGGGCGTATAGATCAGGGCAGCATTTCCTTAATTAACATAACAAATACACAACAAGTACAAGCCTGTCCACAGAGTATCCCAACTTCTACTAACTGATCTGAAACTATCCTGATTCATGTGCACTTTTTCATGTGGCCTTTTTTGATATTGTCCTTTTCACTGTTTACATTTGTTTTAATTGCTTTGTTTTTTTCCATAAGTTGTATCTAAATAACTATATGTTTATGTATTTTTGCACTTCTGGCGCTTACCTTATCTAATTTAATTTTGTTTCTCACCGTGGTTGCCTGGAAGAGATCGCTTGAAAGCGATAAGGTCGCTAGTTCCCTTCCTTTTTTATTTAATTATGTACTATATTTCTGTATACTTACAACGAAGTGTTATATAAGTGATAAATTAATAAATAAATTAAAACAAAACATTTTTATTGAATATTAAGTACATAATATGTACGTGATTTTTTTGGATTTATATACAAATAAATATTCTCAATAGCCCACATAAAGATAACATTAAATGTTGAACTTCGTAATGTCAAAATTATATAGTTTTAGAATTTTCTATAGAATGTAAACCTTATATTATAATTACAGAGTAGCAAAGATCAGAATGATGCGAACCGGGAGAAATACAAAGACTTCACATTTGACCACTCCTACTGGTCGTATGACAGCGCCGACAACAACTTTGCTACACAGGAACAGGTATAACACCAAATAATTGTTATCGACATATCAAAATAGATTAAGACACAATCCAGACCGAAGAGCTGGCAGCTACCTCGGACAAAGAGCTAGCTATTCAAAGGGGGAACGCTGCCAGTATCTTCGGAACCTTGCCTAAAGGGACTCCTTTTAATAATATATATTAGTTATTATGTTTTAAGTTTATAATAAATAATATAAATGTGAAGTGATGTTGAACGTAATACGTATTGAATATCCAGTCTTGTAAGTTAAAAATGTATATTAGAGCGAGGGCTGTGGAAACTTTAAACTAAAATTAACAATACGATTATTCATGAAGTAGTGAAAATTATAGAAAAATAAGTGTTGTATATTATATTGTTGGGTCCTAGAGCTTATCTTCTGATTGTGTTGAAAAGGGACTTTAAGAATTAGACCAATGTTTGACTAAATTAAAGATTTTTAGGATGGTACAATTATTTAAAATCAATTTAACCAAAGGATCGTCATTCATATTAAAATATTGGTTTGGACTGTGGAGACGACCTTGGGGAGTATTGTATATAACGAATTCATTGTTCTGTTTGGACAGATGTCTCATTGTATGTGACCAACATTTGAGTTCATGGTTTTTTACGTAATATGGTAATGAAAATCAAGGAAAATCGTGGGTTGTAGAAAATTAACTGTTAGAGCAACATTGTAGTTTAATTTTTTTTGTTATGTAATAGGAGGCAAACGGGTAGGAAGCACACCTGATGTTAAGTGATACCGCTGCCCACGGACACTCACATTGCCAGAAGGCTCGCAAGTGCGTTGCCGGCCCTTCAAGAATTGGTACGCTCTTTTCTTGAAGGACCCTAAGTCGAATTGGTTCGGAAATACTTCAGTGGGCAGCTGGATCCACATAGTGGTGGTGCGCGGCAAAAACTGCCTTAAGAAACGCTCAGTTGTGGAACGACGGACGTCGAGGTGATACGGATGGTATTTTGTATTTTGCCTTGACGTCTGATAATTTATTATAGTAAATAATATATTAAAGTTTATCCAAGATAAGCATCTACTCTATATAAAATCGATCTATCTTTAGCTATCTATGCTCCATGGTTTTTCCCACTATAATTTGTTGGTTGCGTGATATTATATAGGCCTGGCTCGATAGAATGACTGTTCACTACCAAATAATGATTCAATTTGATACAATAATTTCAGAGATTTAACTAAGCTTTATATTTAGTATAGATTTACAAGAAACGATATAATTGTGTCATAGGTTAGTCTTTCTTAAGGGAAACAGATATTTTGTTTATATGTGGTATATATATTTGTAATATCTCATATATTTGGCGACATTTTTATTCACACTCGATTCAGGCGTATGCAGATCAAACGGAGGCGTCATTACCCAAATCATAATGATCTAAACGGTAATGACCAAGAACTCGTTTATCTACATATTACTAGGGATGTCATCTATATTATTATATATATTATATTGTCGTATTATAAGTTAGAAATTGATGAAAGAAATTTAGAAATCAGGTTTATATAAATATACATTATACATATAAACATACACTCACTTTCAAACCAACACATAATTTAATAATATTTTGAACCTTTTTGTATATATTATGTATGTATTATGTTTTCCATCTTTAGTATAATTATTTTTGCTCCAAGCAGCTCCAATTGTTTTTTCTGTATTTTCATCACTCGGCAATTATGTGCCATTCAATAATTTGGTGGCGCATGGTCTTTAACCCCATAGAAATTCATTAAAACATCATAATATCTGAAATGAATGAAAGAAGGTATACATTTTTAACCTAATGTTATTCACTGGGACCCACTGGGAATTGTGACGATATCATTTACATCATGCATGTAATATTCCCAGTTTTAAAAAAAAATAAGGTGTACAAAGCCATGCGCCTCCTTAATATTACTTGGGGTATTAATAAAAGTTGTAAAGAACAATAGACAAAAATTTGGTGCTGTTTTAAGGTGAACCGTGATTCGACAAATTTACCGTAATTTGCTGATTACGAAATAAATAAATATATTTTAAGTTTATATCTGTGGTATTTCAAATGTTTCGTCTATAGTGAAGAAGTACAGCCTCTCGAAATTTATATAGCGTGTAAAGTTTAAAATCACCTAAAAAAAAAGTGAACAAAAATTAACAGCCCTAACACACCGACCTACGTATTCGTAAACTATTAAATCCGATGACTAAGATTATCTCATACTATTATGCGATATACTAATTTTGCGATCATTATAAAGCAGTTTGCATCTTCTAAGGAAAACTGGGTGTCATTCTTCTAGACAAGTTGTGTTCGACCCACCCGGGGTCGTTGTCCTAGGTTTTGACGGCTGGTTTTTTTATTAAACTGCTAAGTTCCATAATATACCTCTGAGAATATGCCATCGTGTCCATAGTTAATTATTTATTATTGGAGTCAAACCAATATATATTTATTTTTTAATTTATTTATTTTACATCTAATCTTAATATATATATTTCTTCTGTGCGTGTGTATGTGACTGAACTCCTCCTAAACGACTGGACCGATTTTGATGAAATTTTTTGTGTGTGTTCAAGGGGATCTGGGAATGGTTTAGATTCACAAATCAGCCCGGCAGATGGCACTGCAGTCGGTACTTTCATACTTTGCTTAATATCCTAATCGCTTTAAATATCATGCAGGACAACGTCTGTGGGGTCCACTAGTATTATATAAAATTCTCGTGTCACAATGTTCGTTCCCATACTCCTCCGAAACGGCTCGACCGATTCTTATGAATTTTTTTTGCATATTCAGTAAGTCAGATTCGGACAACATCTATTTTTCATACCCCTAAATGTTAAGGTTTAATTTTTTAGACAAATTTTTTGTTTTTATTTTTTATGATACAACATACAAATATACATTCAACCCTGAATTGTCACCCCTCTACGATCAACCCCTATTTTTTATTATAGTAGAAAGTTACTTTTATTAAACTTAAAAATGTTTCCTAGAAATAATATACATGGCAAAACGACGTTTGCCAGGTCAGCTAGTATTAATATAATATGTTACATTAGAAAACCGCTGTGGTTTTTATTAATGCTGGTTGCATAGCAGTCTTGTTTAGGAACGCGAGAAATGCATATAAAAAAAAGGGTGCGTGTACTTATGTACGCGCGTAAGAAGTTATACTTCTTTGGCATTATTAGAAATAGATTTTGATTGCATGCAAATAATTAATTACAATTAAATAATCAAAGACTGGAAAAGGAGTCATTATAGTCAATAAAGTTCAGTTTACATTTGAAAAATTTAATAAATAAATATTTATAATTATTCTCTTACAAAATAAATTTTTTTTATAATTCATATTATAAAATTTTTAACACATTTATATTAATATAATTATATAAATGTGTTAATAATATAATTTGTAGCACATGCTACAGACCTGGATAGCAACTTTCTTTTATTCTATTTAGAGATAGAGATAATTTAAATATAATACCGGTGTCTTCCTTGTAGGTTTCTTTTGAGTTGTTTGGGGATTCTTGTTGATCAGTTCGACATGATTTTCTTTAACCTTTCTTTAATCCTACAAAATAATGAAATTGTTAAGTTATGTTGTCACTGTTGTGCACACCTTTGTTTGGCTTTTTTAGTATTCAAGTTATGTCAAAACTGATTTATTACCTTGTCATTGTTGGCTTTATTTGCTTTTGGGATAGCAATTGTTTCCAAAATGATTTTATTTGTAATATCCTGAAATATATAAATAACATCTATTAATTTAAGTGTCATGGTGAGTGGTTCGCACTCAGGTATTAAGGTGTATTATACCCACTGTCCATTATAAGTGGGAATGGGCTCACTTCTGGCTGGACAGAGTTTCGGTACTACAAGAGCAACATGGATGTTTTGAGGTATTACAATATCTCTAACTACCCTGTAGGGGAATAAAGTATGTGCCTATGCTTGAGAGGTTGAGCCTTGAACATCACCATCATATTTATAATTAACATTCCTACCTCGACACCATCACAATCAAATTCATTGAAATCTACTTCAAACCGTTGCGGTATCATCTCTGCCATATCCATTGTGTCTGGAGAAGGTGATGGTGGCTTTGTTCCACCTCTTGTTTTTGATGTTTCACGGCGATAAGATGACAACTCTTTTTTTTTATTCAATTTAGTGCACTTCCACTGAAATTGTTTTTTGTCTCTTGTCCTTATATTTGCTAGATTAAATCTGAAAAATTACATGTTTTGATTAAATAATGTAATCATTTTTTTGAGATGCAGGTACTTATTAAAATGTTTACTTCTCTGTAATATCGCTCCAAGCCTTCATTTTCTCCTTATTAGTATTCGTGCTTAAATCTTTGTTCTCAATTATTGATATATAGGGTCGTAGAATATTTCTAAAAAGTTGCTGTAACAAACGCAATAAACAAAAGTTAATTAAGTTCATGTTTCAGTTTTAATCAACAATAATACTCGATAATACATACGGATAGTTAACCTCAATTGTATTGAAGCACTCAGGAAGGTTGGCACAGTTTTTTCACAAATATTTTATCATATTAATTAGTATTGATTTAGATATTCAATTTCTGATTATAATTCAGACGCACATATAAAATTCGCACTTGTATAATGAAAATAACTAGGTACTTTTAGAATCTTTTATTTTAAACAATAATTCAAACTCCTATATTTGTTTAAAAGGTAAATGTCATTGTCAGATGTCAATTGTCATGGATATTCAAAATTCTTGTTAAGCTGCTAAGCTAAGAAATAGAATATGCGTGAAGTTAGCTTATATTCTATTTCTTTTGTAGATTGCGCACGCTATAATCACACTCCGAATTTTGTGTCATAGGTGCGCGCGCATCGTAAAATTTCACTCTCATCAAATTTTCATAACGCGCCTAAAGAAGTATAACTTCAAAAAGTTTTTCAATTTACTTTTTATGTTGGTGAACGTTAGGATATCTAATAACTTTTGGTTAGTCCATTTATTAGCCGCGGTAGCAAATATGTCAACGTTCTCTCGCCATATACGTTGTTTGCTCTCGATGTACAGAGCCGAACTTGCTATCGCTTAGGTCTGTACGTCATGCACAACTCTTTTTTATGTCATCTCGAAAAAAGTGCTCGACTAGAAGACATTTATTAACTTTTTCAGTTATATTATACGAATATATAAATCGTTTAATGTAAGTCATAGCGCCTTAATAGACTTAATAATAATAATAATAAATTTATTTCCAATCTTTACAATACATACATTTTTTTATATCATAACTTCCTTCAGTACCATTAATCGGAACCCCTTCACGGGTAAAGGCCTCCTCCAGTATTTTCCAAACATCTCTTACATGGCTTTCTTTCTCCGTTCTTCCTCCTAACATTCACAGACTTTAACAGACTTATACTTACGTATTTATCAGAAACATAGGAATTATTCCAAAACCTAATACAATTTTGTTTGCTAAAAGTAAGATAACGGTCCAAATTTTAACCCACTTAAATGGTTACGGTTTAATTGTGACTAAAGATCGTGATACCGTTCGTTTAATAAAAAATCGAGTAAACAAGGTTAGTTTGAAAGTTCCGAAAGCTTTAGGCGACATTGTTGGCATAAGTTATATAAAATCTAGATTACAACTCCGCATTTATGACTTCTTAATTTACTTGAAGAGTATTGCGTTATCCTCTAGAATGTAGATGGCATATTCTATCCTAGTGCTAAATGTTCGCGCATAATGTAATAAAGCGTTTTGATATTTATGAAGATCTTATTATTTACAACATATTTATTAATTAAATTATTATTTATAAATTGAATAAATAGTTAAACAGCAATAAATGTCCTGACATTTTTGTATGCAATCATCATTCAACAAATATTTAATGAACTACTTAGAAATGATGGTGATGTCGGTTTGGGATCGGAGACAAAAAATCTGCTTTGGTACATCACATATTTTATTAGGTATATAGGTAACTACAGATTACTACATTTTTATACAACAAATTCTACATGCAGAATTCGATCGCCTCTTGTTTCCGGAAAATTTAAAAAAATTTTTTATCAAAATTTATTTATAACAGTAAAATTTTGTTAGGGTTCAACGCGCTACAATATCAAATTTTCTTTAATTGTAAAAAACATTTCTTTAGATTTTAAATAAACCAGGGTTCATGTTCATACTCTCGGTAAATCACGAAAAGTTGTATTTTCCTCTAAAGGAAGCCAGTAAATGTATCTGTCTAGTTTCAGATTAATGAGAACCTAATTATTTTCAGGTATTCTCAGATCTCGGTTTGGACGTAATTGACAGCGCATTCGAGGGATACAATGCATGCGTGTTCGCGTACGGACAGACGGGCAGTGGGAAAACATTTACTATGATGGGATCACCGGTAAGTTATATAGCGATATGGCAATACCTCAAGGCAGTTAACGCAACTGTAAAAACAAAAACAATATGTAGAAATGTAAAAACATGTAAATGTATTATCATTTAATTGTTACTCATTTAGATTTATTGTATAGCAAAACACCTTTTTTATAGCAATCAAGGTTTATAATAATGTACCAAAAATTTCAAAGATCTTCCTACTAGAGTTTTTAAAAATCGAATTAATATACTACTTTTGGAAAAATGTATTATTCTATTAATGATTATTTGCGTGAAACATTATAATTAATATTAATTTGATAACGTAATAATATATTTTATTAATATGATGTAGTGATAAAATAATATAAGAATTGACTATGATGATATGACTCTTAATGTAATTGTAACCTCTGTTTGAAATTCTACCTTTAAGACAAATTTGCACGCCATTATGTGTGGCAGAATATGCGAACTTTAGATTGTAACACCATATCATTTTTGTACCATATTCTTGCAAATAAATTATTATTATTAGTATACAATACAGTACGATTAAATTTTATATCCAAAGTAAACGCGGACTATGTATTGAACTTTGTCTGCTAAAGGAAGGTTCATCTAAAAATATCTTTGATGGGGCTTTTCGTCGTCCTTACGAAATGTAAGAAATAGATATATCTGAAATATAAAGGTTTATTGATCTCGAAACCTAGATGATAACATCAAGATTACGATGACATGTTGAATAACGAAATGTTTTGAAGTGATCTTAAAATGTTCAAAACAAAAACTGTCTGATAAGCCAATTTCTTCATCTCCATCAGACGTCATACAGACGCATATAATAATAGCCTGTTTCTGAAACACTATGTTAATAGTACCAGCAACGCGTAAAGGCATCATTAAAAGAAGTCTAATATAATAATTTTCTATAACTTAAATCATTTCTCTAAAATATTTTAAGATCACTTCGAGTAGACGTTTATAAATATTTGAACAATATGTGCGTCTGGTTTAGCTCGTCCCAGACTAAATATTAAGAGCTGTGTGCAAAACGTTATGAAATATGGCTCTGTATAACGTGATTTTAATGCCAAATATGTTATGTAACATTAAACGAGATCACTTACCGTTTTCAGATTCATTAGTGTAGTAAAGACTTCGCCTTTACGACTAAACTTAAGTATCTTAATTTCGGCCAGTAATAAATCTGTGGAGCTACAACCTTTTTAGGTCTGGGCATCCGATTTCTATATCTGTTTCATGATCATTTGTCAATCTAATGGGCAAGTAGGTGATCAGCCTCTTGTGCCGTGTATAAGGCAAGCCGGTTTCCTCACGATGTTTTCTTTCGGTCCGAGCGAATGTTAAATGCGCACATAGACAGAAAGCATTGATGCACAGCCGGGGATAGAACCTACAACCTCAGAGATGAGAGTCGCACGCTGAAGCCACTAGGCCAACACTGCTTTGGGTCAAAAAGACATATTTAGTTCCATTGAACTCCAATCCTAATGTTTGATTTAGCCAATTATAATTATGCAGCTTATATATACATTTAAAATAAAGAATACAGCGTTAAGAAAAATAAATAAGGTAACAGATGTTACAATAACAAAAATAAACTAAAGTGGCACATGGCAAGAGCAACAGAAAAGTGGAGCAAAAAACTACTTAACTGGTGCCCAACAATCGAAAAAGAGGGAGACAACTCAGTAGGTGCATAGACCACATTAAAGAAACAGCAGGTGGTACATGACAGAGAGTGGCACAGTGCAGGGAGGAATGGCGGGATTTGGAGGAGGCCTTTGCCTAAAAAGGGCACACAGATATACTAGAAGAGTATTAAAATGGAAATTTGTTTAAATGTAATAAAGGCTATTATTATTAGCTATAGATGGATAATAATTGCTGACGATTCAAGGAATCTGCATAATTAATGTTTTATTATCATATTTTATCTTAAAATCGCTTGTCATTTATTTACAGGTTTATAATTTATACACTCTATCGGTATATTTTGATATTATATTAGAATTTTACATATAAATGTGTCTGCCAACATGATATGATGTCTTATTTTTTTTTATTTTTAGGATTCGCAAGGCCTAATACCTCGAATATGCAGGCAACTATTCTCTCGAGTCGCAGCAGGCAAGGAATCCGGTGCATCATATCGTACAGAAGTCAGCTACCTCGAAATCTATAATGAACGGGTAAAGGATCTGCTATCGACTGATGCAGGGCACTCTTTACGGGTCCGGGAGCATCCAAAGTTGGGACCATATGTACAGGATCTGTCCAAGCACTTGGTGTCTGATTATGATGATATACAGGTCTGTATACTGTTTGCTGTAAGTGTAATAAAATTACATTAAACGTTCAGTTACATTTAGTTAATTTTTAGTTTAGGTTTTGGTCCTCTATTTTTGTCCTTTTAGATTCGTAATGTGGTCTTACTCTGTGATTTTCCTATCACCTATGTATTAATATAGAATATGTAAGTTATTTTTTGGAAATAAAAATAATTCAGTCAGTTTCCGAATTCACTCGTGTTTTGAATGATTTATATTACTAGGCCCCGGCTTCGCATGGGTGGACATTTATTTTTTAAATTTTTTTGTAGATATTATATATTTAGCAGGATCCTTATTTTTTTCTTTCAATTAAAATAACCTATAATAATCAGTGATAATGTAGCATTTAAATGGTGAAAGAATTTTTAAAATCGGTCCAGTACTTTTTGAGCCATTTCGTTACAAACATCTCATCTTTCTTCTTTATAATATTAGTATAGATTAGAACCGATATATACAATTAACTACACTTACACTCTCATGAGTAGTATAATAAAGACTCAAATTTTGGTTAATATTTTTTTTATAGGAATGCATGCACAGAGGCAATTTACAGCGCACCACAGCGTCTACGCAGATGAATGACGTGTCGTCTCGTTCGCACGCAATATTTACGATCACGTTCGTACAAGCGAGCTACCTTCGTCACAATAACATGCCCAGCGAGACGGTGTCTAAAGTGCATCTTGTAGATTTAGCGGGAAGGTATTTATTTTTAATTTAAATATTACACAAACATTGAAGATGTCTAAGACTCGCAAATCGATTCAATACTAAAATATTCTAACCCTAAGTTTTCCCTTCCCAATGATTTTATGATACAGTGAAGTGTTAAAATGTCTTATAATTTTATTTATAAAAACATTGCTGCCCTGCATAACAGGCGACCCTAAATTGACAAGAAAACACAATAAGTGAATAAAATTTACATACGAAACAAAAAAGCAAACATACGAAATTAATTAGGAAAATCAAAATTTCGTAATAAAAAATACAAAAAATTAACTAACTACTGTAGGCACTAACAAATAATAGAACTTTTGCCAGTTCACTCAACGGACAATGAAAAAGGTCCGTTAACCTATGTAATTCGTTAACTAAATTAATACACCGCATCATATGTGCCCTGTTCATACATTTCAAATTATGTTTGAAAGTTTTTTATTGACGTTACTTTCCATTGTTTCATAGTGAAAGGGCCGATGCCACAGGTGCGACTGGCCAACGGTTAGTCGAAGGTGCCCACATTAACAAATCCCTCGTCACTCTTGGCTCTGTCATTTCTGCGTTGGCCGAGTCCAGCCAACCTGTCGATAGTAAGTCATCCATATTTTATACGGTTTTTTTAAATGTAATAGGCCAACGGGCAGGAGACTCACCTGGTGTTAAGTGATAGCCCATGGACACTCACATTGCCAGAAGGCTCGCAAGCGCGTTGCCGGCCTTAGGTTATAGGGATCTTGCAGTGTTGGACTAGTGGTAGTTGACTTTAGCGTGCGACTCTCATCCCTGAGATCTTAGGTTCGATTCCCGGCCGTGCACCAATGGACTTGAATTTAATATTCGCTCGAACGGTGAAGGAAAACATCGTGAGGAAACCGTCTTGCCTAAGACCCAAAATTTCGACGGCGAGTGTCAGGCACAGGAGGCTGATCACCAAGTTATTTGACAAATCAAGAATCATCAAGATTACGAAAAAGATACAGAAATCTGAGGCCCAGACCTAAAAACGTAGTGTGTTAGGGTTCTACTGCCTGAAATATCAGCCATAATTGATATTCCTCTGGTAGAATGCGATCTTCGGTATAACCTTTAGTTAGATTTAAAGTAATTTTAATGTTTACAAAGAAAGCATTGGTATTTTGTTTATAGTTAAAATTTACATTGATTGTTTTGACTACTAAAGTGATATGTTGATAGTGTCAAAGTCAAATAATTTATTTCAATTAGGCATATTAAAAATGCACTTTTGAAAGTCAAAATAATTATAATTAAATTTATAAAAAAAAAGCTAGTCTAGTTGCCCCTTCCAAAAGGTAGTTTCATATGAAGAAGAATGGGCAAGGAACTCCATGCTTACTCTTTTAAAATAGGTTTTAATTTTTTTTGTATTCATAGATTTGATAATTATATGTGAAGACCATGTTCCTAGAACAAAAAAAACTACTATACTAAAATAAAATATTTAACTTATTCAAATGTAAAATCCCATAAAAATGCCTGAAGTTCTTTAATAAATATACAGTCTGTAGTGATCATCTACTTTTTGTAATGTTCCGTTGCACACAGGCGTCTTGCGTCCAATTTCGGAAACGTTAGATTTTGGGGCCCTTGCAACTCCATTCCATCAAGCCTTGGTCTACCGGGTTTTCTTTCGCCATCAGGTTTAGAGTTCAGCAATAATCTTGGGGCTCTTTTGTCTACCATTCGATGCACACGTCCCATGTTTATATGTTTTGCTCCTATTATTATCTTGGCAATATTGTATATTTTTTTTACAGATCGGACTCCAAAGAAAAAGGTGTTCATTCCATACCGTGACTCCGTCCTCACTTGGTTACTTAAAGATTCTTTAGGTGGGAATTCTAAGACAATAATGATTGCAGCTGTGAGTATCAGCTTTATTCATTTGTTATTTTTGTAATGATAAGGTAATTAATTACTTTTAACCTAATTGATAGTGAAAAAGATTTTAATAAAACGATTTCAGCTGATATAAAGTATGGTACATTATTAACACGATTCGAGATTTTTCGTGTTCAAAGAAGTGGTTTAAATCCGTGTTATTAGAATTTTAGCGAAATAAATGTACAGTCGCTTAGATATTATAAGGGTCATAGGTTCGTTCTCCGGCTTTGCCAATGGGCTATCTGCCTATGTGGGCATTTATTTAATACTAGCTCGCACGGTGAAGGAAAACATCGTAACGTTACCGGCATGCCTAAGACTCAAAAATTTCGACGGTATGTGTCAGGCATATAAGATTGATCACCTTATTGCCTATTACATAACAGATATAGTAATCTGAGGCCCAGACCTAAAAGGTTGTAGCGCCATTGGTAGCGTAGATATGTACTATAATAAAAATTTTTTAATAACAAATTAATTTTAGATATCGCCAGCTGATTGTAACTATGGGGAGACCCTGTCCACTCTCCGTTACGCGAATAGAGCCAAGAATATCATCAATAAACCGACAATCAACGAAGATCCGAATGTCAAACTTATCAGAGAACTCAGAGAGGAAATTGAGAAACTACGCGCACAGATATCGCACAATACGGTAGATATTTATTTCGAAATCCTAAGCTAACATATACATATACATTATATACAACAAAAACAAATATACCAAAGATACATAATATATACAAAAAGCTTTAAACATCTAAGTAATACCTAATTCGGGTGCGTTGTGTGATGGTGTAAAAGTGAGGGTATGTACGTGGTATATGATGCAGCGCTATGGATATTCTTAATACTCCATTGAGGCATATTCCGCGATAGCTTAAACAAGTCAAGGCTTGAATAGTGGTCGTTGTATGTCTGAGCTGCGAGATACATAAATTTACTTCGTTTTAATTTTCATAACAAAATGAACTACAGAATAATTATGATATTTATCGTTAGTGAGTTTTTATTTTATAACTTAAATGTTATTAAAAAATGGATAAAAAAAGTTAAGTCATATTATAAATTTGCGAATATTTAAATGATTCTAATCAAATAAATTGATTTGCTCCAGTTCAGTGGCGATTTAAAAGAGTTTATTGCCACTCCTTCTTGTCTGCTCCTCGCCCTTGACTTGTGCACTGATAGTAAATGTAAATATTTAATCAATTTAACATGTTATCTGTTGAGGTTCATAAGTTTACTTGGTTACCTATATGAATAAAGTTATTTTTAGTTTATTTATATTTGTCTGTGTCTGTATTTACTATTAGAATTTGGGTCAAAGTACTAAATAAGTTAATATACTCCGTATTCGTTAACTCACACAAGAAAATGATTTCGCATTCGTACTACGATATTTCTGAATATTATTTTTAAATTAGCGTTAGTGTGTACGTACCTACGTATTAGCAGTGAACTGAGCAGCTTTGGCTTAGTGACTTCGTAGGTTCGATCCCCGGCTGCACCAATGGACTTTCTTTCTATGTGCGCAATTAACATTCGCTCGAACGGTGAAGGAAAACATCGTGAGGAAACCGACATATCTTAGACTCAAAAAGTCGACGGCATGTGTCAGGCACTGGAGGCTGATAACCTGCTTGCCTATTAGATCGAAAAAAAGATCATGAAACAGATTCAGAAATCTGAGGCCCAGACCTAAAGAGGTTGTAGCGCCACTGATTTATTTTATACGAACGTATACGTTGCGCGTAAAGACAAAAGTCACAGACATACTCACTAGAATAGATAGCTTGAAGTGGAGATGGACTGGGCACATGATACGTGATAAACAAGAAAAGTGGAGCAACATCATAACTGACTGGTACCCTAGAGATGGGAAAAGGAACAGAGGAAGACAAAGCAAGAGATGGGAAGACGAATTAAAATTAACAGCAGGCTCAAAATGGAGAAGGGTTGCAAGAGACAGAGTACAATGGAAATTGTTAGAGGAGGCCTTTGCCAAGAGGCACACTGAACTTAGAGATATTATATAACTTAAAGATAAGAGTCAACTAAAAGTCCAAGAAACAGTTCAGGATAAGAGGCTTATTATTATTATTATTATACGTTGCGCATGATACATATACGTTTCTAATAAAGCTTGGTATACACAGGTACCTGTAGAGACCGAAGCGGGAGTTCTAGCGACGCTTCAGCGAAAGGAGGCACAAGAAAAAGTATTAACCGAGAAGTGGACAGAGAAATGGCGAGAAACGCAACAAATTTTGCACGAACAAAAGGCTTTGGGTCTGCGGAAAAGCGGATTGGGCGTGGTTTTGGATTCGGATATGCCTCATCTTGTTGGCATTGATGATAATCTGCTCTCTACTGGTGTTACCTTGTACCATCTTAAGGTATTTATTTAGATATTTTTTTACTTTTGTATTTATAAGTAGGTGCTATAACACTTGAATCACATTGATATTCTATAATTGTAAATATGAAATTTAAAGCAAACATATCAAAATGTATTTAATATGATCAAGTGCAACATATTAATCTAAAATCATGTTTGCTGTAATATACATTAGTTTTTTATTTAAGTTAATAAAATTTTTTTTTATAATTACGTAATTTACTAATACTTATAATGTTAATGAAATAAAATTGGACTATGATATTATTGACATGTTACCTAGCTCTATTAATGATAAAAACTTTAATAAGAATAACCCTAAAAGCTTATTTTTCAAATAAAACTAAGATTAATATATTTTGCAGGAAGGAGAAACGGTAATAGGAAGTGAAGAGTTCAGCCCAACTCCGGATATAGTGCTGAGTGGGGCGGGAGTGTTGCCATTGCACTGTAAGGTGACACTCCACGAAGGTGTGGCCACTATCGAGCCAGCGTCTGGAGCTCAGTGCTGGCTCAACACTGTGCTATTGGATAAACCGGCTAAGCTTAGCCAGGGTAAGGTTTTTGAGATTTCAAAAAAAACTATGTTTTTCGAAAATAGTAGTCTTTTTAATAACTCACGTCGAATTAATAATTCATTCGTTCCTGAGAAAGTAACAGCGACCTTTTTAGTGTTAAAATTAGATGGTACAAAGGTTCAAAATCAGCATAATTTTCCAAATTTCGTCTGAAAAAACCAACCTATACTCTGATTTTTAATTCCGTAGAATTCTGACAGCTATCATTTTTTGACATGTCAGAGATGACAAACCTTTTTGGATGGGCAGATTTTTCAACTTCAATACGAGTCTGAACAGAGTCTATACATAAATTTTACTTGTTAGGGAATATATCAATTTTATTAAGTGCGGTGCTCTACATTAAAAGGGGTTTTACGCCGATTGATAATTACGTCCCTTTTCATCACAAACAGTAAAGAACGCAAAATTTTATCTTTACATTTTATTTTTTAAAAAGGTTTACTAAACCTGGAATTAGTAGGCAGTGATGCCAGTTAAAGAATTAAATAACGTAATTAAAGTTAATTTTATATATTGTTCGTGATATTGTATATATTTTATTTTTGTATTAGGTCACTAAGTAAGAGCAAGTAAATATTTAGATTTACCTTTTTGTAGGTAAAACATAAAAAATACGTACCATTTTTTTTATTGCCCTCTAATGGGTCAAATTTGTCCCTTTTCGGTGGGGATTTTTTTTAGTAGCAACGCTAATGAAATGCAGAATTCTACGGAATGAAAAATCAGAGTATAGGAATTAGGAGTTCAGGCACCTTTCATTCGAATTCTTTGCGAATATAACAGAATAAACACTACTTATCCAGAGCTTGATATATTCGGTAGTGGGCTGATTAACTAAAAAAAAAAACATTGTTAAGTGTCTTTCTGATACGTAAACCGCTGTTTTGCTAGTGACTTCTTTATTAACAATTAATTTTTTTTGTAATATTTATGTTTACCATAATTGTCATGTATTTAAGAAAAGATAGCTTGTAACATATACCGTAGATATATCGTTATGTATGATGTGGTAAACTTTAATAAATATATAAATGATGAGTATCGCGACCAATTTTGAAAAAAACAGTATTTTAATTTTTAATTTAGTACCTATCCGACAACTTGTCTATCAATAAATTACGAGTATGTGAGTTTGTATAACTCCTAACACTCAACACTGCTTTATCTGTGATATTTAAATAAAACTGTTGTTGAAATTTGAATATTTTTTAAAGGTTGCATCCTCCTCCTGGGTCGTACAAACATGTTCCGCTACAACGACCCAGCTGAAGCGGCAAAACTTCGCCAAGAGGGCAGCGCTTCTATGATGAATCTCTCCAGGCTGTCTCTTCTTTCGTGGTCTACCACCGATCTAGCGGCTAGTACTGAAAATCTCAATAATACTCTATCGTGAGTAAAGATTTTAAAATTAATATTTTTCAGACGTGTTATTTCCGACGACAAATAATATCTAGGAAAATGTTTTAGTATTATAAGTATGTATTCTTAGTGCAGGGAGCAAACGGGCATCACCTGATGTTAAGTGATACCGCCGCCCATGGACACTAACAGTGCCAGAAGACTTGCAAGCGCGCTGCCGGCCTTTTTAGAATTGGTACGCTCTTTTTTTGAAGGACCTTAAGTCGAATTGGTTCAGAATTACTTCAATGGGCAGCCGGTTACAAATAGTGCTGATGCCTAGCAAAAAGTGACTTTCAGGTTCCATTTCAAACATTTATTATTTCGGTTTTGAAGGAACGGACGGAAGGTTGACCTTAGAAAATAAATAAACTTTACTTAAAGTTTGTCGGTATGGTAAAGTAGCTGATTTGTATATTAACTAAACTAATTTGTTTAAAATTACTCATAAAATTTGCATGATATTGTAGTGACTTGGAAAGCGAGATCCGTTGTGAGCGTATATCGGCCCAGCGAGCGGAGTTGGAAAGAGAGAGACAGCAATTCGTGCTTCAACAGCAGGAGAGACAGAGACGGTGGCATGCCGAACGGGAGGAGCTGCTTAAAGCCCAAAAACAACTCGACGAGGTAAAGATGTGATACTATATTTTATCTAACTTTGTGTAATTATTTTGGGACTTTTATTTTTCCCAATAAGATAGATATAACTCTGCCTTCTTCTTGTCTGTTCTACGCCCTTGATTTGAGATCTGGAATGGCAGTAAATTAATATTTAGAAGCATCATCTTTTTTTACTGTCATTAATAATATTTCGACTTTTAACAATTTAATGACGTCATTCCCGGGGAAAATATAGTCAAAAGTCCCTCGTTCCACAACTGAGCGTTTCATGAGGCAGCTTTTGCTGCGCGCCACCACTGTGGAAACAGCTTAAAAGGCCAGCAACGCACTTGTGAGCTCTCTGTCATTGAGAGTGTCCATGGGCTTATATCACTTACAATCAGATGAGCCTCCCGTTAACCCCCTGTTCTATAAAAAACATTTAATAATGTGATGTCAAGATCAAGGGTTATAACGCCAAAACCTTGTACTATAGGAACGTTCAGCGATGGAGCGTGAATATGCAGCGGCGTGTAGGCGTTTATCAGGTGATTGGCGAGCGTTGGAACGCGGGTGGACGTTACGTAGACGTGCGTTGAGATGTCGGCAGAGAGAGTTAAACGCGCGTGTTCATAGACATGCAGCTGCAGGCCGCGCTGCGCGTGCGCAGGTACGTTGATTTATAATATTTTACTATTATATTTCAATAGGTTAACTTTTTAATGAAACACCGACGATATTTTATAATAACAGTAAGTCTGAATGTGTAGTTCTGTAGTTAAGTTCGTTATATATGAATAAGTAAAGTTAATTTCTTGAAATATTGGACCAAGTTTTATACAAAATTTACTGCTCGTAAAATACTACTTAAATGAGCTATTCCATTTTGATGTACTAGGTAAACGTCAACCAGTTTGAAAAGAGTTACAATGCGACGCCAAAAATATATCAGTGGCGCTACAACCTTTTTAAGTCTGGGCCTCAGATTTCTCTATCTGTTTCACGATCATTTTTTAATCTAATAGGCAAGTAGGTGATCGGCCTCCTGTGCCTGATACACGCCGTCGACTTTTTGGGCCGGTTTCTTTGCGATGTTGTCCTTCACCGTTCGAGCGAATGATAAATGCGCACATAGACTGAAAGTTCATCGGTGCACAGCCGGGGATCGAACCCAAGACCTCAGGGATGAGAGTCGAACGCTTAAGTGTGTAAAACTTAAAATGAACACAATTGTGCAATTATGCGCTATCGTTTATATGGTTAGTTATAAAACGAAAAAGCGATTCGTTTAATTGTGATTGGTGAAACGAAAATACGTATCGTACGTATCAACGAAAATAAGTTGCGCGTCTGTGAATGGCCAACGTTGTCAACCAATCACAAACGAAAAGCTTGTTCGTCTTTTGTTTTGCGTACACGTCACACGCACCAGTTAGTATGTGCTTTATCTAGTATGTGTATGTGTAGATTTTTGCATAATACGGAAATGTTTTTTTCGTATCGTACTTGCATTGTATTGAACACTTTTTATTTATTGCGTTATGCCACAGCTGTAATCGCTCGTGTTAGTGCCGTGGATATTGTGTTACTAATGGTTTTCGATATTAGCATTGCGTGAGTAAAAGTAATGGGTTTAATTTAAGCAAGACTTACAGTAAGTCTGTTAAGTATAATATATATAATATCCTCCATCAAAGGCCGGCAACACACCCACTAATATGGGTATCTGGAAGGCTCGTTTGCCATCATATAAAAAAGTACTGTATAAAATAATGTATCATTTAAATGAATGGTAGGTTTTTTTATCAGAATTTTTTCATTTATTTACCATTTTTGAAATTTCGCCACGCAACATTGAGAGCGCGTTTCATTGCCCGTTTTTTAATTTGTGACTGTGATCAGATATGTTAAGGAACTTAAGACATACGTATAATTTTATATATTAACATACTATTACATATACTCGAATCTCGTTAATCTCTCGATAATTATAATCCGGTCTCTTGAAAAATACTCGATAAATTGATTAAAATAAATGTTAATCCCCCCTCGGTAATTTGAAGTTGAAGGAATAGTATCTTGCTCTCGCCAATATGCGATCATTTGAAGTGATTATCGTGTATTTATTATCTTTGGAGAATGTTAGACTGAAGATGGTCACTCGAAAAAAGATTGCGAACTTTTTTTCGAAATTAGATTGGTGAGTAATCGTATTTAATTGTTCACAAATTTGTATTAAATCACGAATTTTGATTAAACTCTTGTGTCCCCCTAGTGGTTATTTATTTTGAACTCTTGGTACTTTTTAATTTATCTCTGGTCCATTTCAATAAAAAATGTAATAAAAAAGGACTATTAAATTCAGTTATAGATAAAGAATTATGTTACCTTATATGACTTTCGAATGTCGAAATGTTTCGAAAACAATTAGTAGCCCATATCGTAATCGCGCTCAGACAATGATATTGTTTTATTTTCCCACAAGTGTTAGCTAAGCAACGCATAGGCTAGTGCTTGGCATTTGTATTATTTTATTAGAATTTCTGATTTTGGGCAGTTTTGACACACGATTGGCAAATTTGTATGAAACAAAATTTTATACCCAAAGTCAGATTTTATCATAGTTTTTTTTGCTATCCCGTGCCCCGTAGATTGAAAAGGAGGAGGTTATCATCACGGATCTGGAGGGGCGGCTGGGGGGGAAAAGGAGGGAATTGGAAGACTTTGTAGCGAAACATATCCAGGAACTCGTCTCCCAAGGATACATCATCGATGAGGTATGTTTTTCGCTTCCTGTGGGAGTCACAGGCGCTGTTATTGACTGATTTTAATATTAATTTAAATGTGAAAGTATTAATTATTGTTTTTCTAATAGTAATTTTCTTCTGGTAAGCGTGTAATTCCCACCAATTATTGCTTGTAACTTGGTTTTGCTTGCTTTTTGCTATATCATACCCATAAATTTATGTCTACAATACATTTTATATTTTCTGGTTAAAGTACATTATATTATACAGAATTTGTCCCCGAGCCCAGAAAGCCCAGCGTCAGAAACATCAACGGAGTGCCTGATGCATCTTCTACAGCAATGCGAACCGAAGACTGCTCATAATATTAAAGAAACTGTTGAAAGACATGTAAGTGTTTTATATTTTAATGGCCGACCGCTTAGATGTTAAAAGGAAATTCAAATAAAATATATATCGTTGAAGATATCTTTTTGACCAAATATTAATCTTTTTAATTAGTGTTAATTTATACTAGTCGAGATGCCATATGTGGAATGGAAATTGAATCATCTGTGTTTAATTAAATAATAAATAGTTTATTTGCAAAGATTAATTAATTATAAATATCTGCACAATCAGCCATTTAAAAATAGGCATGCAAATGTCATATAACTTTTTATAATGTCAAATAAGTTGAGATATTGAAACAGAAAGACAAAGAAAGATACCATAAACTATATCTCCATAGTATATCCTCCGTCAAGGCAAGGTTATCTCCTCTCACTTCGTAAAGTTGCCAGATGATTTCCAAAAACAGTTTGAATGACACTATTGACTATACAATTCTTTAGTAAAATCACATTTATTATATTTATTTATTAAAGTTCTCCACATCATAAATAATGCTATATCTACAGTATACGTAGTCGGTCCCAAAGTTCTGTCATAAATGGAAATAATGATAAAAACAAAAGTACTTATCAGTTTTTAATGAGTGATATACCAATTTATAGCACATTAATTAAGGAATAGAAATAGCATACAATTTGTTGAAATGATCTCCCTTATTTTTAATACTGGCCCTTAAGCCTCGGTGCCAGTCGTCTATCGCAGCACGCACCATATTCATGTCGATTTCAGTGACTGATTTATTTAAATATGACGTCAGACTCTCCAAATTTTTATGTGGTATAGCACAGACCTTCCTCTCTAAGACCTGCCAAATTTTATAGTCCAAAGGATTAAGGTCCGGACTGGAGGAAGGCCAATCGACATGTCTAATTAAGTCGATGTTTTGACGCTCAAACCAGGCTTGAGTGGTCTTGACTGTGTGTGAAGGCGCAAAGTCCTGATGGAACACGAAGTGATGTCCCGCAAATAGCGTGCTGGTCAGGTCTTTGACAAGCCGATCTAAAACCGTCTTTTGGTACACTTTTGCACTGGTTTTGACCCCCTTTTCGCAAAATTGAACGTCATTTGGCCCGTAATAGGACACTCCCAATCAGACCATTACTGATGATGGATGATGTCCATGTTGCACCCTCCCACTTTATTTACAGCTTCTTCAGAACTCCTACCGTACACTCTATCATTCTGTTTATTGTACTTCTCTTCAAAATCGAAAAAATTTTCGTCCGTAAAGAAGATATCACCGTGTCGGTTTTTCGCGTACCGCTTTCAACAACACCCGCGATCTCTTGAGCCTTATTGCTTTTAGACGAGCATTAAGTAAGTGCCCACTTTTTTTTTGTATGCTTGTATACCAAGGTCTTCATTTAAAACCTTTTTTACTATTTTCCTATTGACACCCATCTGCAAAGCCATCAACTTCTGTTTTCGGACAGGATTTCTTGCTATCCGCGCCTTGATAGCTTTGATTACTGCTGGTGTTCTTGCGGAGCGTGGCCGGCCAGTTTTTTTCTTGTCCTAAACACGGGAGACTTCATTGTACCTATCAATAGTACAACACACAAACCTAAGCGTTATATTCAAACTTTTGAGCAACTTGAAAATGGTACTCGGCGAGTGCCAAAAGCGGTGCAACGCAATAACAGCTATTCCGTTTTCTTTCAATGTCCACTCCATCGTGAAAAATTACGGAAAGTGATTGTTTTTTTCTTTAAAAGCAATAGTCAAACATTTAAAAATATAATGCAATTTTTTTTTTATAAAATCATGTTCGAAATTTAAAAATAATGTGGCTGTGACAGAACTTTGGGACCAACTACGTATGTTACAAGCTATATTTTTAAAATATATGACAATTATGTTAAACATAAATGTTACAAAAAATCATTAGCAAAACAGCAGATTAGGTATCAGATAGACACAATGCTTTTTTTTAAATTGATTAGCTCACTTCCAAATATTTTTTTTTTTTATTTTTTTATAGAACGGGGGCAAACGGGCAGGAGGCACACCTGATGTTAAGTGACACCGCCGCCCATGGACACTCTCAATGCCAGAGGGCTCGCGAGTGCGTTGCCGGCCTTTTAAGAATTGGTACGCTCTTTTCTTGAAGGACCCTAAGTCGAATTGGTTCGGAAATACTTCAGTGGGCAGCTGATTCCACATAGTGGTGGTGCGCGGCAAAAACTGCCTTGAAAAACGCTCAGTTGTGGAACGGCGGACGTCGAGGTGATACGGGTGGAATTTCGTATTCTGTCTCGACGTCCGATGATGAAACTCAGCTGCAGGTATTAATCCGAACAACTCCTCTGAACACTCTCCATGGTAAATGCGGTAGAAGATGCAGAGTGACCCCACATCTCTACGCAACGCCAAAGGATCAAGCCGCTCGGAGAGGGATTGGTCGTCGACGATTCGAACCGCTCTGCGTTGTATACGGTCAAGTGGAAGGAGCTGGTACTGGGGAGCCCCCGCCCAGAGGTGAGAGCAGTACTCCATGTGGGGCCGAATTTGCGCTTTATATAGTTGCATGCGGTGGCCCGGAGTGAAGTACCGCCTCGCCTTGCTGAGCACACCAAGCTTTTTGGAGGCAAATTTAGCCTTTCCTCCAAGTGACCGCGAAACTGAACGTCGTTCGATATGTCAACGCCAAGTATTCCAATGCTGGCTGTGGCTTTAAGAAGAGTGTTTTCGAAAAGAGGAGTAGCGACAAAGGGTGTTTTTTTAGCGGAAAACGCGCAAACTTGTGTCTTCTTGGGGTTAAATTGGACTAGGTTTTGTCTGCCCCAGTCTGAGACTCCACGTAGTAGAGTTTCGACTTCAGACACAAGTTTGTTCCGGTACTCATCAACAACTGCCCGAGAAATACCTGCCCGGCCAGTGTAAAAAGTATCCCCAGTGCTGTCATCCGCATAGCAATGAATGTTGCTAAGTTGCAACATATCATTGATATGCAGAAGAAATAGGGTCGGGGATAGAACACAGCCTTGTGGGACCCCAGCGTTCACAGGTTTAAGGTCGGAACATGCTCCGTCGATGACGACCTTGATGCTCCGATCGGCCAGAAAGCTGGAGATCCAATCGCATAATTTCTCGGGAAGCCCATAGGCTGGAAGCTTCGAGAGCAGTGCTCTGTGCCACACCCGATCGAAGGCTTTCGCTATGTCCAAACTTACCGCCAGCGCCTCCCCCTTGGACTCAATTGCCTCTGCCCACCTATGGGTAAGGTATACAAGGAGGTCACCAGCTGAGCGACCACGACGAAAGCCGTACTGAGAATCGCTAATCAACTGGTGGCCCTCTAGATACCACAAGAGCTGGCAATTAATAATGGTTTCCATTATTTTGGAGAACAAGGAGGTTATAGCTATTGGGCGATAGTTGGACGGATCAGAGCGATCGCCTTTTTTAGGGATCGGATGTATCGAAGCGGTCTTCCAGCACTTCGGGACAGTGCCGAGCGAGTACAGGTACCGGAAAAGGCGCGTTAAGACCGGAGCCAACTCAGGAGCACAAGTACGCAGCACAATTGGGGGCCCGGCCCGCTCGACTTATGAATGTCCAAGGAAGATAGTGCTTTGCGGACAGCACGTTGCCGGAATGTGATTTCCGGCATCGAAGAATCACACCGCGAAATGGTCGGTGGTGATCTTCCTCGGTCATCCAAAGTCGAGTTGGACGCGAAGAGACAGCCCAAAAGGTCGGCCTTCTCCTTCGCAGTGTGGGCCAGAGAGTCATCCTCCCTGTGCAGTGGCGGAATGGCGGGCTGACAAAAATTCCCTTGGACAGCTTTGGCGAGAGACCAGAAGGCTCGAGTCCCTGAAGGGAGCTGGGCCAATCTCTCGCCAAATCTGGCAATGTGCTCTGACTTTGCCTTAGTGATTTCCCGTTTGAAGGACCTGGAGGCTGAGTTATATGCTGTTTTAAGTTCGCTGGTATTGGCATCACGAGATTTCGCCGCTTCCGCCCATGCCTTAAAGCATTCTCGCTTTCGACGCGAGGCCGCCTTGCAAGAACGTTTAAACCAGGGCTGAGACTTGCCACCGATCGGCACCGCAGAAAATGGAATAAAGAGTTCCATGCCCTGCAGAACCACTTCGGCGACAGAGGCGGCGACGGAATCTGGAGCTTCCGGCGAAAAGCACATAGGCCCCCCGCAAGGGTAGGACGCAAAGAAAGACCGCATCCCGTCCCAATCTGCTGACTTATAGTGCCAAATACGGCGACAACCCATAAAGCGGGGCCGTGAAGGGCGCGTAGATGGCACAGTACTCCGGACCACACAATGATCCGATGAACCCAATGGCGGGTCAACAGAGACTTGATAGTTCTCCGGATGTGAAGTCAGCAGAAGGTCCAACAAAGAGGGTTTATGACCATCCACATCTGGTATTCGCGTAATCGCAGGGACCATTTGTGTCAGGTCGTAGGCTAAAGCAAAGTCGTGAAAGGATCTTCCCGCGTGATCGGTGGTTTCAGAGCCAAGCCAATCGGCATGGTGGGCGTTAAAATCGCCAAGTATCACGATTTCAGCGGTAGGAACCCTTTCGAGCAGGGATTCTGTAGCCATTTGGATGTGCTCAATGAGTCGGTCAGTTTCGGTATTTCCGCTATGGGACCTATACAGGCATGCGTAGAATCGCGGATGGTCATCGCAGTCTACGCGCAGCCAGAGGTTAGATAGGTCCCTTCCTTCAAGCGTCCCGAGGCGACGAGAACAGATATCCTCCCTGACGTACACGCAAACTCCCGCCCGCGGCACAAATGAATGTTCCAATTTGTACCCCGGGTAGGAGAGGTAGGAAGTATCAGCCGGGGAGGAAATCTGAGTCTCGGTAAGAAAGAGCAAGGCCGGCTTCGCAGTCTCTAAATGGTAGTGGACTGCGTTGATATTGGAATTGAGCCCCCTAACATTTGTGAAGTCCACGGCGAGCGTGGACGGGGGTGCCTTTGTTGAATTGCTCCGTTTGCCCCGAGAACGATGACTGTTTTTGTTGAGCGCAGAATTGCCCCCCCCAGAATACGAAGGGCAGCCTGTGCGTCCACCACCGGGTGCTGAGTGTCCCGGTGTTGGACGCCCAGAGGGGGATTCTCCACCGCGAGCGCGTGTGGTACCCCCCTGGGGTAGATTCTGTTTGTTCTGCACCTTCATATTTCATATGGGGGGGGGGATGGGCTCCGGGAGTCTCCCTCACCGTACGAAACGCGAGTACAATAAGGCGAACCTATTGCCTCACTTCACGCCGGATTTCTAAGAGACAGTGGTACTGCCCCGGTCGTGCCTGCCCATTAGGCTGAAGCCCGAAGGCAACAGCATGGCACTCCCACTAGGAAGGGGTTGACTGATTGCGCTGATGAAATAACCTCTGTCACAGGTTATTTCACCAGTGGGCGATGGGGTCGTCACGTCCCGACGCCAGAAAAATATGTCAAGCTCTGGATAAGTATCTATAGCGTTATATTCGCGAAGAATTTGAATGAGATCCTGAACTTCTAGGTCGGTTTTTGCAGACGGAATTTGGAAAATTCTGCTGATTTTGAACCTTGGTAATGAATAAGTGACGGCATCGTTAATGTTCTGTATATTTGATAGAAGTAATGCTTCAGCTAGTAAACTTAAACAACTCCAGATTATACAAAATAAATAAATTCCTCTTTCTTTATCCTACTCTTACTCCCAATAAGTAACTTTAAATTGACACGAATGAACATTAAACAGAAGTTCACAAAATTATGATACATTTTCCTTTTTATGTATTTAATATACATTAAACCATCTTATTACACGGTACTCTTTTAAAGCATTCTCATATTACGCGATTTCAGTGCCTATAACACGGGTATTTTCCCCATATAACGCGGGAATTTCTGAAGTGTGACGTGTATAATGATTTGTACGCACTTATTTCGTTTTAGTTTTTTCTTAATATTCGATCTATATACCTTTCAACGAAAAAATTTAAACGTACATATAACGCGTTATGAAAGAATACTCCAACAACGCGTCTTTATAACGCGGAACCAATCTATCATTTCATAAGAGATTACAGTATTTTTTTTTCTCACAGTATCTTTTTTGTATGTGACATGAATGTTTTTAATGAGAATAAACTTCTTTAAATCTGATCATCATCGTTTACTCTTTATATACGAAATAAATGTATAATTAAATTAAGGAAACAGGAAAACTTAATTCATTAAAATGTGACACAATCAGAATTTATAGAAAGGTCACAAATATTATTAACATTGACAAATATGAACCGAGTTATTTATTTTTTCGTACTGAACAAAATCCTTTAAAAATCCTTACACTATTTAGACGTTATGTATAAATAAATAAGAAAGTAATTAAATAAAATACATTGCAGAAAAAGGAGTTAGAAACTCTGGAACAAGAGTTGCAAGGCAGAGTGGCGTCAGTGGCTGCTCAAAGGGTCAAAGTGGAGAGGCTTCAGGCTGAGTTGGCCTTACTGGCAGCAAGGGAAAGAGGGATCACTAGAGCTCTGGCTGAACAAGGTATTTCATTTGATGTTTTTTTAATTATTACATGACCAAAAACACTAGAGTAAAAGAAGATAAATATTCTATGCAGAAACGGCAATGAGTTAAGCATTTTACAGCACTTTATCGTCATATAATTATATACTTCAAGAAAAGAGCGTAACAATTTTTAAAAGACCGGCAACGCATTTGTGTACCCATTAACATCAGGTGAGCCTCATGCTCGTTTGCCCAGTTACACAAAAAAGAAATACTTAATAAAAACTTGTTTAGATAAATATGGGTTATTCTAGCATTTAATGCTTCCTCTATGCTATCTTACATATGACATATACATATACATATATCTTATATCTATGCCTATTTGAACATTTCTTTAGAAGACGGTGACAGCGATACCTCACCTTTGGAAGGAGTGAAGCGTTGTAAATCTGAGCTGGTCTTGAGGACCAGAGATGATGACCCTCCCGAACCGCTGTCGGCTGATGAGAGGGAACACTATCGGGCGAGACGGCTTAGGTATTTATCAAAAAAACATCTATCAACTATTCTTTGGTAAAAAAGAAGTGGATTTATCTGATCTGTTACCTTACACAACTGTTTATTACGCACATTCATTGATGGTGGGGTTTGAACCCACGCTGAGAGTCATATGCTTAATCTTTAACCCAACACAGCTTAATTGTTATTTATTCATTAGTAATCTTACAGCTAACATACATATCATAAAACAAAACACTTAGACAATATACAAAGCCAAAACAGATTACATTGAGAAATAATATATATCAAACAGAAAGCATAGGTAAATATATTAATAGACAAAAACATAAAAAAAATGAAAGAAAACTGAAATTTAACATTAAACAAACGACAATTAATATAATATAAGAATACACTAAATTGTTACTGCTAAACAAGGTCAAAGTCTTCCTGCCTCTTCAAATACTTCCTCACCTCTTTCGGGAGGTGGAAAATATCAACATCCTCATAATTGTTTAAATATAGAAGTCTACAGATAAAAATATTAATTAAGGTTCCAAATGAGGAGTAATTTATTAAAATTGCGTTATAGTCGTTGCTAAATCTTTCAGTTTCTCTCTGATTCCAGCCTCAGTCTAAGCCTAGACCCCCTTCCGTCAATAACCTCCCCTGACACCTTCCACACGGCGAGTTCGTCTCCGAAAGCGATTCCGTCGGAATCTGACCTGCCGAGCCCCTCTACCACGGCGTCGGCGCTCCCCAGCGAAAGCGAACCCCTACCACGGTTTCGTTTGGGTCACACAGCTGATGATAGCGACGACATGTCCAGTACTGAGGATTATCATAAGGTGAGGAGTTAATATGACCCTGAAATCTCCATTTCTTTACGAACCCTGAAAAATCTCCATTTATTACGACTACGTTAACAAAGTCGCAATACATTTCATATAGTGTTTTGTAAGAAAGTGTTCATATAAATTTAAAAAATAAGGGCTTCTTGCCCTTGCTCCTTGAATAAAGACTAAAAGAAGTTCAGCACTTGAAATATATAAATATCTAGTCTAGTCGACAAGTTGAAAATGGAACAAAATAGAGATACTGCTCTTAAAATTATGTGCGATAGCTCATTGGATCCGGAATGACGTCTAGAAAAATTTCTTAAATATTAATAGTTTATTAAATATTGGCAAAAAACTAAATGCCATTTTTTTTCATGTTTAATTGTCTATAACTTTTGCAAGTTTTTATGTGCTAATACACGCTTTTAGCACATTTTTCTAGACGTCATTCCGGATCCAATGAGCTATCGCACATAATTTTAAGAGCAGTATCTCTATTTTGTTCCATTTTCAACTTGTCGACTAGACTAATCCTGTTTATGGGGCATAAATGCTTATGGGATGGATTTGTTGTGTCAAATGATAACTCCGTCTGTACATTTTGCTGACTCTGGCTCTCTTACTTTTATAAGCTCGGTGATTTTCGAAATCATGGGAGTTACGCCCCGAGAGTATAGCCAGACGTAGGCTCTCTCTTCGACTGTTTCAGTATTTCGCTCTATTATTGTATGTGATTGTTTAATATAGAGTAAAAATAAAATCCTCTAATTTAAAGCACCCCGATGGCTCGGGAACCGTACACCTTCTTTTTTTAAATATAAATGTGAATGTTGTGTTTTCAGCCAAGTCGCATCGTGGAAGGTCAGTCGTCTAGTTCTGTGGAAAGATCGCCCGAAGAGAGGCACCAAAGGTCTAAATATAGGAGAAGAATAGGTAAGAATTTTTTTGCAATATTTTTTACCTGAGTATTATATTACTTATTTTAACTGAAATTAATTAATAATAAAACTTTCTTTTTCATCCTTTTTCCCATTCAATTTTTTTATTTCTAATTCCTAAATGCATGCATTTTAAAACACAGAAATTACATACAAGCAACATATAAGTAAAACAGCTAAAAGCTTTTGTTGAGATTCTCACAGCGTTCATAAAGAAAAGTAGAAAATAGTTGAAATCTATCTCCAGGAGAACGTCGCGGTCGTCAAGTGACGGAGGCGGAGGCGTTGCGCGCGATGCAACGGCTTTGTTCGCGAATAGCCTCGCAGAAGATGCTCGTCATCTCCTCGCTGGAGAACGATTGTTCTAAGGAGGACCTCAACGGACAGATACAGGTACGAGCTTAAACTAGGATTTTGGTATAGATGACGCTGTGTTGTGTTTGGATATACACTAGAATTCGTCGTATTGTTGTGAATTTTTATTATTATAAACTCTTGCAAAAAGACGGACACCTTAGGAATTTTTTAAAACTATTTTTTTATGAATTCTTGAAAACCGAAGTCCAACGTCCAAACAAGAAGTTGCTGGCAATAAAGATAAGATTTTTTTTCTTCTTTTTTAATTAAATAAAGTTACAATTGTTAAAACCTAATAACGAGTGTCGAGGTCATACACAAGGATTGAAGCTGTGATTCTTCTATATATAGATGGATGATGGATGTGGATAGAAATGCGGGCTTATTTTTTGGTTTACATAAAGGTTTTTTCCAGGTGTTACAAGAACTTCAAAAGAAATACGTTCGTCTAGAGATGGCGCTGCAATATTCATTCTTCGACAACCAGCCGAACAAGAGAACTATTATGGTGACTCCGATACAAGAGACTCCATCTCTTACGTTGAGTGAGAGTGACATGCACGTTGCCACGGAAACGGACCAAGAAAATAACAATGCCTATATACAGGACCCGCTCTTGCATAGGTACGTTTTGAAGTACTGTAATACTCGTCTGGTTCTAAAGTGGTTGAAGGAAAAAAATTGAGTGCGTACAAAGTACACGTATCAGAAGTGAAACTTCTTTATAAATTAATTATTACTAAGGTAAAAGCCCCAATAGATGATCATGTACCAGTATATGATCACTCCATGTATTTGTATATCTATATAAATAAATAAAAATCTGCGTTTACTGCACAAGACGTTATGCGACTTAATTGAATTGCTCTCTCGATCTCCCTTACTCTCTCTCAATCAATCTCACTATAGCTCTCTCCCACTTCTCGCTCCATGGCTATTTGCTTCATGCTACGTTCGCCCTTTCTCACTCTCTCTCCCTTTTCTTCGACATAAACACTGCACATCGTTGTGTTAACCTTTTTTTTTACCTTCTGCAATCAGCCTCATGGCTTTTATCAGATTTTATGATTTGATGTTTAACCATTAGGGAATGCAAATCCAATAATTTGTTTTCCTTCCGTAACTCGCAAACTAACAAACTGCGCCAAGTCTCGCCCTTCTCAGCCGAAACCCGCGGTCTGCCGTTTCCAAGAGGCCCGAAGCTAGGGAGTTAACGTGGTGCTGAAGTCTTCATTTGTATTCGGTTGATTTTTTAATGTCTTCCTCGACAGTTCTAATATGAACCTAGGTGCATATATACACGTTCCCCGAACGTGCGTGTGTACGGAATCTCGAATATTACTGAATCGATTTTGATGGAACTTGGACTGCTCTCTAAATGTGGAATGTTCGCATTAGCCGTTAGCAATAAACAATATAAACCGACTTTACAGAAAGGTATTCGCATTCGAGAACGAATGCTAAATGTAAATGTTTCTCCACAAATTCTCTGAAACTAAATCATATACTAGACAATGCTTTTTTATGAAGGTTCCAACTGCAGAAACAGTGTTCATCAAAATCGATTCACTGGTTTTTGAGATATTAACGCATTTATGTATAGCTAAATAATATTAATTTTAATTTTAAATATAATTATTTAAAAAAACGTGTCGTCTGTAGGTTAAAAGAACAAGAGGCGATAGAAGCGTCAGACAACGTGTCGACATCAAACGATGAACTGAGTTCGGAGCAGGCCTGGCCTGACCCTCTTCGGGCTTTGGCCCCAGAGCATCAGACTGACGACGAATGCGAAAATGACCGGGCACCGCTAGTTATACCGGTATGTGATATCTTTTTTGTTTTTATTTGATCCCGATTTTCAAGCTAATGGCCAAATTTTCTTACAGGACTACACGCTAGAAGGTCTCAGCCATCCAATCGATTTTTGTAAGTATATATAACATTCATGAGAGTAAAATAAACACAAATTTAATGATAATACATATATTAGCAGTGTTGGCCTAGTGGTTCGATCCTCGGTGAACCAATGAACTGGTGCGCATTTAACATTCGCTCGAACGGTGAAGGAAAACATCGACTGCGTGCGATAGGCACAGGAGGCTGTTCTTGAATGATCATGAAACACATTCAGAAATCGTGTTTTAAAACTAATCAAAATTTTACTTACATATTTGAATAACTTGAAATTTAGCGATAAGATATCGTAAGACATAGACATAGAAATAAAATTTATTACTAACGAAACACTCACACAGAAACACGCAAAATAATAATAATCAAACAACAAAAAAATATTTTTTTTGCTCCTGGCTCGGCATTATACTGTGCATTATGTGGTAGAGTAAAGTATAAATGATTTCTCAAATACTAATAGAATATAAATAACAGCGGAGGTAATATCGGTCCCGGGCTGGGTGACGCGCGGGGCAGGCGCGGGCACGCACCACGAGTACGAAGTGCGTATACGCTTGGGCCCGAGGTGCTCTTGGCAGCTGCTTAGGCGATATCGCCGCTTCAGGGACCTCTATCTCTTTACCCGGAAACAGTACGGGGAGAAGGTAATACTCAAAAGACTTCATTATACAAAGAAAATATTTTGTTCTAATTCTGCGCAGGTGTGACTTATTATTTATCTCTACCCTTAGCTTGAGGAAAATGTCAAATGTTTTAATGAATACTGAACTTATTAAAATAATGGCGTTTTAGTTTTTAGCGTAGACTTTATCGTATTAACGAATACTTGACACTATCATATAGTTTATTATAACGGTATTATATCGCTTGCCCCGTGGCAGAAAATTGCGTTTGGACGTTGGACTTCCTTGGGTGATGTACTATAATTCGTTAGAAATTCTAACGAATTATAGTACATCATTTTTTTAAATCAGAATTTTTGGATAACATTTTATTATAAAAACCCGAGGATATCTTTATTCTATGGGATTTTTTTTTGTTACAATATTATTAATACTCATTTACCTAATTTTACTTAAATAAATCGCAACAACCTTAAAGATAGTTTTAGTTATATATATTTGTTTATGTAATATAATTAGTATCCTAGTAATAATAGCATTTTCTTCTTTTATTTTTCCTGAAAAAATTCTTTTGTTCCCCGATGCCAGCGATATACATATTTAAAAACGACTAAATACAGAACCACATCATTCCCAATGCAACGTTTGTTGTAATTACAATTGACTTATAAAAAAGTATTATAGGTAGCGGCGATACCGTTTCCCGGACGGGCCCTTTGGTCTTCGGAGGGCTTGGCCCGGTCGCGAAGACCGCAGTTGGAGATGTTCCTCCGTCGGCTGTTAGCGGTCTGTGCGACCGACCGCCGATGTCCGTTACACGCGTCGCCGCTCACCCGAGACAACCTCGTCGCGTTCTCGCCTTTCTTTAGGAAGGTGAGTCATTATTTGCTTCTCAATAATGTAGTAGCATTTTTAACATCAGTGTTCCAGTAAATTTAAAAAATCTATCAGTGGATAGTTTCGAAAGTTCTGTTCATTCGGAAGTACTGTAGTAGATATATTAGGTCCTTACATATGATATTGGCGTTTTGTTGTAATGGCATTTTGACCTCAAATATCTCCTCTTTGGTTAGGAATCCCAATTTTTTAGAACTCTAGACCACACACTGCACAAAGAATTGTTACCAAATTAGAGGAGCTTCAATTGGAATGTCTAAAACATCACCCGTACTCCCCGGACCTTGCTCCAACAGAGTTTTTTCGAAATTAGGATAACTTCTTGCAAAAAATTCAACTCTGATGGGGCAGTCGAAACCGCCTACAAAGATTTTATTGTTTCCCGTTGGAATGTTTTTTTTAGTAAAAGGATCAATGAACTGCCTTTAACATGGCAAAAGTGCATAGATAGCAATGGTACATACCAATTTTATATGTAAGGACCGAATATTATTTATTCTTATCGATTCTGTTCTGTGACGTAAAAAAAGTTAACAAGAAGCTTAGAAGAGGGCTTCGCTTCGCTCTCCCCAAAGCGTTCTAAAAAAAAATAAAAATAAAATATGTTTATTATGGAACATAAGATACATGTATCACTTATTCCACGTCATTAAATTTGAAGGCATCCCTACTCATCGGCAAAGAAGACAGAGGGTGTAGGCCGAGAGAAAAGCCGGCGTAAAAAACTCTCGGTACTCTTTTAAAACAGCAAATCATCAAACAACACTTATTTAAAACAAATATCGCAAATTGATTAGAAGTAGCCTGTCTAGCACTAGTCCCAGGACCTTTTATCAACTAGATAATCGTTGACTTTATAGTAAGCCTTTTTACACAGCTTTTCTTTAATACATTTTTTAAATTTATTGAAAGGCAGTGATAAAAGAGCCTCTGGGATTTTATTAAAGAAGAGTATCCCTTTCCCAAAAAAAGAATTACTAACTTTAGATAGTCTAGTACGGGGAAATTGCAGCCTGCGTTTGTTCCGTGTATTAACATTGTGCGTATGTTCTATTCTAGTAAACTTATCACTATTTTTGTATACATACATAATATTTTCATAAATATATTGCGAGGGAAAGGTAAGTATATTAATTTCCTTGAATTTATCTCTAAGAGATTCCCTACATTTTAAATTATAGATTGCACGAATAGCCCTCTTCTGCAGGATGAAAATAGTTTCGACATCAGCAGCATGACCCCATAATAATAAGCCATAAGTCATTAAGCTATGAAAGTAACTAAAATAAACAAGTCTAGCTGTATCGACATCAGTTAGTGAGCGAATTTTTTTAACCGCGTAGGCTGCAGAACTAAGTCTCTTCGCCAATCCGTTAATATGAGGGGACCATTGAAGTTTTGAATCCATGGTGATTCCGAGAAATACAGTTGTATCATCCAGATTCAATTCCTCACCGTTTATAATTGGTCTAGTATCCATAACCCTTGCATTTTTTGCACAAAATTTAATGCATTTTGTCTTTTTGCATTAAGTAGAAGGTTATTCATACTAAACCAATGGACAATCGAAGACAGAGCATTGTTCACATCGTCAAAATTTGTTATTTGTCGTTTGATTTTAAAAATCAAGGACGTGTCATCAGCAAACAAAACTATCTGATGTTTTCTCTCTACCATGAAAGGAAGATCATTTATATAAACAAGAAAGAGGAAAGGGCCAAGAATTGAGCCCTGTGGTACCCCCATATCTACTGCCGACCCAGAGGACCTCTTACCATTCACTTCAACCTTCTGAGTTCTTCCGTGTAAATAGGAAGTCAGAAGATTCAGTGCCGTATTCTTGATGCCATAGTGGCGGAGTTTCCCGATTAAGGTCTCGTGTTGGACACAATCAAATGCTTTGGATAAGTCGCAGAAAACACCTAAAGCGTCATGCGACTCCTCCCAAGCCTTAACTATATATCTATATAACTCAACACCGGCATCGGCTGTCGAGCGACCCTTGGTAAAACCGAACTGATTATTATGTAATAATTTGTTTACGTTAAAATGACTTACCAGTTGATTTAATATAATTTTTTCAAATATTTTACTACAAGTAGGTAGTACGGAAATTGGTCTAAAGTTACTGGGGTCGGACATACTACCTGCTTTAAATAAAGGAATAACTTTACTATGTTTCATTAGATCGGGAAACTCGCCACTTTTAATACAATTGTTGAAAATTATAGCTAGATGGGGAGCAATTACATCAATTATGCTACTAATTATTTTTACAGAAATACCCCAAAGATCGGTAGTGTTCTTAATATCTATGGTTCTAAATATCCTCACTATATCGTCGGCACCAATGGGTCGGAATGAAAAACTGACCTTGCACTCGTTTACATTATCTTTGAGCAGCGATTCGGCGAGGGCGGGAGATGATTGAAGAGACTTAGTAGTCGAAATTGGAATGTCAGAAAAGTACTTATCAAAAACAATCGCTATCTCTTCGTTAGATTTGATTATAGTGTTATCGACACATAGTTCGATGTCTTGATTGCGATCCCTGACTCTTCCAGTTTCACTATCAATTATCTTCCAAGTCATTTTAGTTTTATTGGTACTATTTTTAATCTTGTTTTTGATATTTAAGGACTTGGCCGCGTAACAAACTTTCTTAAATAATTTCGAATAATTTCGAACATAAAGAATAAATTCTTCATTATGATTGTATGACTTTTCAGCGTAAAGGTCATACAACCGTTGTCTACTTTTATAAATTCCCGCTGTCGCCCAATCACTAAACGATTTACACTGCGAATGAGAGACTTTCTTTGGGGTAAAGATGGTGTTGAACTCTTTATTAATACAATCACTTAGATTGTTGTATTGTGTATCAACGGTAGTACCTACCGGTAATAAAGGTAGGCGTTTACCTATATTATGTCTAAATCTCACCATTCGCTTTTTATTCACTGGAACAAACACACTGCTCTTATTTACTTGTTTCACCACTTTACATTTTAGCGCCACTAACTGTCCACAATGATCTGAGCTAAGATCAGTTGTAATTGAGGTTTGTATTGCCTCTGCATCTGTAAATACATTATCTATACATGTAGCAGTGGAGCTTGTAATTCTAGTGGGCTCAAGAAACAAGTTAACAAGATTGTAAGATTTTAATAACAGATTGAATTTTTTTACTAATGGAGGTATTTTCTAATAAATTTATATTGAAGTCACCACATACAATAATATACTTATTGTTCTTAAAACTAACTTTACACAAAATTTCCTCCAACTTTTCTTCAAAAAAAATCGTAAGATGCACTTGGTGGTCTGTAAACACTTAAAATAATGCAATTCTCAATCTCTATACAGGCTACTTCCAAAGAGTGTTCTACAGACAGACACACGATGTCATTACGCTCTTTATACTTTAAATTTTTATTAACAATAATCAAAGAGCCCCCATGAATCGCCGACAATCTGCAAAACGAACTTGCAACTTGGTGCTGATCAAAGTTAAAGATGATTTGGCATTCTCTAAGCCAATGTTCGGTAATGCATAGGACATCAATTTTACTTGATTTTAAAAACAACTCCAATTCTAATTCTTTGCCCAACATACCTTGCATGTTTTGATGCATCAAGTTTAAACAGTTGTTGTTAGTAATATAACATGTTTGTGTTGAGCTGAGTTGTACTAAATTATTGCTAGAGTTTGCCTCTATTGTCACACTATCTAATTTAAATTATTTATACTTAATGAAGTGCTACTGCAAGTATCACTACATTCACTTAAGCTAAGCTGCTCAATAGAAGCAGTTGTCTGAAAAGCTAGCTGCTCAATAGAAGCAGTTGTCTGAAAAGCTAAATGTTTAGCTTTAGTTGTAAATAAAAAGTAAGATAGCATAGTAGCTATCTGTTGTAAATAATAATTAGGTAGGCGGAACCTATCCTTTGTCAATACATAATATAATATATCTAACCTATCTGACATAAATTTCTGGTGTGTACCTAATCTGTGCCGCCATTATGCCTCAACCAAACAAATCTGCAAAAGCGCCTCTTACGATGAATAGTGTAGTAATTCCCGACCACGACATAATATTTGCAATGTGATAATTGTCAGGGCGTGTTCGAAAGCGGCAAGTGCGGCACGGGATGATGCCGCGCGGAGCTCGTCACTCGCGCACTGCGCTCCGACCTGCGCAGACTCGCGCACGTCGCCTTCGCTGCGCTCATCCTGCTCGCACGCTGCGCCGCTCTGGCGCTCTACTACCTCTATCTACGGCTCAGCCGCAGATAGGGCCGACTTCACTTTAGGGGCTTGTGAGGGACTTGACTTGGGGTGAATTATCATTAACTGAACTTTAGAGGTATAACTTCGCGACTGTATATTAACCTTGTTTAAAAAAAACATATTTAATGTAATGAAAATAATTTTTTACTTCTGTGAACTATTTTGCTTTTTACAGAATTGTAATGTGAAAATTCGGCCTAATCTGTATGATTTAAGAAATTACCTAACGTATACGTAATGCATGATTGTATTTATTTAAAAGTGACTAAAATGTCTGTAACTTAACAATAATTATAAAATAATTAACATTCCCCCAAAGATTGGTCGATGTCCCCACTTCCCTCGGTGTAGCGTATAAGCGAGTAATGCGGGTGCCTTTATGTATTGTGTTCTGTTATTTCCACTCTTTATGTGTCACTGTAGTGTATGTATATATAATACTTAACACAGATATTATTAATAGTAAAAAAAGTAATTAAATCGCTTGAAAAACACTTGAAGCTACACAATTGAAAAAAAACTATTTCTCAACCCATATACAAAACTGCTTTAAAGTAAAGAGTGGATAATAATATCTACACAAAATCGGATGTCCTTAACTTGATTTGACTGTACCATTCCTTTTAGTACGGGAGGTAGCAACGTTTTCGAGAAAGAATTTCAGGTCAGCTGATTTTGTGATATGTCTTCCTTCTTGCACTTCCGGTTAGAGTCTGGGCAATCTGGCTGGCGGTAGCGGTTGCGTTCATTAGTGCGCATCCTATCTGTCCAGGTAATAATCCTGGATTTTAAAAGCATTTTAAGAAGCGTAATTTTTAATTTTTCGTTTTTAAATACGTCTACCTGACATACTTTTTTTATTGCCAGACATTTTTCACGTTGCTAACTATGTGCCAGACGCGATTTTAAGTTTTATTTTTATAAAAATTTCAAAGCATTTTAGAATGTCTGTAATTTTAATATTATGTTATTTAAATATAAGAAAAACTGAAAATGAATTTGCCAGACATTAATTCGGTTGTTAAGTCTTGAATTAAAATGATAAAGTATTGCAGTATGATGAAGCATTGCATTTTAAGAAGCGTAATTTTTGATTTTTCCTTTTTAAATACGTCTACCTGACATACTTTTTTATTGCCAGACATTTTTCACGTTGCTAACTATGTGCCAGACGCGATTTTAAGTTTTATTTTTATAAAAATTTCAAAGCATTTTAGAATGTCTGTAATTTTAATATTATGTTATTTAAATATAAGAAAAACTGAAAATGAATTTGCCAGACATTAATTCGGTTGTTAAGTCTTGAATTAAAATGATAAAGTATTGCAGTATGATGAAGCATTGCATTTTAAGAAGCGTAATTTTTGATTTTTCCTTTTTAAATACGTCTACCTGACATACTTTTTTTATTGCCAGACATTTTTCACGTTGCTAACTATGTGCCAGACGCGATTTTAAGTTTTATATTTATAAAAATTTCAAAGCATTTTAGAATGTCTGTAATTTTAATATTATGTTATTTAAATATAATTAAAACTGAAAATGAATTTGCCAGACATTAATTCGGTTGTTAAGTCTTGAATTAAAATGATAAAGTATTGCAGTATGATGAAGCATTGCATTTTAAGAAGCGTAATTTTTGATTTTTTCCTTTTTAAATACGTCTACCTGACATACTTTTTTTATTGCCAGACATTTTTCACGTTGCTAACTATGTGCCAGACGCGATTTTAAGTTTTATTTTTATAAAAATTTCAAAGCATTTTAGAATGTCTGTAATTTTAATATTATGTTATTTAAATATAAGAAAAACTGAAAATGAATTTGCCAGACATTAATTCGGTTGTTAAGTCTTGAATTAAAATGATAAAGTATTGCAGTATGATGAAGCATTGCATTTTAAGAAGCGTAATTTTTGATTTTTCCTTTTTAAATACGTCTACCTGACATACTTTTTTTATTGCCAGACATTTTTCACGTTGCTAACTATGTGCCAGACGCGATTTTAAGTTTTATTTTTATAAAAATTTCAAAGCATTTTAGAATGTCTGTAATTTTAATATTATGTTATTTAAATATAAGAAAAACTGAAAATGAATTTGCCAGACATTAATTCGATTGTTAAGCCTTGAATTAAAATGATAAAGTATTGCAGTATAATGCTTGTAGTACGAGCATAAAAAGGTATATAAAATTAGATTAAAATTAATAATCAACACTTTATTTAAATTGTCCTAATTACTAAATGTAAGTTATGAATAATTATATTAAGTTTTTCAAGTTGTTTTAGCCTATAGTGACGTCACAAACAAGAGGCATCTTCATAATCATCATCATCATCGTCGCTGTCTTTGTCGGTGTCATTCATATCATCTTCTTGGGAACTTTCGTTATCTTCTAAAACTCTATCATCTGCAACAGAAAAAAAATAAACAGTGTAATTTTTCTTGTTCGTTATTAAACATTTTAGTTATTATTGATAAATGTTCCATTTAACACTTACTTTACTTAACAATAATCTGCAACTGAGGATGGTAATTGATAGAGTTTTAGAAGATAACGAAAGTTCCCAAGAAGATGATATGAATGACACCGACAAAGACAGCGACGATGATGATGATGATTATGAAGATGCCTCTTGTTTGTGACGTCACTATAGGCTAAAACAACTTGAAAAACTTAATATTAATTATTCATAACTTACATTTAGTAATTAGGACAATTTAAATAAAGTGTTGATTATTAATTTTAATCTAATTTTATATACCTTTTTATGCTCGTACTACAAGCATTATACTGCAATACTTTATCATTTTAATTCAAGGCTTAACAATCGAATTAATGTCTGGCAAATTCATTTTCAGTTTTTCTTATATTTAAATAACATAATATTAAAATTACAGACATTCTAAAATGCTTTGAAATTTTTATAAAAATAAAACTTAAAATCGCGTCTGGCACATAGTTAGCAACGTGAAAAATGTCTGGCAATAAAAAAGTATGTCAGGTAGACGTATTTAAAAAGGAAAAATCAAAAATTACGCTTCTTAAAATGCAATGCTTCATCATACTGCAATACTTTATCATTTTAATTCAAGACTTAACAACCGAATTAATGTCTGGCAAATTCATTTTCAGTTTTAATTATATTTAAATAACATAATATTAAAATTACAGACATTCTAAAATGCTTTGAAATTTTTATAAAAATAAAACTTAAAATCGCGTCTGGCACATAGTTAGCAACGTGAAAAATGTCTGGCAATAAAAAAGTATGTCAGGTAGACGTATTTAAAAAGGAAAAATCAAAAATTACGCTTCTTAAAATGCAATGCTTCATCATACTGCAATACTTTATCATTTTAATTCAAGACTTAACAACCGAATTAATGTCTGGCAAATTCATTTTCAGTTTTTCTTATATTTAAATAACATAATATTAAAATTACAGACATTCTAAAATGCTTTGAAATTTTTATAAAAATAAAACTTAAAATCGCGTCTGGCACATAGTTAGCAACGTGAAAAATGTCTGGCAATAAAAAAAGTATGTCAGGTAGACGTATTTAAAAAGGAAAATCAAAAATTACGCTTCTTAAAATGCAATGCTTCATCATACTGCAATACTTTATCATTTTAATTCAAGACTTAACAACCGAATTAATGTCTGGCAAATTCATTTTCAGTTTTTCTTATATTTAAATAACATAATATTAAAATTACAGACATTCTAAAATGCTTTGAAATTTTTATAAAAATAAAACTTAAAATCGCGTCTGGCACATAGTTAGCAACGTGAAAAATGTCTGGCAATAAAAAAGTATGTCAGGTAGACGTATTTAAAAAGGAAAAATCTAAAATTACGCTTCTTAAAATGCAATGCTTCATCATACTGCAATACTTTATCATTTTAATTCAAGACTTAACAACCGAATTAATGTCTGGCAAATTCATTTTCAGTTTTTCTTATATTTAAATAACATAATATTAAAATTACAGACATTCTAAAATGCTTTGAAATTTTTATAAAAATAAAACTTAAAATCGCGTCTGGCACATAGTTAGCAACGTGAAAAATGTCTGGCAATAAAAAAGTATGTCAGGTAGACGTATTTAAAAAGGAAAAATCAAAAATTACGCTTCTTAAAATGCAATGCTTCATCATACTGCAATACTTTATCATTTTAATTCAAGACTTAACAACCGAATTAATGTCTGGCAAATTCATTTTCAGTTTTTCTTATATTTAAATAACATAATATTAAAATTACAGACATTCTAAAATGCTTTGAAATTTTTATAAAAATAAAACTTAAAATCGCGTCTGGCACATAGTTAGCAACGTGAAAAATGTCTGGCAATAAAAAAAGTATGTCAGGTAGACGTATTTAAAAAGGAAAAATCTAAAATTACGCTTCTTAAAATGCAATGCTTCATCATACTGCAATACTTTATCATTTTAATTCAAGACTTAACAACCGAATTAATGTCTGGCAAATTCATTTTCAGTTTTTCTTATATTTAAATAACATAATATTAAAATTACAGACATTCTAAAATGCTTTGAAATTTTTATAAAAATTAAAATTAAAATCGCGTCTGGCACATAGTTAGCAACGTGAAAAATGTCTGGCAATAAAAAAAGTATGTCAGGTAGACGTATTTAAAAACGAAAAATTAAAAATTACGCTTCTTAAAATGCTTTTAAAATCCAGGATTATTACCTGGACAGATAGGATGCGCACTAATGAACGCAACCGCTACCGCCAGCCAGATTGCCCAGACTCTAACCGGAAGTGCAAGAAGGAAGACATATCACAAAATCAGCTGACCTAAAATTCTTTTTTTTCAAACGTTGCTACCTCCCGTACTATTTGTTTCTTATTCCAATTTAGTAAATACTTTTTATTTATTGACGGACAACAAATCATTCGTTCATTCATTTAGTTCAAATGTCATCGCACAATTAAAGTAGTATTTGAAGAGAAATCCAACACCTTAAGTGGAAAAACATTTATTTAACTGTTGAGTTTGGCAATATTAATTATTACAGTATCGTGTAATTATCTACAATTGTGTGTCGACACGTTTCCATCTACTAGTGTTCAAACAGATACATTTAAAATGATATTGTGAATGAACGAATGAAGATAACCAACCATTCGCAAAGCAATGGAGATGACGTCATTAATTGTATTGAAAGACTTAGTTAATTTATTTATTAGGAATACCTTTAAGGAGTGTTCTGTATATTTGTGGTTCAAGTCTTCCTTTAGTCTTGTTTTGTATCAATTGGGGACAATCCTTTGAGAAGAATGCGTAGCATCTCTTTTTCGTATTTATATTTAGAAAGAGATGGAGAATTTTACTTGAAGAATCTAGATATCTCGATTATACGAAAGTATGATTCTGTCTTTTCTAGATTCATGGAAGATGGAATAAAGCACCCAAATTTAGTCTATTTTTGCATGTGACGAGCTCTGGAAATTTTATCTGTAGGTAGGAAATAATAAATGCACTAGATTTTATCTCATTGTAACTAACATACCCACAATGTCACGAAAATGTATTTTTGTAGTTCTTTCTTATAGGCCTGAACATATTGTTGTGCGGTAAACTATATAGCCAAGCTTTATGATGATACAAGCTGATGTTTTCGATAGACTTTGCATACACCTATATTCTTGAATTTGACTAGAAACAAATGAGCACTATAACAGAGTCTTGAAACCTTAATCTTCATTTTTTCGAATTATTTGCGAATCAACATTAATTTGTTCTCAAAATGGCCGATAGTAGCATGTTTGATTTTTGTGTTATGGTTGTGATTTTTGTTTAAGTTTTCTACTAACATGCACGATTTGAAGTTCCAAGTGACAATACAGATCTTGACTATTTAAAATAAATATGTTATAATATAACAAATACTATTTTGCGCATAGCTAATAGATGACGGCGGCAGTTGTCCTATGTCGTGAATAAAAAATACTATTTCTCAATTTATGCTGATAAGTCCGATATTATATTGTATAAAAGTGTCATCTTCACTTTATTATGTGTAGAATATGTACTTACTCTACTTTTGAACAATTAACATTTTATATATTTCTATAATTATTTCTTGTAATGTAGCTGAGTAAAGGTACAAAATGTCTTTATTGGATTGTTGGACGAGAATTTTTTGTTGTGGCATTTTCAAAAGAATTATATACCTCATTTGGGGGCCCGGTAACTAGAACATACCAACTTATTAAATACGACGATTTTGAGTGGTTTAAACAGTTCCTGGATTTTTGTCTATTCAATGTGCAGAAAAGTCTTGTCTAACAATACAGATATAGTAGATTTCAATAATTCAGTATTGTCTAATTAGTTGTGTTCAAATTTACAAATTATTTATTTAACAAATGGCTTATATATATTATAAATGGCCTTGTAGATAGATAAAAATATCGAATTTAAGAAAATTATAGTGAGTTAATACATTCTTAGATATATTTTGTCTATGATATCAAATACTAAAATGTAGTAACAATTTTCATGTCATGTGATCACCAGATTGATATTTTAGTATTTATTGATTGTATATTAATTTGTGAAGTTTATGCTTTAGTACAAAATGCACTTGGCACATTTATTTTTTTCCATTAACAGTTAGTTTTAATTAGTCTGGGAAGAGAAGTTTTTTGGACCACAGCTGGTATTATAAAATCTTTATTAAAAGCGTTGGGATATAAATATTGTAATATTAATTAACCTTACTTATTTTTATTAGACAAAAATCAATTCGATCTAAATATGATATATAAATATCCCAAAGTCTTATGGTGTATTAACACCAACTTGCAATATAACTAGTATATAAGTATATGCATTTTCTCTTTTTTTATAAATTTTTGTCTCGAAATGGATTTTTTAATTACTAACTATAGTTTTTGTTTTTCTTTAATTGTTGCCTCTTATCTAGAAGTGTTCTTTTTATTGCATAATACATATTTATAGTTGTAGGAAAATAGTTTTAAGAAGTTGCTGGTTGATCCTCTCATAAAAATATATTGTTGAAAAAATATTGGCGTTGAAATGTAGTTACTAAATTAATTACTCTATGTATGATTGCCTTCACAAATAGAGGTCTATTTATGTAATATCCAAATGTATATGGTGCTGGTAGAAGTTAACCAGCTAACAATTACTTTTGTTAAGAACAATAAAAAGGAATGTTTTACACTTAAATCTTTTATTTAAAATTATATACATACAAGTGTCTTTGTTATAGTAACAGAACATGTAAATTCCGTCAAGTCTATACATGTTAATGAGAACTTTTTTAAAATAATTACCAAAGTTTTTTAATGAAATGTTAAGTGCTCAGGGTTGCCTGTTAATTAAAGAATTACACAATCTGTACCTAATTTCATAATTATTTTTCATTATAATATATACAATAGATAATTTGAAATCAATATGCCTATAGTTTATCTTAAAACAGCATCCAAATCAAAGTTAGCATAACATGAAAATTCATTAGCTAGATTATTCCTGTGCTGTGGTTCAAATTCACAAATTTTTAAATTCAACAGTCGTTCTATATTTTCTTTCATAACTGTACCTGTACATACTACAATCTTATCTTTAGATAATAATTTGATTGTTTCTGAAGTTTTTTGAATACATTCCTCAGCTAGGAATGGTGGATCTGCAATAACCAAGTCATATGTGTGTTCTAAACCTTGTGGCAACTTATCTGGTGTATTATAATCATAGAAAATATAATCTGGTGCATGAACTTCAAATCTTCTATCATATTCCAAAAGTGATACTGAAATAAATATACAGTTGTGTTATTTCACAACAGGTAATATTTTTCTATTATTTAAAACCTAAATAAAATTAGATTAATTTATGGGTATAACTTACAGCTAATTCTATTTCCCATATGTCTTTTGGCTGGTACAAAAAGTGTGGGGCATGATATTAATGCAACCTTCCCACCATTGGGAACAGATTTCTCAATTACTTGGACCAGGGCTTGTATTGTTGCTTCATTATACCAAAACTGGCTTAGTTGCTAAAAAAATAAAATAATTAAGTATCATAATTACTTTTAAATAATGTTTCAGACTTAATTTTCATATACCAGTACCCAGTTTTCTTCAAATATAATATTTTCATTTAATTTTTGGTCTGCTTCCAACTTGTTAAGTATTTCTAAACGTTTGTCTTGTTCGGCATAGAATTCTTGTAATGCTGCAAAAGTTTCCGCCGACAAACTCGGTATATCATCATCTTCGTCCATTTTTCTAATTAACCTATTATTATATGAATAGTACCCTGACAGATAAAAATAGGTTAGGTGGCCCGTAGTTTGGTTTGCTCAACGTGAAACGTCTAACTTCTAAGGTTAGTAATTGGCACGATTCACGTGTAGTAATACCACAACGAAGAAGTTAAATCGTAATAAGCCTATATACTTACCTGTTATATTACGATTTGTTTTTAAGGTAAAGGTAAGTTTTAGTTATATTCAACTTTATTATTATGGATAGGTTATAAGGTTTTAGTTTTAAATATTTGTAAATAAACATTAAATTAAAAAAAATATCTCATTTGACAATTTACTGTTGAAAGTTAACACAGTTTTAAATTTTATAAACTGCATATCAAATTACAGACTACAAGTCAGACAAGACAGTCGTTGCACAGTTTACATAAGGCTACAGCCTTAAAAATAAATTAGGCGCCGTAGTTTGAATAGGTGTAAGTTTACTACTTTTTATTATAAATATGACATTTATTTATTTGTACCGACAAAAGTGTAAAGGCCAACAAAAGGCAATGCATGATGATCTCTGATTTTAAAATGTTGTATACTTACTCGTATAAGTGGGCTTCGGGCCCCGCCTGTGTTATTTAATAATTAGGCTTATGTATTACACGTACCTAATCAATCAATATTTATATTTTACAGTTAATACTCGAGAATCATGACGTGTTCTGAAATTGATTTGAAAGTGCTACCTCTCCACAAACATTCTCAATATTTGGAAGCGTGCGTAGATATGATAAATGAAGAATGGCCTAGAAGTAAAACTGCTAGAATGAAGTCTTTGACGGCATCTTGCGACAATCTGCCTACAAGTTTAATACTTATAAACAACAAAATGAATTTACTAGGTCACGCTAAGCTTACTCGTTTGCCAAATATACCAAATAGTTGTTTTGTTGAAACTGTCGTTATAACTAAACATATGCGTGGTAAAAAGTTGGGTACTTTTTTAATGAGAAAGGTTGAATGCTATTGCAAAAATGTTCTTCACTTAAAAATGCTACATTTATCTACAAAGGGACAAGAAGAATTCTACAGCAAATTAGGGTATGAGATATGTCCTCCAGTTTCTACTTATGGCAACCCTGTCAGTATTGTTGTTAAACCTGATAAAGCAGAGAAAATGAATCAAGAAACATGTGGAAATATACCCCCTCCTCCTCCATTACCCAAGCTTCAGAGTGTTGCTAGTACTAATATTAAATCAAGTAAAACATTTATGTTTAAATATTTGTAGACTCAAAATTTAACTAAGGCTATCAAATTAAAGGTCGTGTTAAATTTTATTAATTAATCAAACACATAAATATTAAATGTTTAATTCAATTATCTAAAACTTCGCTTTATCTACATATTCTAGTGCTTTTTGACGAATTTCCTCCGCTTGGTCCTTATCTCCATACTTTTCTTCCACTTCTATCCACTTTTTGAACAAAACCTTCATTTTGCGTGCTGGCAACTTGTGAGCCGTCATCCGCTCCAGCACTTGCCTATGAAGAGATTATATTAATTAATTCACATTTAATTATGATGTAATATAACTATAGCGCGATGGATTTTTCGCGAGAAATAATTATCCATTGTTAGAAACCCACCATAACTTAGACCCAAAGATAGACATAGAAGAATCTTTAAATAATTGTTTAAATATTAAACAGATGCAGAGAGGCGTCTCTCAATGCCCAAGGAGCATAACAGAACTTCACACAAGAATTAAGCGGTTGTTAGATTTAAGTAGTATTTAAGTAACATACGTACGTATAAAATATATAATTTATGGTGGCCTGGAAGAGATTTCTTAGAAGCCCATTGCATTGTTAACTTTCATTCGTATTTGTTTCTTATATGCTGTGATAAATACCTGATCCGAGTGACGTCGCCAGTCTTCAAAAGCATATCGACGAAAGCGCAGCAAACGTCAACGCGAGCGGGATAAACGGCGAGCACTTGCTCGAACAACGCTTCGGCTCGTTCACGTTCGCCCCACGCTCGCTCTAGTTGCGCGAATTGCACTAATAACGACACATCTGCAACAGATAAATATGTCTTGTTGATAAAATGGTATGGGAACTGTTTACCTCAACGCAGAAGTTTCACAGAAAGTATCATTTTGTATGTCTTTCATTAATAAATGTAATTTAACCGTAACTGCTGTTTTTTTAATTAATTTAGATCATATAACTTATCTAAAACAACATGTAAAATACGGAAATGCAGGACACGTGATGAGAGAAGAAGGGAAAAATTTACAAATAAGGTACCAGAGTGGTACTCAAAGATGGAAAGCGAAGAAACAAAGGCAGGTGAGGCGATATGAGGACGAACATGAGAAAGGTAGCCGGGGTATAAAAGCTAGGGACAGATCAAAATGGCGACATTTGGGTAAGGACTTTGTTGAGATAAAAAATACCCTAGACTAAAGGATTTTAAAAAAAATATATAAAGTTGAAGAGTTTGTTAAACGCGCTGAATTTAAAGATTTGTATCGGATAACACCACGGTGAAAAACTAGTTTATATATATCTCTATTTACAAAGGCATAATATTTGCCAATTTTATCCAATACTAATACCGAAAATAAATTATGCTTACTTTCGCAAAATACTTGTTTGGGTTTATCTCGATTAAAAGATTTTCAATGAAACAACTTGTCTACTTTGACTTTTGGTCATGCTTATTTCGATACTCACGTTCCTTCTTCTCCAAAGCCGCCATACCCTTCTGCATCAGCTGCCTTGCCTTATCTAATAAACCGGCTTTATAACAGACAGAACCACACACAATATACATGTTAATATTCTTGCGATATTTCCTCTGCATCAAGTCACAGATCTGGATTAACTCCTGCTGATTACTGGTATCTAGGAGTATCTCCAGTAGTTTGCTGTGAACCTGGTACGTATCGTTCATTTGTAGGGCTTCTTCGAGGGTCTTTGTTTGGGTTTCCTGGAAATTTTAGGTGATCTACATTAAAAGTGGTTTTACGGCGAGTGATAATTACGCCCCTTTTCATCACAAACAGTAAACAACGCACAAGTAAAGATAACATATTATTTCTTCAAAAAGGTTTTAACCTGGAATTAGTAAGCAGTGATGCCAGATAAATAATGAAATAAAGTAATTAAAGTTAATTCGATTTTGAAATATTGTTCGTGATATTGAAATATTTGTTATTTTTGTATTAGGTCATTTGAGTAATAAATATTTAGATTTACCTTTTTGTAGGTAAAAGATAAAAAATACTAATAAATGGGTCAAATTTGTCCCTTTATCGGTGGAGAACTTTTTCGTAGCAACACTTATGAAATGTCAGAATTCTACGGAATTAAAAGTCAGAGTTTAGCTAGGGTCTGGGTATAGTTGCTCCTCTCACGGTTTGTAAATCAGTTCTCCTTTAGTTTTTATAATTTATGAATCAATGATTATTTTTTTCTTTTCGTGTATGTTATGTTTGCCTATAAGTGCTGGTAACTTTATATATATTTTTTTCTTGTACCAATGTATCAGTGTGCCAAACGTCGCAAGCTTTTGTAGATAAATAAAAAATATTTTAAAATCGAAAGATAACTTTTAATCGTGCAATTGAATGCTTACCTTGGTACCAAACCGATGTTCGAGGTTTAGTAAAGCGATCCAAACATTGAGTCGTTCTTGTTCCTCTCTAAAGTTAATTGTGTTAATCGCTTTACGTGCCACGCCGCGCGCTCGCTCTATCTCTGTCGCCTGTATTGGAACAAAGAGAGACAACGTTTTATATACAGTGAAACATTTAAGCTGTCAAATTAGACAACTTAGAACTGAACTATTTTGTCTCTTTCTGTCAAATATTTATTAGTAGCACATGTCTGGGCGCGTATATTTCTGCAGGAATATTTCCTTAATTCCTTATTATTCATACCTGAAGGTGGAAAGCCATATATGCAATCCAAAGCTGACTGCAGTCCGGGCTCGCCATTAGCGCCCTCTGGAACTGCTCAACCGATCGGGGCTCATTCTCACTCTCTATCGCCCTCTTCTCCATTTCTCTCACTTTTTCTTCTTCTTCTCTCGCTTTAGCCACTTTTTCTGCTGCTGTCAGTTTCTTGCGTTTCTTTTTGGGTCTTTCTTCTTCCTGAAATTATTAAGTCAACATATTAAGGTTATTGTATAGAAAAAGATAACAATTCGAATTGAATCGAGTTCGTTATTTTATTTAAGTAAGGGAGCGTTCAAGTATTACATAACGCGTTTTGCGAGGGGGGTCCTTTTGTAAAACGTTACGATGCGGGGCGGGGATTGAATTACGCGTTATTGTTAATATTATTTTCGACTTACACCACATAATAATAACTAAAGAGACACAAGGTGGTCACGAAACGTTTTACTATACTTGATTACAGTACTGTACTAGGGTACTGAAAAACGTTACGGCGAGATACATGGGGGGCGGTCAATAATCTCCAAAAATTGCGTTACGTAATACGTGAACGCTCCCTAAATCAACATGACTTATTATGAAAATGATTCGTAAAACTGACAAAATACGCAAAGATTCACTGAGATTTCCGATAGAATGCGAGTGAGACACCGGAGCCTCTGTAAGACTTTGCCGGAACTACTCGAGGTGGTTTTAGTGGGTATTGCTGACCCAGTCCCTTAATAGCAGAGATTCTGGTGTGACACAACTTTCTGGGGAAATAGGGATTGGGTAAATGCATTTCCACCTCAAATATGAAAAAAGACTCACTGATAATTGTGATAAACAAGTGTAAAAATAGTTAAACTCACTTCATCTTCACTGCTACTAGATTCTTCCTGCTTTGGATTAACTTCTTGTTTATCCATGGACCAAAAGTCCTTAGCACTGGGCACTTCAATCACAGGCTCCAATTTATCCAACACCTTAACTTCTTTAAGTTTACCATATTTCTCACTCATAATCTTATTCTCTACTTTAACCGGCTCAACAACTGTTCCTTTCTCTTTCATTTGTAGTTCTTTTAGCTTCTCTTGCGCTATTTTCACCGTTTCTAATAACTGTGTAACATGTTCTTGGATTGTTAATCTTTCGATGTGTAACTCGGTATGATATTTCTTGTTTTTAGGATTAAGACCTTTTTTTTCTAGTTTTTGTATTTTGTTTACGATAAAATCCGATTTTTTTACTTTTCTATTTACTGATTTGAGCAGCTGCGTTATGCGTTCTTTAAAGTGTTCGCTTACTTCGCAAGTAGAGAGATCTAAAAGGCTTAGGTCTTTAGGATGTATAAATGAAGATTGGTCATCTGGCATATCAGATTCTATTGCATCGCTTTCATCCATGTCTTCTTTCAGTTCCTTTTTATCGTTCATCTTTTTTCTCTTATCAACTGGTTCGGGTTGTGTATAACTCTCTTTATTTACTTCTTTCTTTTTCTTCTTATCTTGCTTCTTTGTTATGCCTTCATTCTCGATAACTGTTTCCACTTCCATCGAGTCTGCCTCATCTGTCTCTTTTGCTTTTTTATTTTTCTTTTTATCTTTCTTCTTTGACTTAACAATATCCTCAACGACCGTTTCGCTTTCTACGATATCTTCGGCTATATCTTTTTCTTTTTTGTTTTTCTTTTTAGCCTTTTTGGAATTTTCTTCGACTGTATCTTCATTTCCTTGTACGGGCTCCTTAGATCTTTTTCGCTTCTTACTTTTATTGTCATTTGATTCTTGATCACCACCATTGATTTTGTTATCATGTTTACGTTTAGATCTCTTAATATCCTAAAATAAAAAGTATACAATTTACTATTAATTTATTTTAATGTCTTTAGGAAAAATATATTTGCTCCATAAAATATTTTATATATAAAGAAAATTATACTTACTGGATCAAATGGCTCTGTAGTGAGACTGGCAATGATTTTCTTATTTTCCTTATTAATGTGTACAACAACACAAGTTACCTGTAAATTATTAATTTTAATTAATTTTTTTTGGGCTGTAACTGTTGCGAGGAACTAAACTGGGACCAAATTAAATTTAAAAGGGATACCCTCTGTTTTTAATCATTTGATAACAATTCTTTTTGGGAATATATAATGTTGGTTCCTTAACTCCCTACTTAAAAATGTGGAGAAAGCATGGTGTACTGTTCTTCCAACCTAAAGGGAGTATCGTCGACTCGTCGTCTAACCACGGACTGACCCGAAGGCCTAAGGCCTAAGTGGCTAAAGCCGAGAAGTTGTATATCACCGCAGTGATTTGTAAGCACACATTGATACAAATACCTTTCATGGTACCGACATGAAAGAAATGTTAAAAAAATAAGCCGATTATAACAAACATAGTCCCAATCATTAAAATTATTTTAAATTTCAATTAAACTATGATTCCAATTCAATTACTAAAAGAAAATACTATTTTTATTTTGGCATTTGTCATTCTTATAGTCACAGATTTTTTAGGAAAAATGTTCTACTCACCAGTTGCCCAAGATGGAAGGAATCCATGAGATTTTCTACTGGCTCTCTGCTCACAAACTTCCGCGGAATCAAACATGTTATATTGTTGAAGAATGTTACTAATAAGTAGTCGCGTATTGTCTAAAAAAATAATACTGGATAATTCTAAGCTACCTATTAAATATTTGCAACCACATCTGTAGTAGATGCGCATTATTATTACCAGGAAAAACATTACAGCTGTTTGACTATATAGTATCCTAGTAATAATTAGCAGTACCTCATTTTATTATTCCTGAAAAAACGGCTTGGTTCCCTGGGGCAAGCGAAATCATTTTACCAATTTTGCGCATTTAAAATAATAATATTTTGTGAAATGTCCACCTGAAACTACCCTCACTATCTACCCTCTTATCACAATTTATGAATTAATGATGCTTAATTTTAAAAAAGCTTTGTGTGTTACAACAACCTAGTCTTAAAATCACGACAGTTAATGAAAAACGTACCGTTATAACGCCCGTGTAAGATGTTCCAATGAGGGCATCTTCAAAATTTAAAAGAACAGACGAATCTGGCGACAGCAGCGTCGGTTTCAACGTTAGAACCGCATTATTCTTTGGCAGGTCCACGTATAAAACGCGAGCTTTTACCTCTTGTCCTACCTAGAAAGGAATTATTAACATCATACTATCAACTATTTTTTAAGAAAGAAGAAAGAAAGAAGAAACATTTCGCCACTCTTTTTAATCGCCAAGTATTGAGTCATACAAATTGTTTGAACTGGAGCAAATCAATCCCAAGGATTAGGATCATTTAAGTATTCGACAAATTTATAAAAAACCTTATTGATTAATTTACGTTTAACGAGGGCTTTGGATTTATTCAGTAATAATTCTCTAATTTCGTTTGGGAGTTTGTTGTAAAAACGAATACAATTTCCATATAAGGAGTGGTTTATCTTTTGGAGCCTGGTTTGTCGTACACTCAAATTAGTTCTATTTCGCGTATTATACTGGTGAAAGTCACCAGTTGTTTTAAAACCTTATTGCCGCGACACTCATCCCTCAGGTCGTAGGTTCGATCCTCGGCTGTGCACCAATGGACTTTCTGCCTATGAAAATTTAACATTTGCTCGAACCGTGATGGGAAACATCGTTAGGAAACCGGCTTAGACCCAAACAGTCGACAGCGTGTCAGGCACAGGAGCCCGATCTTGCCTATTAGATTGACAAATGATCATGAAAAAGATACAGAAATCTGAGGACCAGACCTAAAAAGGTTGTAGCGTCACTGATTTATTTTTATTGCACGGAATACATTTAAAAAAATGCATCATCACTTCCAGGCAATACTGAAAGAAAACTTATTATGAAATAATATTTAAATATTAATTAGTAAATAATAACTGAACTAACCTTGAACTTTTTCTTGGGTAGCTTGGAGGTGCTGGCCTTCTTAGGGTCTACGAACACTCCCGAGTCTGTTATGTGTATCTGTGGGACGAAACCTGAAAGTGGAATAAACTTTGATATTATATTAGCGTAACAGTTTTGAATACCATCGCACTTTTTTGATGATACTAATTATTTAGGAGTCTCGGAGGACCTTCATTGGAACACCTCCAAGTGAGTTTTGCTCCGGAAACGCGTCAAAAATTTTATAAAGATTTATAAAGTAAACTTTGCACTGTAAAACTAATTACCGCTAGTCTAGCATAAACCACATTCAAAATGGCCGATTAAGTTTATAAAATTAATAGGGATGTGAAAAATAATCGATTTTTTTAAAAGTGAAAATCGATTTTTGTATTCGATTTTAATATTAAAAATAATTGAAAATTCGGCGACCAAATATTCATATACTAACTCTAACCTAACCAATCTAAATAATATTTGTTTTTGTGGACAGCTCCGATCTAAATAGTAATTGTTTATTCAAGCCTCGGCTTCTCGGCGTCCTGGTCGCCTTCGGCGACCAAATATTCATATACTAACTCTAACCTAACCAATCTAAATAATATTTTTTTTTTGTGGACAGCTCCGATCTAAATAGTAATTGTTTATTCAAGCCTCGGCTTCTCGGCGTCCTGGTCGCCTTCGGCGACCAAATATTCATATACTAACTCTAACCTAACCAATCTAAATAATATTTTTTTTTGTGGACAGCTCCGATCTAAATAGTAATTGTTTATTCAAGCCTCGGCTTCTCGGCGTCCTGGTCGCCTTCGGCGACCAAATATTCATATACTAACTCTAACCTAACCAATCTAAATAATATTTTTTTTTTGTGGACAGCTCCGATCTAAATAATTGTTTATTCAAGCCTCGGCTTCTCGGCGACCAAATATTCATATACTAACTCTAACCTAACCAATCTAAATAATATTTTTTTTTGTGGACAGCTCCGATCTAAATAGTAATTGTTTATTCAAGCCTCGGCTTCTCGGCGTCCTGGTCGCCGAAGGCGACCAAATATTCATATACTAACTCTAACCTAACCAATCTAAATAATATTTTTTTTTGTGGACAGCTCCGATCTAAATAGTAATTGTTTATTCAATTGTTTGTTACAGCGGGTGGGGGCTGCTCTTCCTCCGCGCCTCCGATTATTTATATACACTCTAGGGGTAAGACAGACAAGACCACGTGGATAGTGGGGTGCTCTGATTCGGTTTTGGGTACTTTTTGGATATTAAAGTAAACACTTTATTCTAGTAAAAATTAAATAATATAGAAAGTTGCAAACAATGAAATACAAGTACTAATTAGAAAATACAGACGAGTAGGTATCGATAATTTCAAAAAATTTCGGAACCCTATAATCTATCAACACGAAATTAGGTTAATTTCAATGTTGATTATTCTATAACTTTAAATTTCAAAAATGAGGAAATAATCGATAAATAAATAAAACGATTATTAACAATCGATAAATTAAAAACACGATTTTTTTAAGTGAACGTCACATCACTTATAACCAATAGAAAAGTAGAAAATGGCGGATTGTTTACAAATTTTAATACATTACACAAAACTTTAAATTTTTTATAAAAATATTTAGACGCGTTTCCGGAGCAAAACTCACTTGGAGGTGTTCCAATGAAGGTCCCCCGGACACTCCTAGATAATTAATATCGTCAAAAAAGTGCGGTGGTATTTAACACCCAACCCCACATTTTCACTATTTCGTATATTTTTTAAATAATATCTTTTGACTTGACAATTTTTAGAGTTAATATAATTTATCATTTCTTTTATAGCAATTTTAAATAAACAAATTTATTAAAATTTCAATATTGGATCATATTTATTGCGTTGTTTTAAAGTTCGGACTCTTAGTAGAAGTCATTTTAGAGATCAAAACCGACAAAATAAAAATGTTATAAAATATTTCCGAACCAATTCGACTAAGGGTGGAAATAACGTACTAAAACTCAAAAGGTCGGCAACGCATTTGCGAGCCCTATTATAATAATTAATAAATACAAATCATTTTAGTGTAGGGACCTGGTATTCTTCCAACAGTCGCCCGTAAATAAGTATCGGCCACAGTAGTAATAGTGGCAGTGACATATTCCCCAACGCTGAGCTGTGTCAGAGTGAAATACTGTTCTCGAAGGATGTCTGGTTGGTCTGTGACCGAGTACATTCTGTCGACGAGATGATAGCCGAGGACACGTACTTTGTGTGTGCTACCTGAAGAGAAATATATTTTAATGTATGCCGCAAATACAACTATATATATAAGAAACACTTTATATAGGGTGATCTTGCTTTCTTAACAATAAATATTTCAAAAATGACGCGTTGTTAAAAGCTATGTACGGTGTATACGTTCCCATTGAAATTATAAAAAACATATGTGTACGGCACAGATCCTAAAACAAATTGGGCTGATCACTTAAAAAAAAAGCAATAAACACCTATCGGGTGCCTTATCCACATTAGACGAATACGTTTTTTTAAATTTGTAGTTAATTTTTTTCTTATATATTTTGAAAGTCTATTATTTTTATAATTTTTTTGTAAAATGTATGTTCACCGTAATTGTCATATAAAGAATAAATAGTTTATCACAGTACAAATGTATGATGTGGTGTATTTAAATATATAAACATACTAGCTGCCCCCGCGAACTTCGTTTCTCCTGAATGTGATTTTACTTAGCCTACCTTTTTACTAGTTAGTACTATACCAACATGGAACATTTTGCTATGCTACCCCAGAGATTGTTCGGTTTTCCGGAATGAAAACTTTTTAGGTTTTTCTGTGATTTTTCTCTACAAAAACCTCAGAGTTCAAGTTATAAGTTCTTAACTAACAAATAAAAAATAGGGGTTGATCGTAGAGGGTGGATGAAAATTAAGGGTTGTATGTATTTTTGTATGAGTTATCATAAAAAAATATTGTTTTGGTTTGAAAGATACATAGTAGCCGATTCTCAGATTTACTGAATATGCATTAAAAAATTCATAAGAATCGGTCGAGCCGTTTCGGAGGACTATGTACGTAAACATTTTTACGTATATTTTGTATTGTTTACTACACGAATACTATTCAAAAGCGAAGGATATCTGTCTTTAACCGACTTCAAGATAAAGGTTTTCAGTTTTCTGTATGTATGTTTGTCCACAAATTTCGGAAACGTCGAGATGATTCCGATATAAATTAGGTATATTTCAGGGATCAGTGTAAGTTTCATCCAAATTGTTTTAGTAGTTATCGAGATTTCGGAATTCACGCATCTCTAATACAGAAAACAATATTTTAAGTCAATTTAATATTTTTAAATTACTTTTTTTTAGGTCCAAATACCCCTCAAAGCGCTGCCCAATTTTTCTATATATTATAGGTTTATTGTATTCAAAAATAAAATGTCCAATATAAAATTAATTAAGAACTCACCTATAGGATAGGACTTGGCCAGAAGCTCTTCATCAGTTAAGTTCTCATCCATCTGCAGACTACGGATACTAAGAACACCTGTTTGACCTGCACTCAATTTAAAGTAAACGCATCTACCTAGAATTTTGAGCACCTGCAAAATATTTCTATTAACATCTTTGCTTAAAGCCAGTGATAAATGTGTAATTTTTTTTTTTTAAATCCAGAGGAATATTATTTAATATGGCAACATTTCTGTCAAACTGAAGACCTAAGTAAAGGAAACTTTTTTGTATATAACTAAAACTCAAAATAACTATATAAATATAAAAGAAAAATGGTCTTCGTTTGAGGCTCCTTCACGCCTAAACCACTGATCGTATCGACATGAAACTACCACCATTCGATGCGAAATTTTATGGCTATTTATTTATTAAATTCCAACGTTCCTTCATTTTTTTATTGCTGTTTTACTTTTATGAAAATTTATCCATACGGACTTCACCGCGGAAACATTCGGGGAGGCTTCCTAGAACCTCTAAACGTCAACATCTGTTAAAAACTCGATTTTCGAAATATTTCAATTTTCTTAGCGGGAAGTTAAAAAGAAGAATAATAAAAATATGAAAAAAAAATAAAATAATGAAACATAAAATTTATTTTAATTCGTCCAGCAAAGCGGGCGCGAAACGGCTAGTAACTATATAAATATAGATAAAAAGTTAACTTAATTGTAAATTTACATTTACTACCAGTTCGCAAGTCAAGGGCGTAGAGCGGGCAAGAAGAACTGGCAAGAAACTTTCCGCCACTCTTTTCAATCGCCAAGTTTTCGAGTCTTACAAATTGTTTGAACTGGAGCAAATCAATCCCAAGGATTAGGATCATTTAAGTATTCGACAAATTTATAAAAAGCATAATTGATTAATTTACGTTTAACGAGGGCTATGAATTTATTAGAGAATTATCACTAAATAAGTGATAATTCTCTAATTTGGCTTGGGAGTTCGTTGTGAAAACGAATATAATTTCCATATAAGGTGTGGTTTATCTTCTGGAGCCTGGTTGGTCGCACACTCAAATTAGTTCTATTTCGTGTATTATACTGGTAAAAGTAACCATTTGTTTTAAAATCACAGGGAACAAACGGTCAGGAGGCTCATCTGATATAAGTGATTACGCCCATGGTCACTCACATTGCCTGAAGGCTAAGTGCGTTCCCGGCCTTTTGAGAATTTTATTTAAAATTCTTCTAAAACCGCAGTAAGTATTTCTCAAATACAATAGTAATAACCCTGTGGACATTTAGGATTTTCTATATGCAACTGTATTTGCTATGTGAAAGATAATATCGTGAGAAAACTAAAAGTAACGTGTGTATGGAAGGCTAATCACGTACTTGGCTATAAAAATGATTAAGAAACAGATAAAGAAACCAGAGGTCAAGATGCGGGTTCTAACGCTCTAAAACTTTGTAGAGTTAAAGAGCTCAAGTCGAATGAATTCTTAACTCAGATTTTTTCTGACATTTCATGAGTGTTGCTACTAAAAAAGTTTTCAACCGATAAAGGGACAAATTTAACACATTTGAGGACAATAAAAAATAAAAATAATAATTTATTATGGTTTCCCTACAAAAAGGTAATAAGCACATAATACAAAAATAACAAATATTTCAACATCACGAACGATATATAGAATTAACTTCAATTACGTTATTTTATTCTTTAGCTGGCATCACTGCCTACTTATTCCAGGTTTAGTAAACCTTTTTAAAAAATAAAATGTAAAGATAACATTTTGCGTTCTTTACTGTTTGTGATGAAAAGGGACGTAATTACGAGTATCACTCGCTGTAATACCACTTTTAATGTAGAGCACAGCACTTAATAAAATTGACACATTGACTAACAAATAAAATGTATTATAGACTCAGATGTTCAGACACGTAGTGAAATAGAAAAATGTGCCCGACCAAAAAGGTTTGTAATCTCAGACATGTCAAAAGATGACAGCTGTCAGAATTCTACGGAATTAAAAATCAGAGTATAGAAACATTTGCCACTATGATGATACGATATTGTAATGTAATATGTAACTACTACGTAAAATTCTACCTTTTATGTAAAACTTGCACGCCATCATGTGTGGCAGCATATGCCAAGTTTAGATTGTGCCACATTCATGCAAATATATTATTATTATTTTATAAACGACAACGCTGGTCGCATTTCCACAAAATAGAACAATATCATTGGTTTAATAAACTTTATTATTTATTACCTGAGCTTCTTCAACAATATCTCCGTCGTTGTATTTTTGTTCTTGGGTCATGTCCACACATACAGGGTCGAAAACATCTCTCATAGTCAAGTATGGGATGTTTGTTACTGACAGCGTGTATAGGAGACGCGCCCTTATCTATAAAAAGTAAGTATTGATGAGATATTTTAAGTGACGTCTAGAATAAATTATTACAGTACATAAACAAAAATTAATGCGTGCCATTTTTGTATTTTTGTACGTAAATAATATATATATAGGAATTACTTCCGCGCAAATATCCGCGAGAGAGAACGTTATCTACAATAATATACTAAAACCGTCAGTGGCGTAACTATACCGTCTGGGGCCCGTGGCAAATTCTTTTGATGGGGCCCTATCAGTAAAAATCGTCACGTACTCAATAACACGTTGTATATGTCCCACTAAAGGCCATAGGCCTCCTCTCTTAGGCGAGAGGGAATGGTCTGTAGGTCCCACGCTAGCCTAATGCGTATTGGAGACTTCACATTCATCCATAGAACATAATATCTCTCGGGCAGGGGCCCTCTTGGGTCGGGGGCCCGTGGCATTTTGCCAGCCCTGCCACCCTATCGTAACGTCACTGAAAACCGTTACACAATACGTTGTTAAAGCATTTCAGTGGGGGTATCCGTGTTACGCTCGCAAATGCTTAATGGGCCTATATATTATATATATTTATATAGAACAGGCGGGCAAACGTGGGCCCATGGACACTCAATTCCGAGGGCTCACGAGTGCGTTTCCGGCCTTTTCAGAATTTGTACACTCTTTTATTAAAGAAACCTAACAGGGCAAATGCCTTCTTATCTTAAGATATTAATTATCCTTGACTGTAATGAAATTTAACGAAAACATAACAAAATCTTCCAAAACTGTATACTTTGTGGGTGTCAAATATTATTTATAGATGATATACAGCTAAGACTCTACATTTTGCTCACTCGGGCTTTCGTTGTTTTATAAGCGGAACGATACTAAGTTTAATAAAAACAGGCACATAGCATTAATTACATTCAAGTAATTAGCATTATTATTTTGTTATACCTGGATAATATATAGTGAAAATAATATCCTTAATACCCCATCCAATATTTAAAACATCCTGTCGACCTAGTGCATATAGTATGCAATATATGCTTTTCTATTCAAACTCTTAAAGATTACATTTTTGTATACAAAATATTACCTTAGCCCCTAGAGAAGGTTTCTTTCCCTTTACAGAGTCAATGTGGTGTCGTTGTATATACGCAGTCCGATCCCCAAATATACGGCCTTCGATACCGTTGTCCAAAGGCTGGAAAACATATATTTTTTATCGAAATCGAATTACTAGTAAATCCAAAAAGTAACTAAGAAATTAGATTTCGAAACAATAAAAGATATTATATCAATAATATGTCTGCTGCAATGGTTTTCGAAACTTTAAACAATCATAAATATTTCTATAGTGATACATTACTAGAAAATAAATAGAAACTAATAACTACCAAAGAATCTCTCTCTCAAGGGATAAGCCCCTCGGAAAGGTTATATTCTATTTATTCATGATATCGATATGTCGCAGCAAAATCATTTATTCATAAAGGTACCACAATGTACACTTATGAACGTCAAAAAAGAAATATACATTAAATGCTTCTAATTTACTGCCAGTTCTCAAATCAAGGGCGTATAACGGAAGAGAAGGACTGGCTGAACTCACAATCGACAGCCTTGCCGCTTTACTAAACAGCTAGGCAAATATTAAATAAATTGAATCGATGACGTTTCATTACTTGGACGGCGTTGTTTAGTAGAGGCTAGGCTGTTGATTGAACTGCTATTTAAGCTAAATAGCTGCTACATATACATATGGTGTTTTAAGTAAAATATATGTAATCACTTTTATGTTGAAGTTACCTTATCAACAATAAATTCAAGAGACGTCCCCGGCGGTATATTGGTTGTGGCAGATTTCTGGAATGCGTTCTGCAGTGCTGTTGGTTCGCTGCTCAGCGTTATAACGTTATTGTCGGAGGAAGCCTGAATGGATTTCACACTGCACCATGTAACCATACCCACATCTGTTAAAAAATGCCATTTTGATTATTTTTAATTATCGTGTGTTTCCCGAATATTGAAACTTTTTACAATTTTTACTATTGAACAACATTTTAACAAACAAAATGACCGTATTTATGCTCAAAGCTCTAAGGAAGCTTCCCAATTAGTCGACAGAGTGCAACGTGGGCACTATCCGACTTCAGTGATGGTTTGGTGGGGTATTAGCTATGAAGTAGTGACTGAGCAATACTTTTGAGAAAAAGGTATCAAAACATCAGCACAAGTATATCAAGATACCATTCTTGAGAAGGTAGTGAAGCCCCTTAATAACACCATGTTCAATAACCAAGAAGGTCCACCTTCTAGCAAGACTCAGTGCCGGCTCATAAAGCTCGGTCTATGCAGTCTTGTTTGGAAACGTTTCGGATTTCATCGGAGCTGAAGACTGGCCGTCGTCGAGCACGGATCTTAATCAGCTGGATGGGATTTTATGGCCAGTTTTAGAGAGTACGGCTTACTCTAAACGCCATGATAATTTGGAGCCCTACAACAATCAGTACGATTGGCAGTGAAGAATTTTCCCATGGAAAAAGTGCGTGCTTCTATTGATAACTGGCCTCAACGTTTAAAGGACTGTATTGCAGCCAATGGAGACCACTTCGAATAAGCTTTTTATATTTTAAATTGTTTTATATTTATGTATTAAATTAACACACTGTAAAAGTAATCAATGTTATTTGCAATAGACAAACAATTTTTTTTCTTTGTTTCAGTATTTATGGCAAGACTAGGTATATTGTAAAACAAATAATATATTGTATCATTAAGATTTAAAAATAATTCAATCTGGTTGAGTAAAAATATATGTATATATAATATTAGTCAATAATTGCGTTGCGATCTTAATTATTTTACCCAATCCCTAGCAGAATATATTATTAGTCAAAGTGAAAAATGAATGTTGTCTAATGAGCATTATGGCTAAGACAGCAGGTCAAGCAACTATAACGTCTCACTAGAGTTCTCTTATCCTTTTGTTTTTTAATCTTGGTCAATGTACTTTTACAATGTACTTGACCGCATTAATACAGTTACGCAATAAAATATTCCAAAATACACTTGAAACTGGTTGTTCTCTGTCCAAAAATACGTACACAAACAAATCGAATCTAAAAATAACTTTTGCACAACTTTTAATCTTTATGTAACATTACGAAAATACTTTCGTGAAGTTTCAAGGAAAAAGCGAGAGTACTTAATAACATAGTTGAGTAATGCTAAAAGTGACCATATATTCTTTGCCTCAAAACGGGACATTGTCTTAATTTAGGTCAAATTATAAGTAGTCAATAAAAAAAACACTTTTTTAAAGTTACATAGTTATTTAGAAAGAGTTAGGTGGCTCAAAGTTACGAATTACAAAATATCGGTACCCAAAATGTTGTGTTTATATTTATCAGAAGAACAAATTTGTTTTAATATAGCTGGTAGCGATTTCAAATAAGAATGAAACTCTTGGCACGTTTTCTTTTTATTAAATTTTCGCGCGGTTTCTCAAAACGGGACAATTTTTTCTCCTAATTCGAGAAAGGGACAGTCCCGTTCAAAACGGGACGTCTGGTCAAGTTAGTAATGCTTTGCCAACATATATTTCCCAAATTATATTTTTATTTTTTAAACCAGTAAAGCCTGTGTGTGTAGCATTCTAATGGTGAAACCGGTCTAGTAGTTTGTGAATTATTTCGTTACAACCAATATATTATGGACATTTTTAACAATAATTTTTTGAAAGTGTTTTTGTTTTATACCCATTATGCAAAGCATATGTGCAATGTGTACCCAAGATAACTTTACGATTAACAACGTTGGTCTTACGTTTCGCAATTAATTGACCCGAAACAATCTTGTACCAAAAATAAAACTGTTGACCCAGTAGTGTATTTTAATATAAAACTGGGCTAATATATATAAATAGCCGGTGTTTTTCGATACATATTATAAGATTATGTTTCGTAAGAAATTCTTCTCATATTTAAGGGAAAACGTAAGTTTCATTGACTTAAATTAGTTTTTTTGTCGTCTAACTCAATTAGTCAGTTATAATAATAAATTTAATCTTGAAAATCATAAAATGATGATTTTTTCACATTTACCTGCATCGCTTAAAATTTAAAATTTTGGTTTAATTCTCAACTTAGAGATTAACTACCAATTTAAAAAAAAACTTAAACAAGACCATTTGTATTGCAAAATTACATTTATTTTTTACTAACGGCACAATAAAATAAATCAGTGGTGCTACAACATCTTTAGGTCTGTGCCTCTGATTTCTGAATCTGTTTCATGATCATTTTTCAATCTAATAGGCAAGTAGGTGATCAGACTCCTGTGCCTAAATAAATAAATAAATTTTTGGGTCGGTTTCCTCGCGATATGTTCGTTCACTGTTCAAGCGAATGTTGAATACACATAGAAAGAAAGTCCATTGGTGCACAGCCAGGGATCGAACCTACGACCTCAGGGATGAGAGTCGCAACGCTTAAACCACTAGGCCAATGTTCATGGCACAATATAAAGGAAAATAATATGTGTCAGTAAATTACCAAATAGTTAAGTAAAATAGAAGAAATGCGGCACAGAACTTGTTTCTCTCTATTTGATATCATATGACTACATATATATGATAACAATTCTACCACACCAATACTTTTTCATTTACGAATGGAACTTTTTTTTTTTTTTAATAGAGCGCATCGAGCAATAAGTCTTCCGACTATGAGCAGATGAGTTGTAGGATGATTTGCGGGTGGAGATATTCCTGATTAGGAATATCTACCATAATAATATTAGCTCAGTCAATACTGCTGAGCTCCAGGGTTCTTCGTCTTTTGAGTCGGTTTATATGCTCCGGTAGGGTGAGTTAAACAGCTAGGTGGTTAGGATGATATTCCAGCCTAGTCTTGTACTTCTGAGTGTATACTTTTATTTCCTCCTTGACTGTAGGTATGCCTAGGTGTTTATGTACTTCAGCGTTTCTTACGAATGGAACTAAAGACCCTTTTAATCACATTGAAACAATAGGAGAATTTCCAATAAATTAATAAGTTAAGCTAGATTACTACTTACCGAGTTCTATATCAGACTTGGCATTTTTCTTAGGCAAGAATGCTGTTGTGTGAGGTATACCAGTCTCCATGATGTATCCATGGTCTTCTACAGATGAAATGGCAGCTTGGATGAGAGAACCTAACCATTTAATACAAAATTATCAAACATATAAATATGTGTCACTCTAGGTAATATAAACCAAGCTACTGTTTAATATTAAAAGAAATTATAATTTGTTCCACTATGCCTTAAAAAACTAGATAAATAATAATCCAGAGGTGCTAGACCCCATCAAAATTAGTTTTAATGTATAATTTTACTTGAACATAACATATTTAATGCTACATAAAAAAGTTTGGAGTATGTCATGGAAGTAAGGAAAAATCAAATATGTGTTTCTTTATTAACACAAAAAATATTTAGTGTTTTTAGACATACCTTTATGTAGATCACTATGTTTTCTATTGCTATTTATATGTTGCGGCATCATTGTTAGCATGGCATGGTTATCTTTAACTTCTAGTACTTTGACACAGACATATTGCCCACGTTTAAAGATTTCTTTCAGCTCTTTTACTTTGTCAATCTTCAAACAATCAGTTTAATTGGCCATTATGAGAAAAATATTATATGAAAACATGTATATTATAATTTTTAAATTGCTAAACTTTCCGTTGTATAATTAAACAACAGATATATTTTCTAAATGATAATTAAGAAAAAAATTAAAAAAAAGGTTTTATTTTTAAGTACAAGTTCAGTCCAAGCAACACATCTATACCTTTTACTAAACAAAATAAATAAAAATAGTAGACATATATATCCCAACCACATCTTAAAGTGGATGTAATAAATATTAATTAAGTATCAAGTATCCTCTTAATTTAAAAAATATAAAGCTACTAATTACATACCTTATCATCCACATAAGCTTCCAATAGTTTATTATAAGGTTCACTTATATGACATGCCATGACCGTTCCAATCAGTCGACTTGGCAAAGAGACCAACATATTAGTCTCTTTGATTTGAGATATCCGGCCCAATACTACAAAGTCCTGTTTCAGCGCCTGTGTGAAGTAGTAAATTCATATCATGGTAACATGCAAAATATGAACATATGCTTATTATAAGATATTCTGAGAGTTACTGAGAGTTAGTACTCTTTATTTACAAGATATACTGAGATACACCTTATTGAAATTGTTTGAAATTTTAAGAACATCGCATACCTTATAACTGAGCCAAACACCACAAGTTTTATATGATTTATCAACATCTTTGGAAGCTTCTTCAGACAAGTACCCATCATCTTCTTCTGACTTTTTCTTTTGTTTTCTCTTTCTTTCTTTTTTCTCAGTTGTGCCCAAAAACTGTAAGGTTTATTCATAATGATATTTTAATATGCATAATTGTGTTAAAACAATCATTGGGTATTATTATTTAACTTACATTTGAAGTTTGCACGAAATTTGTTGTTGTTGGCTTTTTTCCTCCTCTAGGAAAATACTCTTCAACGTCTGCCATAGTTTTTCATTTATTATTATCGTTTTTGTGCAAATAAATTTTACCAGTACGTATTATTTTTATTGACGGCATGAAAATTTGAGGTTACAAGTTACAACTTACAGGCTCTCATGAGATTTGAATTATGACAATATACTTCAAAATCTGACAGACTGTCAACGTCGATATGGCATCGACTTTAACATTTAACACTTTAAAAGCTGTGAAGTATAAAACCAGAAGTAGGAATTACACAATTCTCAGCTGATTTCACGTATAAATAACCAGAAAACATACGATGGTTTAAATTTCGCAAATTGAACCGAACGTGACTGTGGTTCAAGATACCTTACTAATTATTGTCAATAGAAGTGATTTTTGTAATTTTTGCTAACTTTATTCAGTCTTAATTATCCGCCGTCCGCGCGCCAATCAGTATTACTCGGTGCATTAAAGGCGTTAGACGTATGTTGAATCATTTCTGGGTTTGTCTTTTAGATAACCTAAGATTAGATAATATACCGAAAGAATCTAAGCACTCCTTATATCCTTTATCAGAATTTTTTGATTGCGCTTTAAGTGTAGACATATATCAAGAGCAGCCATGAAGGTCGTAATATTTGGATCCACCGGCATGACCGGTGTTTGCGCTGTTGAAGCAGCTCTAAAAAAAGGTAAATTGATTATGATTAACCGTGATTAACTTTAAACTTGACTTCTAGATATTATGAACTTATATATATATATATATATATATATATATATATTATATCTTTATAATAGATACCTGTGACAGAGTAAATTTTACGAGTTCCTGTTAAAAACTTTAGAGTTGTGGTATGAAGTTATTTGTAAAAAATAGTTAGGTATTAGGTACGTAGTATACGACAAGACATAAACCGTCTTTAATTCTTTAAATATATTACAGTTAATTAACTGAAAAGGAATAGTCATTCCATGGTGCTTATTAGAACAGGAATATGTAATTAATATTCATTATTAACACAATTGTAGTTGTGTTAAATAATATGTTAATAACCTGATTATAATTTTAAATATTCAAATACATAGTTTTTGGCGGTAAGAATGCACTCTTAAAGTGGTTTTTTTTAATTTATTTCGAACATACACTTTAGAAATCACCTAATAAATCTCACGATTTAACACAAAATGCAGGTAGAACAGATTAGTATCTAATGTAATAATTAAATACCATAATTTTATATTTTATTAAGGATATGAAGTCCGAGCTTTCGCACGCGACCCGTCAAAGCTTCCCGAGGACTTGAGATCAAAAGTGGAAGTTATCAAAGGCGATGTCTTGGAAGCTGACTCCGTAACTAACGCCATTGAAGGCACAGATGGTGTGGTCATTGCCTTAGGTACCCGGGGTATTCTAGAGCCGACTTCAGATATGTCAGAGGGCACGAAAAATATCATCGACGCTATGAGAGCGAAACGCGTGAAGGTGGTATCTGCTTGCATTTCCGCTTTCCTGTTTTATGAAGCAGACAAAGTCCCGGAGAGATTTATTTCGATCACCAAGGACCACAAGAGAATGTTCGAGGAGCTTAAGGGATCTGGATTAGACTGGATCGCGGTCTTCTCGCCTCATATTTCTGGTAAGTTTTTTTTTTAATTTCTATAAAACGTTAATTGTTAATTTATAAAAAATAGTTTAGAGTGCCTGTAAGCAAATGATAGATTCCTTATTAGTTTTATGAATCCCAATGGGGCTTTATAGTTGAACTGCGATGTCACATTTTTGAAACAACTAGCAAATATTAAAGTTTCTTAGTAATTTAACTTTGATCCCAAGTTTGATGCCCGGTTAACTATTTTTTCGGGTTGGTACGCTAGGCTGGAAAATAGTTTCAATCGAATAGATGCAAAAAATTGAGGTTTTGTTACACTGCTTAAGTCCAATCTAAAAAGGTCAAGGGAATTCAAGGTACTTCATATAAGGAATTAATCTTAGACATCATTAATAAATATCATCATATCATTGAGCAATATATACGAAACGTAATACGCACTCTCGCACTCTTTTTAACGCAAATATGGAACTGTAAAGGGTATTTTAGTCTGTGTTAGTTTTAAACAAGGTTAAAGGCCTTGTATTACAAGGTTAAAAATCGTAAGTCGCATACGACAGTAAGCTTCACGACACGCCACGACACTTATGTTTCCGCCTTAAGGGTTATTATGGAATGATGACTTTCAATGCAGAAAAGGCATAACGCAGAACGCTGCTATTTTATGATTGTATAAGGGTCATGATTTTAAAATAAGAAGAAAACCTACTGCAAGTTATTGTTATCGATAACATAGGACATTATTTTTTTCAATACTATTATTCTGGCTTCTGTAATGTTCAAAAATGAATGTTAACTTAGAAAAATGTATTAAGTAGGTAATCGTAGATGTATACGTATCTGACTAATAATAATAAATTTATTGCAAGAATATGGTACAAAAATGTGTAAGGTACAATCGTAAGTTCGCATATTCTGCCACACACAATGGCGCGCAATTTGTCTTTAAAGGAATTTTACATTTTACATTATTAGTCATATGAATTAGCCAGTTCTTATATTAATTGTATCGTACATATCATATCTTATTAAATTTATATCAACTACAGTGTCTCACGCAAATAATCATTTATTGAATAATATTTTTTTTTCAAAAGTAATACACCAAGTCGCTTTGTAAAGACTAATCGGAAGAGTGGAAAGTAATGAGTGGTGGTTGATTGTCTGTAGACCCTATCTTATAATAAGTAATAGACTACAGTTCATAGAGCAGAGACAGGCTGATAGTTTTTCTTTGTTTCACGAGGTTTTTAAATAGTTTTTTTTAGTAGGTGAACTTCCAACTTGAAACGACCTGCAAACGAATAGTCATAAACTTTGAGTCTTTAACGTTTAAGTAAACTTAAAGTTACTTGTTAAAAAAACGTTTGTGAAAGTGTATTAAAGATGAGTTGATCGAAAAGGTTACATAACCTTTATGTATTAATAAGGGGGTCAACAGTCTCGTTTTGTATTTTCTTTTTAATAACGTTATAATGTATACTTATCAATTGATTTCATACTATAAAAGACATTTTTTTATCAGAATGTTCGATATGACAAATATTTTTTTCACCAAAGACGCCTTCCTCTAATAAATAGAAAAAAGTTGTTGTAATAGAACTTAAATGTGTTTAGGTAAATTTTAATATTAGTAACGAAAACAATGATATTGATAAAGTATGAAGTACAAATTAACTGGAAATTAAACAATTCATATTCATCGCATTGATTAATTATTATTATTACTCACTACACGTGTGAGCTATGAATGTTCAATAATTACCATATGGTATTTATTTACCGTTTACTATATAGTAAACGTATCGTTAATCTTTATAGTACTGTATACAAGTGGAGGTTTATAATCACCCTGGAGAGTTATCGACTGGAATCAGCAAAGGAAACTCATGAAAAGTTATTTTAGTCATGTTTTCAGATATAGCATGTAAATTTTCTGAAGTAATAAATTGCAATTATGTCTTCGTTCGTTCGTTTCAACCTGTTGAGGTCCACTGCTGGACATAGACCCCTAAATCTCCAGTAGGTACGACCGCTTCACCGCGCTTTGTACCCAACGCCGTACTCCCTGACCTGGTCTGTCCTAGTGGAAGGCCGAAACGTTTCGCCGACTGGTCCTCGGCGTCTATTCCATTTTTCCCCATCTGTTATCATTGGCAAGTTTTATCTTCAGTTGGTGGTAATAATTCCCAACCTGTATTTTTATATATTAGCTGACCCAGCAAACGTTGTTTCGCCATGTATATTATTTAAAAAAATAGGGGTTGATCGTAGGGGTTGTATGTATTTTTGTATGCTGTATCACAGAAAATAAAACAATTTTTTTTTACAAAATAAAATAATGGGGGTTGAAGACCCCTTATCACTTAGGGGTTTGAAAGATAGATAGTAGCCGATTTTCAGACCTATTAAATATGTATATAAAATTTGATAAAAATCGGTCAAGCTGTTTCGGAGGAGTATGGTAACTAACATTGTGACACGATAATTTTATATACATATTAGATAAAGTTAATATACTTTATTCTCTTTCCAAAGTCCATTTCAAAAGTAATTATTATCCAATACATATGGCAGCCTATCAATTATGGTAAATATAAGAACGATAAATTTGTATGTACAACGCTATTGAAGGTTGTTATTTAACTATATTCAATTGAATTTGCATTTAAATTCGAAATATGAATCAATGTAAGTTTCGATAGATTCCATTTATTTTAATTTGTAACTCCTAAAACCTTTGTTAACTTGCTTGCCTGTGCAACTCGCTTAGCTTGGCGAGATAACCTGGACAATGCCCCTTTAGAAAGAAAAAATAATTGGTACTTAGCTGGTGCTTATGACCTCAAGATTGATAACCCTAAGAACACTAAGATTAGTATAAGGACTTGATTTACCATTCCCCTTTTTTACTGGCATGCGCTATTGACCCTTAATGTAACGTAATCTGCTAAATAACATGCGGGCGGAAGGGTATTTGCAATAAAAGGTACCCTTATCTGTCGCTTGTTATACAGATTTGTTCGTTTGTTTGATTGATCACATCCGTCTAGGACGTCCTGTTATCGAAACGGTGTAATTTCAGACAATTGGTAATATCACTCTGCAACTTGTATTGAATTTGCTATAACTGATCTTATATCTTAGAATGTAGGTTTATTTTTAACTGTATTCCTAGTATAGGTTAATAAGAAATACTTGTCAAACAAGATTATAATTTCATAGTGAAGTAATTGTACCTACTTATTGCTGAGTTACATTATTGGACGTCAAGTTTTCGATCCGTATCACCTCGACGTCCGTCGTTCTACAACTGAAAAAGCGTTTTTAATTTTTCTTGCCGCGCACCACCACTAGGTGGAACCAACTGCCCACTGACGTATTTCCGAACCAATTCGACTTAGGGTCTTTCAAGAAATGGGCGTACCGATTCTTAAAAGGACGGCATCGCACTCGCGAGCCTTCTGGGAATGTAAGTGTCTATGGGCGGCGGTATCACTGGCGGTCTCATGCCAGTTTGCCTTAAATTAAAAAACCTTAAATTAGGGTTGTTTAATGAGTTTTAACGGTTATGTAAGTTAATCGAAATTTGTATATTATGTCTTGTTTTAAAAGACGAGATTTAGCGCAACCTACGTATACGTAACATTTATCCAACCCTACAATTCTTTAGAAAACATATATCGTAAAGATCCTACGTAGTTACGAAGAATCTATTTTGCACTTATTTATAAACAATGTTTCCTTATCACGTCGCTTAAGAAAATAAACGTGACAAAAACCTAATGAAGAGTTAAAGTACGTTCTTACAAATATCAATATATGTAGTACAAGTCCTATATGATTTGTTTTGAGAACCTTTGCCCATTCTTATAATCCCCAATGAATACTAATATTAGAGCAAATATCACTTTGGCCAATACAAATATTATCTTTAGTTTGACGTACCTACTTCATAATGAAGTACTACTAATTTATGCGCTAAGAAATAAGAGTATATTTCCTCGAACAATTTGGAATGAAGTAATTCCCAGGCCATAAGGAAGTTCATCGGACCTTGAAAAAGGAATTTAAGTTTTCCGTTTATTATGTGTCTCATTAAAAATGGTAATCTAAGTTAATCTTACAGTGATGAAGGTTGCAACTCACATCACGAGTTCGTTCACGTATGGATTTTCTAAAAATTATTGATGAAGAGGTTTCAAATTATTGATGCAGGTGTTTCAAGAATATCCATATAACAGGATATAAAGCCCAAAAACTTAGACATAAGTTGTCTCCAAATTCTGAAGTAATTTTTTTACCTACCTTTTGTTCACAGATGACCCAAGCCGGGATATCATCGTTGAAGTCAACCCCGAGAAGTCGCCTGGACGCGCCGTCTCCAAACACGATTTGGGAAGATTTCTTATAGACTCTTTAACCGAATCCAAATATTATGAGACGGTTATTGGTCTGTGCAATGTACCTAAAGCATAAACACGTTTTTCTGTCGTAAGCCCAACGAAAATGATATACATGAATCCACTACAATATCGAATCAGCATTGTATAACATTTTTTAAGCAGACTTCTGATATGAAAGACAAGTATTAAGGATTGTTTTAATATGTATCTGTAATTTGCGATTTGGTTTACGTCATAAAAATTCTATTATAAATTTTTCAAGCTCCTTGAAACTGTTATATACTTACACTACAAAATTTAGAGAAAATTCTTATTTATTGTTAAATTACATGTAAAGAATAATTTATATATTAGTACATTTTCTTGTTTTATTTAAACGCTTGGTTGTTAATGCATTTATTTCAATAGACGTTGGTAAATATTTGTTTTATTATTCTTTCGTCAATCCTAATGACTACTAAGAGATGTCAAATACCTACTTAAGAGAAGAACAAACAAGTCTGTGGAAAAATTCTCGTCGCAACTATAACTAGCCTTTTGGGTTAACAGATGGTTTAAAACTGATTTTTTTACAAACACAAGGATATTTTCTATGGAAATTAAAGAAATCCAGTTTTATTTAATACTGTATGTATAGCAATAGACTACGGAAACCTGTGTTCGATACAAACATTTAACTCAGAAAGTTTCTTTATATTATATCATACACGTAGAATGGTTTAAAAAAAGGATTTACTACATAAATACTACTACGAACTATATACATGGAACGAATTCAATTCCAAATATGTTAAAATATAGAATGACGTTTTTTAAATAAATAAGCAATGAATCGCGTGAGTCGGTAATTAAAATAAGAGGTCAAGCGAGCAATTAACACCAAATATTAACATACATTATTTAAAATCTAAGAAGCAAATATGCGAACAATCACTTTGATATAACGTATTAGAATACGATAATCATATACCAAAAAGTTTGTACTATACAATGTTCAGTCGATCGTTTAAAAGAAATAGATGAAGGACGAAGCCTCTTTTGGTTATTATTCAATATCAAACGAGAAAGACAATGCGTGTGTGATTGGACTAGATGCTGTTGACTGATCACTACATTATCATTTGATCGCAAAATACGTACACAACCAGATAGACATTTACTTATTGTTTAGATATTATTATATCTAGCAACGATGAATCGATAGTATTTTAAGTTTAGTGCAAGTTCATATCAAAACATAATTGACATTAATATTTTATTAAGTTACCAAAATATTCTGTTCATTTAATATTATATCAAAGCTATCTGAACACATTGTAGGTGTTGACACGAAGGTTTTCGACTCCAAAGTGCTTGGATACAAGTCAGTTTCGCTAAACATCGAATATGGGCTAAAGCACCACGGCTTCATTGTTCCAGAATTGAAAGCAAACCGACCATCACTCCAAAATGACTCGACAGTCCAAGAACTTAGCGTTCCTGATGATTTAGACAACTTCACCATTGGTTGAATTACAACGCTGCCTCGCGGCAGTGTATTGTTGTTAAACACCGTCAGTGTATTTCTACTCAAGCTGCAATTAGCAACACTTATAGGGCCGTACGACGAAGTCGATTTAGGCTGAAACGATACAGACGATAAAAGTATTAACTTATCGCTGCTAGCACTGGAGAAAGTTAGATTAAATGGGTCGCCAGAAGATACGGTATCCGATTCCCACGATTCAGTAGTCCAGGGCGATGTTATCATATCCAGGGTATCATCTGTGGTGAACGAAGATATCTTTTCAAAGTAAGTTTCACCGGCGAATGACGAAGTCGAATATTGTGTTCGCGTGTTACTTCCACTCGACATGGTGGGTGTGCTTGTCGATATCCTCAATGACCTTTGCCAAATCAACAGTTTTCTGTGAGCCAATACATCAGACTCAGATACCATGTTATATTCATGCTGTGTGAATTTTTGACATTGTTGTAATTGGGTAGCAATTTGCTGCGATTTCGATAAGCCAGCGGTACTCTTGAATCGTATTGTACACGTCTTCAAGTAATTGGAAAGGATACATTTTGAGGATCAGAAAAGACCCGTATAAATCAAACTTGTTCTTTCATAAAATCGCCTGTTTTTAATATAACTATTTTGTTTTAAGCAGAATGATTACATAATAATTTTTAATGTGTTACTTTACAATATTTTGGCCATTTCGAATTCGTTGTGTATTTTTTTTGACATTTTTATTGACTCTGTCACTATATATATTGACATAGACGGAATTGTAAAAACCAAATCATAATGAGTTTGTATGATACCAAAGAAACACTCATTCATCTAAAATTCGGCAGACTTATGGCAACTGTCATTGGCCACTTAAACAAATTCACCATTGCTATATTTCTGTAGGTTAAAAATGAGTACTTGAAGAGCGAGGCATTAAAAATGTCTATCTAGAAAGAACATAATACAGTAAAAGCTCCCTATTCGCGCTTCCTTTATTCGCGTTTTCACTATTCGCGGATTAAAAAAATGCAACCCAATTTCTTTATTCGCGGCAAAAAATTGCTTTATTCGCGGATCTAAAATTTCATACAAAATTTCAATAGGTGTTTAACGCAATATCATATAGATAATATGGAGTGTAATCCTGATATGAGTGTTATGGAATGCTGGAAGAAATTTGACGTAGCAAAATGCATCGTAAACATAAAATAATCATTGGACGAACTGACACCACACACATTGAAGTCATGCTGAAAAAAACTATGGCCTGCTCTGACTGCGGAAAATGAAGAAGAATCCGTGCAAGTTCAAACTTTGACTTTGGTTTAAGAATGGCAAATGAGCTTTGCGATTTCTTTATGAACATTGATCCATCTATGGAACGAAGTCTTAATTTTAAGAGGCAAATTGCTAATGCGATTGCTGAGTATCAGTCTGAATTGAAGGAGCTATTAAAAACTAAACCTAAACCTAAGCCTGAGGATAATGATTATATAATCAAAATGTTCAATAACATCAATAAAATTGATATTCTTATATATTTGTGTTTTTTATTTTGGCACCTAGGAACGTATCCCCTATAAACCCATATAAATTACCATTCTGTATTCACGGTTTCTGTATTCGCGGCATATTTATGGAACGTATACCCCGCGAATAAAGAGATTTTAGTGTAATGCTAAACATAATACCGCTATTATAATTCAAATTCTCGCTCGGTTGATTAAATTATCATTTTAAATGAGGCACACAAATAAAGCCAATAACTTAAATATTAAACCATGTTATAGGCATGACTGGTCTTGGTACCAAGCCCCTATGTTTATTTAGACGACCTTTGTAAAGTTAAATAACGATAAATAATATTATCGTATCAATAACTGTAATCATATCGAAACGATAAATTGATACCCATGTCATAAAAACGAATCATGAAGGTTTATATAAAGTCTTTTTTTCATTATAGCCTAATCACAATTCAGCGTTAAGAGACTTGACACGATAAGAATTATTTTGTTTTGTAGAAACAAGAGGATTATGATCAGGGCCGGCTTTAGAGGAGGGCAACCGAAGCTACAGCCCCGGGACCCCCACAATAGACTTAAAAAAAATGTTTTAATTTCCGATTAGTAAACAACTTTTCTTTTGATATTTTTTTCCCCTTTTTGACCTTTACCTTTGTAAAAACATGATTATATTGTTCTTAAATATTAACAGAAATCATTTATCTGTCTTCATATGTTTGTTAAATACTAAAAGAATCTACTTGCTTTCACAATAAATTATTGATTAAAACACTCCACTGAAAAAAATTGTTCATTTTATTTGGAAAAGAATTTGGTGCCTCCACTTCTTTGTTGCCCGAGGTTTGATAGTACAAACGCACATGATATTTATTTTGTTATAATTTATTTTCCTAAATACAAATAAATAACACTTTCAATTATCATATATTTATTTACACATTTTATCTTAGAATTAGATAAAACAGTTTTCCTTTTCAGTCTATTTTGAACGAACACCCATCAGCATACAGAAAAAAAGTATTGTAACTAAACAACAGAACAAGAAATTTAAACATTTTATATGAATTTAAATGTGTACTCACGTAAATCGAAGATAAAATTTACATAATTTCTTGAAGAGATAAGGAATCTAGACAATATAATTTCTATAAATTTTTGCGTTTGTAGTGGCTATTAGTGAGTCGAACGATCCCGAACGAGGTATATTAATACAGTCAAAATCTGTTACAACGACATCGAAGGGACTACTCATATTTGGTCGTAAAACCGATAAATATAACAGCCTATGGCGTTGTTGTTGAAAACCTAATACAATAGAATTCAGCCTGGACCTTTGATTTTTGTCAATATAACCGGTATATGATGTTCTAGTCTAAACGATGTCGTCGTCAACGGTATTGACTGTAATACCAAACTATAATAAAACAATAGTTGATCCGGAATAATCTCCAACTAGCAGGTATTACAGACACTTCTAAGACGAGCTAAGACCGCTGTTAGCTTAGCGGCTGAGCTTGGTTTTCAAATTCGTATTAAAAAATTTAGTCTCGAACAAGGCACAAAAATAAGTTTACATTAACAATGGGCTTTGATTAATTAATTGTACAATTGACCACTGAGCAGCACCAAATTTGGTATAGTAATCGATATTCATCACATTTTTTCATTTAATTAAATACAAATATGACAGTTCTACGAAAGACTTGGCGTTATGGTCGAAAGGCCTGCGCCTTGGGCAAAAAAAACAAATATGACATTAAGGTGGATTTGCACTAATGGGAGACCTAGTTCGCATGTTATTTTTCTGTGTTAATTTGTCTCTGAATGGCTTCTTAAGCTTTCTTTACTTGTCTCCTTTAATAAATGTATATCGAGCAATGTCTTCCCTAATTCCCCGGTTCGGAATCCCCGGATCATCGTGCGTGCTGTTTCTATTAAATCTGGGACATCCCTCATTCGGCCGTCATAATCGCGGACACGTCTTATTCGGTTGAATTTCGTACTGCCAGCAATTAGTACCTAAAACAATTACAACATAATAACGATAATGGCGGGAAGGAATAAATTATTTTAGAAAATCTATTCGGTAATTTTTACATTATCTTGAATTAGTATGATATTATTTCTTTTCAATGTTAAAAAATACCAAAATTAACACAAAATTTTGCATTTCCAGTCAAATTGCCAGCAACTGTTCTTAAAACAAAAATTTAATAGAAACAAAGGCAAAATTGTAGAATTAAAATAAAAATACTTGTTTCAAATATGACACTTTAGTAACTATAGTATATTACGATAAGTATTTTTTTAATAAAGAATAATTTATTCAGCAAATAAGTTTTATTTTTCAACACAGTCTCCTCTATACATTTAGTCTACTGTTTTTATAGTTTTTTATAATTTTTTTTTCTATTGGACCTTCATTTGCCCCAAATCTCCTTCCAACCAGGCATTTTGTCAAATTAAGCAACAGGAACTAGTTATATTGTGTGTTCTACATTTAAAGCATGTGAAATTGCGACTTTTTATGATCAAAATTAATAAAGAAAGCAATTTATTTAAATTAAACTTTGTTCCTTAGAGTTATTTTCACCCTGAATCACCAATGAGATTGTCTGTTGACTTTGTAATAATTTAAGTTACCAGATTGTTGCAGTTTTAATGCAAACAAAAAGCATATAACAAACAAACAAAGTAGCCAGTGAAGTTAACATACCCTATTAATATCATCGGTTGGCTCCTCCAATCCCATATATTCTACATATTTAAAGTTCTCATGAGCATTGAGCCAGTACAGCAAATAGTCTGCTATTATCTCTTCTCCAACTAAATGGTCTTGTAAAGATGCGCAAAGTGCCAGCTTTAAACCCATCTCGACATTGGTTACCGATGGCTCTAAAATACCTATAAACATAGTGGAATAAAATGAAATAATTTTATTATAGACTTTGAGACTTATAAAAACTCTATTATGTAAATTGTTTTTACTACTTAGAATACTAGACTAGATTTAAATAAGATAAGAAAAACTATGGAAAAAACCTTGAAACTGCTCATAATATGACCACAATGGTTCTTAAAATGTTTATTCATGTATGTTTAGTCCATAAAAACTACATTACACAAACAAATAAGTTTAGAATTGTATGAAAAAAAAACTATATAGTATAATATATATTTTATTAAACTGTTGAATGTATGTACAACTAGAAATCTTACCAGGTGTATCAAACATGAAAATATGAGGATTGCTATTTATCCTTATCTTAGTATGCATACTCTTTGTAACTCCAGCTACCGCACCAACTTGTAAAGCATGTTTCTGGTGAGTATTTTTACTTCTGAGCATGTTTATTAAAGAAGATTTACCCACATTAGGTACACCAATTATCAACACATTGTAATCTTGTTCTTCACTTCTATTGTATCTGATAATAACAATTAGAAGCATTTGAATAATAATATTAAATCTTTTTTTTGATAGTTGTAATATTTCATAAACAAAAATTAAATATGTATAAATTATCAATTAAATAGTAAAATCTAAACATTGGAGTTACAAATTACCTGTTGGAGTCTTTTATCAGGTCTATCATTAGCGGTTTGAGTATTTTAAGTCCTCTGCATAACTGATCTTTACTGTTTGTAAACACCACATGTTTTACACCTTCTTCTGCCATTAACTGATCCTTGATTCTTGGTACTAATGATTTAATGGCTAAGTCTTTCTTATTTAACACTAATATATGTGGTTTTGCACCTGTTATTGTACTTGTAAAAATGGGATTTCTCCCAGAAAAAGGAATTCTTGCGTCATGAACTTCCATGACACAATCGACGGATTTTAATTTCCTCTGTATCTGTTTTAAACCTTTATTCATGTGCCCAGGAAACCAACGCAGTAAATCTTTGGCTACGTACGGGCATGTTTTTCTAAAGCTGTACGATGCTGCATCAAACTTTAATGCCATTCTTATCAGAGGTTATGTTTACGTATAATATTTAACGTAAATTACACCATATTTCTTTTAATATCAATATAATGTAATATAACATATGACATAAACAATTGCATATACGTGCTGTGTTACATGCATATAAATAAATTAAGGAGAAAACTTTTTATCAAAACAAATAAACTCGGCACTTGTCCAATGTCAACGACCAACGTATTTATTGAGTGTCAGTTGTCAAGTATCTACCATGAATCCCGAAGAAAATAGTTAATAGATTTCCTTCCTCCATGATAAGTGAATGGAATCGTCAATTGAAAAATACAAAGTTTTCAGGAGTATATGTTATATATTTTATAGCGTGTATCTCTCTATGTGGTTTGGTAAAGCATCATCTCAATATTCTAATAACTATTGTATAATAGGCAATGTAGGTAATTTTTATTAGATTTATTTATTAAAGGCCGCGGCAACAAGACCACACATAATAATAAACAGGATAGAAGAAGTTATACATTTTGCAACCAATGTGTGTTCACGATGATAGGTGCACAAACATAACGCTTAAAAGATACCAATGTTTACAATCACTTAGTCTACACAGACAAACATTATCGATCTAGGATCACAATCAAAAGATCTCAAATTACAAATTACCTTGAATTAGATTGAGACGTCAATATAAAAATATGTTAAGAATAATGTTCTGAATTAGTAATTACTATTGCGATTCATGATCACCGAACGAATTTACCTATGTAACATTCTCTACATGCCAGTTAATTTGATATAAAAAATCTTACAACCCGTCAACTAATGACATTCAAAATAAACACTTCACAATTCACAATATTTTTATTCTAAGAGATAAAGTTCACGTAATACAAATAGGTAGGAGGCCCTCAAGATGTCGAAGACGTTTATGTTGGAGCCTGATTTAATCGCAGCCGGTGAAAATGCAATGCCAGATCTCAATAACGATTTAGTTTTAGCCAAAAACTTTTTGAAACAGCAAAGTGCAGCTACTGCAGATTCTTTGTGAGTATTCCAAATGATATTTAATTTACAGCCAGATTATAGATTCTTATAAGTTCCAACACTATATATCCGAAATACAAGTTGTACCTAATATTACCACGTTGACTTTTCTAAACTACGACTCGTAAATTACATAAGTTATCAAACGTAAGAGGTATCTACGTAGCTAATAACTAGTTAGACGCTTTCAGTAGTACAGCGTTAGTGAAGAATATTTATAGTAGTTTTTTGTTAAAACAGGGGCAAACGGGCTCATCGGCCCATGGACACTCTCAATGATAGAGGGCTCGCGAGTGCGTTGCCGGCCTTTTAAGAATACAGTTACTAATTACTACAGCAATCGATACATTTAAAAGAACATTATCTTTATTACCCACTTAATTAATACTACTTTCTTGTATAATTTACTAAGGTTTACAGATAATAAACATTTTTAAGGTATGACCACCTCGTTGACATAGTTCAGAAGATTCTAACACAGAAACCGCCAAATGTAGTTGATAACTTTGAGCAATATTCATGGGAAGTGAAGCAAGAGAAATTTCGGCCAAACTTCGACTTACTTAACGATATCTATTTATCGCCGTCTCAACTAACCATTGTGCGGAGGGTGGACGAAATGTTTCGTGTAAATAATTATTGTTAAACTTATAACTGTTACTTTATAACTAAAAGCCACATTACAGTCTGACCTCCATTTTAGAGGTTTAATTTACGTACTCCAGTAGGCTTATCATGTAATTTCAATACTAATACAACATGAGATTTCAAATTGGCTCTCTCTAAAAAGTGTCAATGCTGAATATTTATGTCAAAATAATTACAACGCCATTATATTTGATACGCCGATTTTCGATATGGTTTTCTCAGTCGTGCTGATGTTCCAAATTTGGATACAAGGTACGAAAATTGATAATAGAAATAGGAATTATTATTAAAGCTACAGGGTAGGTCAGGTTATTAACCTTATGTCTAGTATAAGAATATTATTTGTCTTCCAATTGGGTTAAAATACCTACTATAACTTTAAATTTAAAAAAATCTGTAGCTAGTAGCCAGTAAGTCGCAGAAATTGGAGGAAGTAGGCGAAGAGGAACAGGAATTAGATCTGGAAGAAGAAGATGCGAAACCTCGGATATCTGACCTCATAGATAATAACTATTACTTCAAACAGGTGACTATTTAATGTGTTATCTGCGTCATTTCTACGAAAAAGGAGCAAGGAGTAATAAAACTCTAAAATCCTTTAAATGATGAAGAAATAATAGTACATAACCATTTGCAAAAACATCGTATAGGTACAACAATATGATTTGTCAGCCGCAAAGCCGTGATAATTTAGTAGTTTTTAGTTTGGTGCAAAAAAGAATAATATTAAGAAGTGAATTTTTTGAGACACAATTTTAAGTCCTTATGAATTTTTCTGAGCAATGTGATCAACAATGCGTCAAGCACGTAAGCTGCAATTTTACATTTAATTTCAGGCAGGATACGGTTTACCAGAAAATGAATGCTATGCCCTTTACATTGCTCTTAACATGTTGGCTATCAAAGAACCAGTTGCCACAGTTAGGTGAGTATTTTCTTTAAAACAATTATTATACTTAATATATAACGTTTTGTCTGAATCAAATATAAAAAATTCTCGTGTCACGGTGTTTGGTTTCTATTTTTTTATGATACAGCATACAAAAATACATACAACTCTTCCCCCCGCCTATTTTTTATAGTAGATAGTTATTTTTATCGAACTAAAAATTTTTTTCCTAGAAATAATATACATGGCAAAACAACGTTTGCCGGGTCAGCTAGTCTTAATTTATAGAAAGGTTTTCAGACCAAATGGTTTTAAATTCGTGTTTTTTAAACAGATTCTTCGGTAAAATATATGGTACGAAAGCTAATTACTACATTGCGGAAACAGACTTAACAATTGAGGAGCTGGATCGAAGGATTCGGGTAAATTAATAATAAAACGAACCTATTAATAAAATAGTTTTAAATCCAATCTAATAAATGAATTGTAAACGCTGATTATTACACTATGTTAAATCATTTAATAAAGTTATGGAAATGTGGCTAGTCTTACGCTCGTATATATAATACACCGCTTCAAACGATAAGTTCTAGGCCTAATATTTGCGTATACGGGGTATAATCTAGTTAATTTTAGTAGTGACATTCATAATATATACAGCCTTGGCGATTCTGTAACCCGAAAATTTTCGAATTTACACGGGCCCCACAAATCAGTCGTGAAGCAGTCATTTTATGATTTGGCATTCTGATAAGGAGGGAGCTTGTAGTTTATTGTTTATCAGAATGCCAAATCATAAAATGACTGCTTCACGACTGATTTGAGCGCGACCGCCGCTGCGAAAACCTTGTGTGAGTTCGAAAAGTGAGTTACAGAATCGCAAGGCAGATCTCTCATACTGTTTGCGCAGTGTTGGCCTAGTGGCTTCAGCGTGCGGCTCTTATCCTTTCTTGACTTTCTATCATCTATGTGCACAATTAACATCGCTCGAACGGTGAAGGAACACATCGTGAGGAAACCGGCTTGCCTTAGACCCATAAAGTCGACGTCGTGTGTCAGGCACAGGAGGCTAATCACCTACTTGTCTATTTGATTGACGAATGATCATGAAACAGATACAGAAATTTGAGGCCCAGACCTAAAAAGGTTGTAGCGCCACTATTTTTTTATTCATACTTTTTTCCCTAATGTAAAAGAAAGTATTAAAAACTTATGAAGCATGAAAAAAATAATTCAGTCACTGATAAAACGCAGAATCAGTAATCTAAATCTTGGTAACTAAAGATTAATAATATGTTATGTTCGAAGGAGTTCGAAATGAAGGATATGCCTGGTGAAGGAGAAGGTATGGATGAAGATAGGACTCATGAAGCGGAGGAGCAGAAAGAAATAAGTAAGAATTAATTATTTCAATAACACTAAAACTACATAATTACTAAAATTTATTTTAAATCTCACTACTATTTTCAGTAATTTTGCTTCTAGACTGGTACTCCCACATTAAATTCCAAAACTAATAATGTTGCTAGCCTCTCTTGTAAACGTATCGTTAAAGCCGAATTTACATTACGAAACTAGTGTTATGCATGTTGGAATGAGTTTCATGAAAATAGTTGCAGCATGTGTGAAACTACTTTAACAAAAAATAATAGTGTCGTGAAATCAACAGTATCACCAACGACATGGCTCTGTCAACATCATAGCTTCATTTTGCGATGCAGAACGTCGTGGTACAGATGTTAATATATAAAATTCGAAAATTATATTTTTATCAACTGACCAACGTTGGTTTGCCATTTTGGCGGTCATTTAGCTGCACGATGCACTCAAACACACACGTCTGCCCTGTGCAAATGCTTTCGCGACACTAGTTTCGTGTCGCGTTTTCATCGTGAAAGTAGTTGCGTGACATTAGTTTTACAAAAAATATGCGCATGGCACGAAATTTATCCAGTGTCGCGAAACCGATGCATGCATTATGAAACTGTAAATTTACACGTGAAATTGTTGATGAAATTTATGTCATAAAACTAATTCCGAGCCACTAGTTTCGTAATGTAAATTCGGCTTAACAGCTGTTGGGGGCTGTCCATTAATCACGTGAGGTTCGAAAGGGGTGGGAGGAGTTCGGCAAATGATATCTTACTATAAAATTTGTTTATAGCAAGATATCACGTGTACTTACTTTTCGCGTGATGACGCCGAGTGGCTTGATGAAACCGACGTTGATCTTCAATAAAGTACAGTGCCAACAACTGACTTGCAAGATGCTTATCCAGTTGTTAGTATTGAAGAAAGTCTTGCTAATCTTCGTACATCGTACTTATACAATATATGTTTTTCGCATGATAACACCCTTTTTATATAAAAATAATATTCCTTCAGTATTATTTTTATGACAGTCAAAAACAACCTGCAACCTTTCTGTCTTGACATTTTTATCATGGTCCTTAATTTTCTAGAATAGGATTAGATTATACTTTATACCGGTACTTAAAAATAATATTAAAAAAATGTAAGATTCTTTCTAGGTACTATAAATTACACGTGATTTTTGGTGGGGGGGGGGGGGTAGTCTCAAACCTCACCACGTATCACCATAGGGGAGGGGTTAAAAAACGTTAAAAAAACATCACGTGATTAATGGACAGCCCCATGGAGGCATCTCGCACACGATACCGTCTATCCCTCTCCATATGTTCGATGCAACCGAACAAAATGAGTAATATATACCATAGAGTTTTCTCAAACAAGTACTAAAATATTGGTTCTAGTGGGTGAAGGCGAGACACGAGAAGAGAAACCCAAAGAGCCAGTTCCTCCCAAATTGCCTCCAATTCCTATATCTACGTGGCAGCCGCCTCCGCCCATACCAGTTGAAAGACCAGGCCAAGGGGTTAATAAAAAAGTATGTTTCGTATCTGAATTACTCTGTAATTTATAAAACAAATATATGTTGTAGTCTGTGCTAGGTTCAAAGACTCTTTTAAAACCTAAACTTTTGAGACGATTTCATTTGCATGTGTTTAAGAGTGATTTCGATTTATTAAACCAACGGATTTATTATCCACACTTATATCTTAAGTTTCTCTTTAAATTGGAACATTTTATAGTATTATAATAATTTTTTAATCAATATCATTCAAAGTGGTGACCTAGATGCAGCATCTTAGACACACAATTCATCATAATTGGAATCTCAGTTACCCTTGCTGCACCACCACACTCTTCCTCTATCTGTTTCTAAAATAATCTTGTCGAGAATATTTTCTTTTTCATAAAGCTTAGGTTTCCTAGAAAAGCGGTGCCGTTAACTAACGGCCGTCTTTAATTTTTAACATAAAAAAAACAAAAACATCATTTTCGCTCGTCCAAGTCACGTTTCCACTCATGGTATTAATTAAATTAATTAAATAGGGGCACCGCTACACGCGAAAAACGTTGAACTAATGTTTATCACCGCTATGACGGCCGTCATGCAAATGACAGCATCACTATTTAACTTGACGGTGACACTCAACGTTCTCTAGAAAACCTACTCCGATGTTATTTATAGACATATACGTAATGGGTGACGTCACCCAACGTTACATTACGGCCGTTGGATAACTGCACCGCTTTTCTAGGAAACCTAAGCTTAAGCATGATAGCAATCAAATTTATAGGTGTATTGGGTATGCAATTTGCCTGGGGAATCTTGGATATGCCTTCCAGACCTAACACCTGACCAGGTCCGAGTGGCCCGCCTCTCTGTCAGATGTATGACTGGCGATTTGGATGCTGAGGTGAGATTCTGTTGAATATTTTTAATAATTATCATATTCAGTATTCTGTTGTATTTATTACTTATTAAGTAATATTTTTAGATGTGTGTGTATTTAATATTCATCAGTACCGATACAGTACTAAGAACTCTTCTGGATATATCGACGACTCGAAATTCAGTAGTTTTAGCCTTTTATGAGAATCAATGCGACATACTATACAGAAGTAGAATATATGAGATGGAGAGTGTCCAGAGGAGTTGTTCAGACTAATGCCTGCAGCTCAGTTTCATCATCGGACGTCAAGGCAGAATAGAAAAAAAAAACATCCGTATCACCTTCATGTCCGTCGTTCCACAACTGAGCGTTTCTTAAGGCAATTTATGCCGCGTATCACCACTATGTGGAACCAGCTGCCCACTGAAGTTTCCGAACCAATTCGACTTAGGGTCCTTCAAGTAAAGAGCGTACCATTTCTTAAAAGGCTGGTGTGCGCTTGCGAGCCTTCTGGCAGTGCGAGTATCCATGGGCGGCGGTATCACTTAACGTCAGGTGAGCCTCCTGCCCATCTGCCTCCTGTAACATAAAAAAAATATTAAGTTTAATACATCGTAGTATTTTAACAGGCTTCTAATGTTTTATAGATACAAACATTTCCGCCATTCGAAGGTACGGAGCGTAATTATCTTCGTGCTCAAATAGCTCGAATCCAGGCAGCTACGTCTATCTCACCTCAGGGCTTCTTCACTTTTGGTTCTGGAGAGGAGGAGGAAGATATTGATATGGAAGAAGGAGCTGGTACACAATTAAGTTTCATTAACTAGAAGTTGGTTTAATTACTTGAGCATTACGAACTGTTTATGTTCGAGTGTATGGGATGAGTCTAGAATAGAGTGAAGAGTAAAATTATGAAAGTTGTTAGAGAAAATTCTGGGCCGATCTATCTCTTTGAAAAGGCAGGGTAGTAGTCAGTAATAATTTCTGGCTTTGTTGTTAAAGAGATTTTTTCCCCTGAAATGTTTGTTTATAAAATGTGAATAATTTTATAAGGTTTTCAGACTATATACTTTTACATTATGTAACAATGAAACAATCAAATTGGTTAAATGCTAGATGTTTGATTATGTAGAAAACGCGTTCATATGTTTTTTAGCGAATAAAGTTCAAATATTTGTTACAAATAAGAATTAAGTAATGTAAAAAAAACTAACTTAATTTTTAACTTATACTAACACAAGTATTAATAAAGCTCTAATATTAATAGTAATGTAAATTTATTCCAGGTGATTTAGCTTTCAATCCCAACCCCTTCTACCAAGGGCACACGTTAAAGGATCTACTGGACACCAATTTAACATATTGGGTGCATCACGGGAGACATATTTTGAAACAGGGAAGAACCATTTGGTGGAACCCTAACGCTGGAATGGTTAATATGATAACTTACTATGGCTTATTACTTTAAATAATACAGGCCTAATTCCTTCTTCGATATAGCTAACATTAACATTTTTGAGCTTAGATGTCCTGCTACTTTTTTAATAGGAAGAGGGGTTAGAAGAAGAAGAGGACGAGGGTCCTCCTCCAGTGGAACCGGAGAGTGGCCCTTCTCTTTTCACCCCGCTATCAGAGGATGCTCACTTAGAGGGACTCCCAGCTTGGACCCCTCGAGTCAGTTCTACTCTTTCCCCGGATAGAGCCCTCGTTAGCTTGAGAAGCAACGTGTGGCCTGGGGCTGTGGCGTATGCCACTACTGGAAAGTATGCTTTAGTAGTAGTTTTGTTACAAAAAATTAATAAATCAGTGGCGCTACAACCTCTTTTAGGTCTGGGCCTCAGATATCTGAATCTGTTTCATGATCATTTTTAAATTTAATAGGCAAGTAGGTGATCAGCCTCCAGTGCCTGATACACACCGTCGACTTTTTGGGTCTAAGACATGTCGGTTTCCTCACGATGTTTCCGTTCACCGTTCGAGCGAATGTTTAATGCGCACATAGAAAGTCCATTGCACACAGCCGGGGTTCGAACCTACGACCTCAGCGATGAGAGTCTCACGCTGAAGCCACTAGGCCAACACTGCTCAGTTAGTTTTGTTATACATACTATATTTAGTTAACTTGCAATCTTTCAGTGATATGAATGTACACAATTATCTTATTCCGTGCTAGGAACTACTAATGAACTAACAAAGGAAATAAGTAAGACAATTCATTACAGTACTTACGTCTATTTTTTGGCATCGGATTACCAAGATACGCCAAGATATTTTTAGTTTCATTACCTATGAATGGCATTTCTCACGTGTCACTTTTTAATCATCCAAGTATCCAAATCGCCCGATAAATATGTGTTCCACGGTTCAAATGTCTAATCAGGTGAAGAAGTACCTAGCTCGTAACTTGCTCGATACAATAACCTTCAAAAGTGACATTAGAAGCCATTTGTAAATTCGTAGGAGATCAGAATGTATGTATGTCGGCTGGGGATTGAAGTATCAGCCGCCAAATTTTTCTCCACTCCAACTGCCTCGGCCTGAAGATGAATACATGGTTGGACCTGAGGTTATGGAAATGGCTGATCCTACTTTCGCTGATGAAGAGGTAATTCATACATTCATTCGTTTATTTTCGTAACTCTTCCCGCTCCAGGAAAAAAAATCTACCTAACGGTTTTTTTTGTAAAGGTACGTGGGTGAGTGGGTCATCTAAACCAATATACACTAAAATTCTGGTAAAATTTTCAAACAATCCTTTACCTATTTATTCATAAAAAATAAATCAGATTAAAGTTTAATTGCACCGTTTTTAGTATTTAGGTATATTTCTCTTGTCATCACAGCGCATGCGTGGCATGAATGGTTGAGGTTTTACGAATAAGGTTACTTTCTGAATTCATATACCTACCTTATTTCATTGTTCTTCATAACCTTCGTAATAAAACAAATATTCTACACTAGCTACCCCGCAATACCGCGAACTTCCTTTCCCTTTAATATGATGATTTACTTAGCCTACCTTTTAGTAGCTACATAACATTTATTTTATTTATTCTATACATAAACTGAAATAAAAAATAAGTTTATAACAGTGTGGCGGAAACACAAACTGGACACAGTTTTTCTATCCAACACGACGTCGAATAGATTTTAATTATTAACTTATATAAGGCCAATGACATACACATCATAACAATATAGTCATTAAATTGCGTTATTAAAACTAACACTAAATATGGGGCATTTTACTAGCCAATTTTTTTTTAATATTTAGGGTAGCCATAGATACTAAACATGTTTTTTAATATTCTTCAAAATTTTCAATAAAAACCTTTCTCAGAGTTCAAGGAATAAATAAATAATTACTCGACTTGGTCCAGCCGCCATCGAGGTTTCAGCTTAGCAACATATTTTGTGATTTATTTTTATTTATATAGATTAGGAACATGCGTCAGGGATAATGAAATTTCTAACATAATATACGTTTTCGAACGAACTTTCGCTTTCTACATATCATAATTTTGCATTAAAGAAAAAACTGGTGTTTTTCAGGCATATCGTATTGCTCATTTGCCTCCACCCCCACCGCCAGAACTACCTGGAGAGGGAGAAGGTGCCTTTGGAGAAGAGGAGGAAGATGAAGATTAATATTATTATAATAAACATTATTTAGTTATTAGCGATTTTATTGACATTGTATAATATAATTGTTATTTACGACTGAAAAATTTAGAGCTTTTTAACTTGCCTATCTCTTTCATCACAGCGTGCATACAATTTGACAGAAAAAGACGAGTCACTTAATATGACCCTGTTTCTTTGTTATAAGATTTTTTTAACAATGTAATAGTCCGGTCAATCTATACATTGCAAGCTACCAGAATTATCATCAAACTGAAACTGAGTAAACTTGTTCCAAATTCCCTATCGTTACGACCCATGAAAAAAAAATGACTCAAGGCCAAAGGTCAAAAAAATGTGTTTTTCGCGGTTTTCTTCAAAATGGCAAGTTTATCGTAAAATTAACTCAGACAAAAATTGTAGGTCACAAACCTATCTATAAAATTGATTGATACGTTATAAAAGCTTCCTAAAAGCTACCGCTTCCGAGATAAAACGATTCAGAAAGTTGTAAGTTGTAGCGCTAAGTAAACTAGCTCAGAGCAGTGATGCAAATTATGGGTTTTCCCCCCGAATTTAGGGGTAATCAATGTCTTGGGGGGTTAAGTAGGAGGTACACAAATAAAAATCTTAAAAAACGCACGATTCTATATAATTTATATTAAGCCTAGAACCCAACAAACTAAATCAAAAATAAAAACCAAGCGAGGCTATAGCCTAGCTATTATAATATTGGAATATTATAATATTCCAATATCGAAATGTTATATTACTTGAATGTACTTTTCATGTATATTTGAAATTGCCTCTCAAACTGAGTGTTCAACAAAAACTTTAGGGATTTTTATATTTAGGGGTATTTGAAGGTGGTTTTAGGGGGAACATTCTGTAGGAGTTGGTATCACTGCCTCAGAGGTGGCCTGGAAGCGTGTGCATAAAATGACGCTCGCTCTTGTTTTTTGAACTAATTTGACCGGACTAAAACTAATATATTCGACAGAATACGTTAGGCAACAAAATCTGACAATGTTTTTGAGTTTAAAACATTTAAGTGTGCTACTTATTTTCAACAAAACAGGGTGTGAGATGTGTCAAAAAAATACAGTGTTTTGTGCAAAATTTATTAAACTTAACAATATCACATCAATATCGTTAATCGCATCTTAAATTATTTTACGATTACATTACATTTTTAAATAAATATAGTAAAACAAAAGAGGTATATATTTCCGCACTAAACCTTAAACAATGGTTTTCCATACAATATACGTTTATTGCAGACAATGAAATAAATAGCTATATTTTTCAAAACTAAACACGAACATGAAGGTATAATTGCAGTCGCTTGAATTGAAATAAATATTTAAATCACGCATCACCAGTTCACATCTTTCGTTCGCTCTGTGTTCTACAATTTATAACATACTTTATTGTCTCTGGTTTACAGATCAGTCCTATACGGGTAAAAAATGTACTATAGGTTCAGAAAGTTATTGTGATAAATTAGAGCTTTTTCTATACTATTTCTTATGTTTATGCAGCTGTGGGGCGGACAATTTCACTTTTCCTGGGAAATTTCTAGCTACATTCTCTTCTTTGACCGCCTTTAACAAGTCCTTTTCGCGTGCAGATGCCATCTTGTCCCGTAAGAATACCTGGACAGCTGTTTTGGCCGCTTTTCCTCTTTTGCTTGTGCCCGGGGTTAATTTTACTTTAAACCTTGATAATGGCAAAATAATTGTTAATTTACGTCTATTCATAGAAAGAACTGTTGCTAAAATTTTATTAAATTAATATTAAGTTTTACTAAAAAATATTCTCGCTAGCAACACTGCAATCACATTTACCCCAGTCTGACCATGCAGTATAAACACGTAAAAAATTTTGTTGCATCTAATTTAAGTTATGATTTTTAAATTCCGCAAAAATATTGTTTCATTTAAATTACAGTACTACTTAATAATAAATGTTTTTCCGTATATTTTATATAGTATTAATAAAAATAATTCAACTTACTTATAGTTATGAAGTGAGGAGTACGGCGCTACAACAGGTACGGCGAATAGTAACTCGTCTTCAGGATATGGCGCGCCCGTCAGCTGACACAGCATTTCCGTATCCGCATCGCCTGTCTGTTCCGTCTGTGAAAAATATTTATTTAGCCCCATTTCACCTCCCTCGGACAAGCAAAAAACCTGACGCGGCCGCAGAGCAGACGGAAAAAATAAACGGCTTAAGAGTCTTTCCTCCAACTTCGATTTTCTTCCTTTTGGAGTAGACTCTTGGGCCGTGGGGTTCAAGTGCACAGCTTATTAAAGATTTAAGTTGGCGCCTGGTAGAGAGTACCGGTGACCCCAGAGCTGGTGCTTTCCTTAACGAATAAGTATCGCAATACAGCGAGAAAATGCTGCCAGCATTAAAGGTACACTGCCACAGGGACCAAACTTTTTAAATTTGTTTTAATTTTCTTTTTATTATTTTTTTATAACTATTATGTAGATTTAAAACTTTGTAAATACTGCAAATTTGTGTGTTGGAAATAGAAAAATTACTTTACCAATTAATTATTTGAAATACATAATTTGTCAATGTAACATACTTACTTAGAGAAAGATTGACATAAAATCTTACCTCAGCTTCGAGTTCCGGTTCATCTTCAGACTCAGCTTCAAGCAGTAATGGAGGGGGTTGTGGTATCTTCGGTCCGCGATTAGATTTCTTGTCTTTGTTGCCTTTTGCAGCCTGCTTTAGGGCCTTCTTTGATTCTTTTGCACATTTGTCTGGCTGAAATGATATTTATTTTTAAAATTTGGCTACTGTTTTTTTGGGAAATCGTGCTATTTTTTATCTGAAAATTTGCAATGTTAAAATAATTCATTATAATTGGCTTCAGTATTCGACATCGATATTTCGACGCTTATCATACAAATTATTAATAATACATTTCTAGATCTACCAAAAACTAAATTTAAAAAAAATTCAGAGTCGAAGAATCGAGTCGATAATCATTAATTACTTTTAATAAGTCCATCATGAACGCGCGATCCTCTTCATCTTGATCCTTATATTTTTCCTTTATCTTCTTCAATTTTCCCTTTTGGCCTCGCTTTGGACCATTCTTCTCCTGTTCCTTTTGAACTTTTTCCTTCTGCGGGGGTTTCTCTTTCTTCTGAGGGTTCTTTTTGGGCATAGCGGGGAATTTCAATTGTAGCTCTTCACTCTGTTCTGACATTTCTGATATTGTTCGCGTTTTAGACGCGGTTATTACTTGCCCTGTTCCGTGATCGACCTGAAGAGATAAGATAAATAAATACTCCTTTCTACCTTAAAATGGGAGGCAGAAGGAGAATAAAAGTTAAGATAGAGTCAACGAGGTAAGAGGATGATTCTACATCAGTTGTATTTAATGCTACGAAATAATATTTAAAAAAAACTAAACATGAACAAGTACGAAGAATAAAATTAGCGGCTAAATCGATAGAACATATTGAAAGATCTTAAAATATAAAGATTTTAGGGAAGAAAATCGTGACTGTTATTGGATAGAGATATTTGCGATAGATTTTGAAATATGTGTGTGAATTTTACTCTTACCTTAATATGTGTATCCAAGACATCATCAGAACTATCACTATCTGAGTCACTTTTATCTTCTTCTTTCTCTTCCTTAAGTTCCTTTACACTTACTTTATTTAAATCTTCACTTCCATTTTTGTCTTCTAAATTACTAGTTTCATTCTGATCTGCAACTTTAGCACTTTCCAAATTCTCTTTAACACTATCACTACTTTGTAATTCCTTATTTTCAACTATTGTATCCAATATATCTTTACTATCTTTTTCGTCATCTGAATCCTCTGATACGACAATTTCTGTATCTTGCTCACTCTCAGCCACTTCAGAAATATCATCGGCTATACATTTTCTCTCATCTTTATGCTTTTCTATGCAGCTATCCTCAAGCCGAAAGAGGAAACTAAAGCCAAATTGTAAATGTTCTGGAAGGAGGTAGTTCTTTTTGCCCCTGATCATGAAGGATCCTGTCGTTAGATATTCACCGGTTGGGGCGGATTTTGATACTTGCTGCCCGTATACCCACCACGCACGAGTTAGAACTTTTGCTTCCCAGGCCACACTAAAATTTGTTAAATAAAACTAAAGATACAAAACAGTACTATATAAGAACAGTATTACGCTGAAGAAAATATATTATATTTAATGTTGGAACAAACTTCTTCTTCTGGCATTCTAGATATAAAACCAATTCAAGTTCGAACTGAATATGAATATGTTAAGAATTTGTCATAATACAAAATGGATAACCAAGGTAAGATCAACAGACACTGCAAAGAAATAACATATCTTTGCGTTAATATATTTTCCATATTTTAATTTCGTTTTAATTAAATCTTAAACCAACCTGTAAGCCACCGCTGCCTGTCCTGCCTCACTAAGCGTCCGAGGAGGAGGTAAACCCGCCGGACACTTAATAACTACGGACGAAGCACCACTCACTTCAGCGTGCACGTACACGTCTGTTGAACGCATGTAACGCTTAACTAACAATTCGTTTTGTTGCTGATCGCGACCGCCTATTACCTGAGAAATATTTACCGTCTAATTATATATTATCTTTGATTTTCTTATTTGAGGATTACGTCAACAGTAATTATTTACTTTCTTTCACATATTACCCACACATTGTAGACAAGCATAGATGCTTGCAAACGAAATGCATTTTCGAGGATCCCTACAAAAAATTTATACGTTGTTCTATTATTTTTTAGAGCTTTGCTTACTTGCTGACAAGAGGAAGGGGGGAGAGGTTTATAAATTGTAGTAAGTCTGCTTACGTAATACTTGAAAGGTCACTAAGAAACAGTGCCGTAATTTATTATGATTAGAAAAAAGTGATTTTGACATAAAAAAACCTTAAAAATCTACAACTAACCAATCTATAGCCACGCTTCTATGCAAGCGGTTGCTTTGATGATTTATGGAATGAATGAAAACCGTTAACATAGCAATTAGTATAAAATAATTATATTCACCAAATAGTTCTCTGAAGATATGAACCAGTAGAATTTCTCGAACCAGTACGTCTTTCTCGCTTTACTGATGGTACTGATTGTTTGGGCTTCCTTGAGCGTCTGTTTGGTCTTACGTTCAGCGCTCTTCAGAGCTTTTCCCGACGATTCAACAGTTTTCTGCTGTTTCTTAGCTGCATTGCGTTTTTGATCATAGTATCTGTGAATCATTTGGATATATTTCTGCGCGGAAAAACGTTGAACTACGCTATAGCCGATATTATATCATGCCTTGTGACCCCGGGGTGCTTCAAGCAGTACTTTTCAATTGATTTAGTCAAATTAGTTACTAATAATAGAACGAAATGGTTTAAAGGTGATACAGTGGTTTCTATTTCAACACATGAAAAATATTCTAAAGCAAGGGTTTTGATAGTAAAAATAAAAGACGTAATCGAACGTTTTATTTGATAAACGGACTTAATATAGACGCGTGATGTCATGGACGTTTGGACTAGACAATCTGTTGATATCCAATTGGCCAATAGAATGTAACGCAACGCTTGTAATATTTTATTTTAAATTTACAAGCGTTATTCTATTCTCACGGCTGTTATTATTTTCTATAAAAATGAAGGAGACTTAAAAAATGTATACATACAGAAGACATTTTAATATCAATGAAGCCAATTCAAAATAATTAAAAAAAACATAACATAGACAACCACAAGTAAATAATTAAATTCAGATTCATTTAAAAGAGATAGAGAGAGAAGAGAAGGATCTGTTTCAGTTAATTCTATTATATATACATTTTAAAGATTATTACCGTCTTGCATTAGCAAAGGCCGTCAAAGACAGATCAATATCCACCATCATCGGTCCCATGTCCTCATAAGGATCTGTCAGACGCAACGTGATATGATTGGTTGATAGTTTCAGTTGCTTGATAGTCGATGCTACAGGGTCTCCACTATCTTGGGCCGTTTTGACTAACAGTTGTATGTCATCCCAGGACATCTAAAATTATATTTAACTAATTAGCAGACATTTATATTATGCCATTTATATGAATTTTAATGACAAAACATAAAAAAGTGGTTGTCTATAAAGTCGGTTAACGACGATAGTTTAACGTGAATAAAATTGAATAATTTTTATTGATTTATCACTAATTTGTATACAAAGGACGAGTGAATCTTCGGACGTATAGGCCAATCGAGTGGAAGAGAGATAGATGCGGCGCAAGCGTACAATAAGCGTAACGGGACAATGAGTCATGATTTTTCGTGCGTGCAGCCGGTGTTCATCGATTTATTAGACGTTATTACGTCAAAAAATAAACAATAAATTGAAGGGGCCACTTTTACCGTTTAGGGAAATAGGGGAATATTTACAAACACGAGACACGAGAATTATACTATAATATACCAAAAACGATGAAATTTTGCAGATTTGTAAAAAATTGTTTAAGTTGAAAAATATATATATAATATCCTTTTTTTAATTTTCGTACATAAAAAAAGAATATATTTATATAAACAATTATTACAAACACTATAATTATCGATTCTTGCACAAATATTTGCTAAGTCAATTACGCAGGTAAACAAATATAAATTAGTTTTGCCGAAAGATATCTCTTTAGACATCTCTAATCGTCTCTTTTTTGCCTGCTTAAATGTAAATTTACGAAATCTCAGTATCAGCTAGTAAAGAATTACCTGGTTGGCGATAGCAGTCTGAATAGCGAGTCTGGCTCTTTCAACGTTTTGTTCATTCCTGGAGATCATCTCAGCAGCTTGTCGGTCTTCTATTTGGACTTTCTCCAACTCAGTGATACGTTTCTCGTGATCTTTCTTTACGTTTTGGAGTTTTTTCATTGCTTCGCGTTCCACATGTATTGTCTATTGGAAATATAGTTTCATAAAAAAAACTGGATATCCTTTCGACCAAATATAGCTTTACAAGAGTAAATAAATATATGTAGAAAATAAGAGTGTACTCCTCCCTAAAGGCCGGCAACGCATCCGTTGGACCCCGTATTATATTAAAAAATATAGAGTTAATTATTAAAAAGTTGTTAGAGAGATTACCTCCATAGTTAAGTAACAAAAAGTTCCGGGATTCAATTCTGATAAAATATTTTTTTCGGGTTGGTGCGCATGCGGTGTTAACACTTTCAGTACCATGTACCTAATAGCCTTATAAAACATCAATGAAACAGACAAAATAATACAATAAATAATCTTAAGTAAAATATACAATATTTATTAACACCTAAGTACTGTCCAACAAGAATTTAAGGAGTTTTTTAAATGGAAAAGCCTAGAATTTTTATTACCGACACAGATAATAAAGTGTAAAATACCTTTAAATCAATCTTCTGACCTTCCAAAGCCGAAAAGAACTCATCAACAGCTCTATCAAATGTCTCATAATCAGAGTAGGGCTGATTCTTGTGTTGGCTGTAGAGGAGCGGATGAAACTCTTGATTTGTTAGTAAAAAGTCACCAGCAGCTTCAGGATTTGGACGTTCTTCTTTCTTTTGAATAATGAATCCCTGAATTTAACAAAAAATAAAATTATACCATATATACCATAGGTTGTATTGTTTTTAATCTATAAAATTGAACTGAAGATATGGTTAATTACTAAAAAATAATAATATTTACAAAAAAAACATTGCTCTGAATATAACTTCCTACAGGTCAACCCTTTTTTGGTTATGTATTTGTTTTTTAAGTTAATTCTATTCTTAGAAATATATCCATGCCCCATTTGGAGGTTTGTTATGTTTCAGCTTACTTTAGAAATCTGGTTCCTCGCCTCATCCATAAGCTTTTCAGCCTGTTTTAGTGCAGTTACCAATTTATCAACATCTCTGTCAACGTAAAACCCTTTATCAGGGTCCGATGCTACTTTTAAGGTGCCTGATAGTTCATTTTCTAATAGAACATGGTCTATTATTGCTGAACCATATTCTACAAAATAAAATAATATTAGTAAAGTAGGCAAGAGATGAAATTTCTAAATTATGTACAATTAACAATATGTATAATTCCGATAAACTGCTTTTTTTATAGAACAGGGGGCAAACGGGCAGGAGGCTCACCTGATGGTAAGTGATATCGCCGTGATATGAACACTCTCAATGCCAGAGGGCTCGCGAGTTCGTGCCGGCCTTTTAAGAATTGGTATATAAGAAAAAAACTGAAATGGATCACCGCACATCCCTATTCTATTCGATTAATTTTGACAGATTACCTGAGATTAGCATATTTAATTAGACAACCTTTTAAATTAGTATATATCAAAAACAAACTATATACCTAAATTAGGATTAAGTATTTTCTTCAAATTATCACCCGGTTTACTATTCGAAATTATCTGTCTTAATTGCTCTTCATTTGGGGCTGCATAACTCGTTTTTGCTCTATCTAATGGATATTTTTCTTTCACTGCAAATCTAAAAAGAAAAGAATATTTTAAAATTTTGTGTGTAGTTTTTCTACTGTTAATGTATGACCTAATTATTAGGTTGTTTTCAAAAGAGTAATTACTTCATGTTGTCTTTTACACATATTTATGATATTAAATAATTTTCTATTGTAAGCACTCAAAGCAATGAATTATGTAAATTCTGTACTTGCCATACAACTTACTTACAACTTTCAATTAATGTGTTAAAATGAAATCATTCTGTACTGCAAAAGATCCAATATTATTAATCAAAGGCTATACAGCAAGAATTCCATCTATTCAAAGGTTAAAAAGAAAGATAATTGTACTAAATAGGGATATACCTATACATCTGAATTAATATTTTTCTTTTTATTATATTTATTAAATACAATGATATTTCAGCAAAAAAGTTTACCTGACTTTATCACCTTCTACATGAGGCCTCAAGACATTCAAAATAATCCAGTTATAATCTGTAAGGACTATGTTTCCTCTGTCATATAGTTCTAAAATAACATGGTATGCTGCTTCTCCACTTCCAAATTGAAGATCTACAATACGATCTATACCAAGTTGAGTAAGATGTTCTAGACGTTTGTTTTTGAGGTGCTTTCGGAGCTGTAAAGATTTAAATGAATTAGATTAGTACTTTAAAAGATAAGCTAATATCAAATACTAACAGAGATTTTAATACCTTCATAGTAAATCCTGATGGAGCAACATTCTTTGGCCATTCAAACTGTGTAGTGTGAAACCTATTGCCCGACTCTAGAAGCAAGACACTCTTTTCCTCTGACCTTTGAAGCCGGATAACGTATGTCCTATTATCTATATCGTAGACTTGGTTCACTCTCATACCAATTAATCTGAAAGAAAAAAATATCATAGGAAATAGTTTTCTTTCTAAAATAATTTTCTAAAGGGAGGGATTTGTTTTGAAACTTACCTCTGTAACTCTGTCACCATACAAACAATGTCATATGTATTAAAGCGGGTCTTCATTTTAAAAGAAATAATTTATTTATTAATTTAATATGTTACTTCTGCTTTACAATAGAACAAAAATTCAAAAATTGTAATCAATTATAATACAAACAGGATAGGTTAGAAACGTCACCGAAAATTGAAAATCCGATTTGAATATTGAAATTTTGATGTCTTTTGTTAGGTATCTGAAAATAGTTGACAATTGACAAGGACAATTAAGAGTTTAAGCTTGGAGGTTATGTTTTTGTTTATATGAATTTATATCAACTATCTCTAATAAAATTTTAATAATTCAAGTTTCAACACTTTAAGATGGTTGCAGAAGACTTTAAAGACTTTAAATTGAAGCCGATGAAATGTGAACTTAATTATTTAAGTAAATCTGATGGTTCGGCAATATTAGCGCAAGGTCAGACTTTCTTAGTTCAATATAAATTTTAATGTTTACTATCATTTGAAATGTGCTGCTATCTATAATTAAGTAATTAATTTTCTAGATTCGAGATAATTCTTCATAATGAATCAGTTGTTACTTTAGATAACCTAGTCAATAAATAATGGTTTTTAAATTAATGTGGATATGGGGTTTCAGGTGAAACAGTTGTACTTGCAAGTGTAAATGGGCCACTTGATATAAAAATTACTAGCCAAAGTATGGAAAAGGCAACATTAGAAGTATTATTTAGTGCAAAAGGAGGAAAGCCTAATGTATCTGATAGGTATAAATTTTAATAGTGTTCTCTAAAATTTTTCATTATTTATCTAAGTTTTAACCAATAAGTGAGTTCAACAATATTTTAATTAAATCATCTTGATGATTTAGTGATATAGTAGTACTTCTGTTCACAGCCGAAATTCAAATTTTAACTTAGCTTTTTATAATTTCAGATTCAAAGAGAGTGTGATAAGGCAAACTTGTGAAACTGCAATATTGGGGTGTTTATATCCTCGTACAGGTATAACAGTAACCATACAAGAACTAGAGGATTTTGGAGGGGTAAAAAATTTATACGTATTCAAATAAAAATTTGCATTTGGGAAATGGGTAATCACCATGTCTATCATGCCATATGTAATAATTCTGTGTCATTGAATGTTTTTTGAAGTAGATGTTCGAGCACATACATTTTGAAAAAGCAATGACTGCTTGGCGTGGTTTTTATATAAACTCTTTATAACGTCATTTGTTATAATGAAAAACTGTCTGTAACGTAAAAAGTTAAATGTATTTGGTTTAACCCAATACCCATACATTAATTCTTCCCTCGCTATATGGAAACCTCTCTATAACAAATAAAAATGCTTGGTCACTTGAAATTCGTTATAAAGAGTACTCTATATTAATATTATTACATAATAGAGCAACTTCAATAAAATTGTAATATCTTTTTTTTACCTTAATTAGGTGTGACATCACAAATAAGTTTAATATTATAGCACAGGTTAGCATAAATACAATTTTTACAAATCTAAAAATTTTTTTTTTTTTTTATAATTTTTAATGTGGTCAAACATACACTCATATTTTTATTGTTAACTGTTTCAGCTACTGACCTGCGCAGTGAACTGTACATGTCTAGCTTTACTGAACTCTGGCTTGTCAATGAAACATGTTGTTGCAGCTGTTGGTTGTGCACTTGATGATAGTGGTAACTTAGTGCTGGAGCCTACCTATGACCAAATCCAGAGTGCTGCAGCTACTATGCATTTTGTATTTGATAGTAGAGAGAAGACTCTAGTTACAGGTATAACAACCTAATTTAATGTTTTGCAACCTGTAGAATTGTGCAGGAATTGATAACAATTAATAAGAGTTATACAATAAGCTATTTACTTTAAATGAATTAAGATTTTGCAATTATTATTTATAGTAGGGTATTCTGAATAGCCATGCTGAAGTTTCTGTGTCAGCTATCAAAATATGCTAGAAGCCAAATCAGGCGCAAAGATATAATGGTTGCTGGCTAAATAATGTTCCTGGCATATGACTACTTAATAAAATCTAGTTTCATTCAAATTTCACTAAAAATCGATGACAACTAAGTCGCCTTTAATTTTTTACAAATTAAGGATGGAACACAAAACAAAGGATTTCTTTGGAACTCGGATTGTTGAATGATAGGGACTTTTTGGCTTTTATAAAAGAGACTTAAGATCTGTTTGATATATGACAGCCGTCTTATTTTTAGTTAAACTCTCAAATGGCATTTAATTTCTTACATCAGAAAACTGCCCAATTTTTTATCATCATCTATATTTTATTTTCATATAAATATATTTACTAAATGGTATAGAGAACCCTTTATTATTGATATTTGACTTCGTTAGCCAAAAGCATATTAAAATTTGGTATGTATATCATTTTTTATAGGTTTTACAACGGGTACATTCAGTGAAGGTGCATACGACGAAGCTCTAGAAAGATGCCGAGCGGCCAGCGATCTTGTATTTGATTTTTATAGAGAAGTTGTTGCCACATACTGTAAAGTTATATAGGCTAAAAGATTAAAATAAATATGTTATTTCCATTATATGTTTTTTTTTGGTTTCTTATGTTCCTGTTTCTTAAGTTATGCGTGCCGTTAAAAATTCAAAATTCAGTCAAAATCTGTAATAACGACATCGAAGGGACTACTCAGCAGCAGATTTTTATGGCAAATTTTAAAAAGACGGTCGGTGGTCTGATGTTTTGCATATAGAAGTCTACAACAATTTTCCCTAACCCCCCAACCAGTAATCGACCTCTGTGCCATCAGATCTCACTTTGTATGAGTGAAAAGAGCGAAATTGCAGAAAGTGTACTGCCCTCTTTCCTCTTCCCCCTATCAACCCATAGGTACATGTTAGTGAAACTGGTTTGCGTCTAATTATGTGCTCAAAAATCAAACCCAAAAAATACGTGTAAAGATATTGTTGGATTCTAAATATAATCAAGGGCATGACAATTGTAGAGGCAAGGGCGGCAAAAACTTCACAGCCTATACCTTGAAAATTTGTAAATCCGCCACTGAAATAAGTAGACAAACAATTTAAAAGTATGCGAACATTGGTAGACGCAGAAAACTGACGAAAACCTAGGCGTAGCAATTACTATTGATATTACAATATATGGTCTAAAGTCTATAACCATACGTTAAGATAGTATTGTCTCTTTCATTTCACTCCTTTTAACTAAAACCAGAGAAAATGTATGTGAAATGACGAAATCCTAGCCAATGCATAAACAAAAGTAATTGAATGCAATCCTTTGCGGAGCCGCTACCGAATATAAACAATGCGGGTTAGTGCATAATAAATTGTTTTTCAATTAAGTGTACGACACAATGAGAACTAGTGCCAATAATTAAATATGAAATAAAAAATAATGATGCGACTATTCCTTTGTGAACTAAATATATCTAGGGTGATTTTGAGACTTGATAGTGTAGGCACAAATAGGCACCGTCTTAAAAGCAGACTTTCTACTTAGAGTTTCGAGTTTGATCAGATTCTGGAAGGAATTCGATTCGACTACTTAATGAATTGATTTCGTACAGTGCTTGGTTATGCCGTGGTGCAAAATAGTACTAATATAATTTGCTTTACTTTATTTAGTAAATACTAAAACGCACACAAAAGAATACTACATCAAAGCAATCTCTTTATTATTAAAAAGAAAATCAAAACGAATTTAAAAAGTTTGGTCCCTGTGGGCTGTGGCAGTGTACCTTTAACGCTGGCAGCATTTCTTCGCTATATTGCGATACTTATTTTTTGAGTCAGGAAAGCACCAACTCTGGGGTCACTGGTACTTTCTTCCAGGCGCAAACTTAAATCTTTTAGTTTATCTTGAACTTAATCTTTGTAAATACTGGATTCTTGATTGTAATCTCTTTATAATAGGCTGAGCTCTGCAGCATATGCAGTAAAGAAAATCCGACAGTTTACTGATGAGGACACGGCTAAAATTGTATACCATAGCTACTTTCATAGCGTTATGTCGTACGGCATTTTACTGTGGGGTGCTGCTGCAGAAGTTCAATCCATATTTGTGCTGCAGAAGCGGGCTGTTCGGGGTATTTGTTGTGTTTCTCCGAGGGAGTCGGTACGGAATAAGTTTAAGGAATTAAATATTATGACACTATCTGGTCAATATATTCTTGAAGCCTTGTTGTATGTCCAAAAAAATATAAACGATTTTAAAACAAATGGTGACTTTCACCAGTATAATACGCGAAATAGAACTAATTTGAGTGTACGACCAACCAGGCTCCAAAAGATAAACCACTCCTTATATGGAAATTGTATTCGTTTTTACAACAAGCTCCCAAGCGAAATTAGAGAATTATCACTAAATAAATTCAAAGCCCTCGTTAAACGAAAATTAATCAACAAAGCTTTTTATAAATTTGAGGACTACTTAAATGATCCTAATCCTTGGGATTGAATTGCTCCAGTTCAAACAATTTGTATGACAATACTTGGCGATTAAAAAGAGTGGCGGAAAGTTTCTTGCCAGTTCTTCTTACCCGCTCTACGCCCTTGACTTGCGAACTGGTAGTAAATGTAAATTTACGATTAATTTAACTTGACGATTCAAAAGTGTACTTGGTTACCTACTTGAATAAAGATATTTTGAGTTTGAGTTTATAGTTGTGCAAATATTTTATTATTTATTTAGCATAATTTCCACATAACATAACTGCGATCGATTTTTATTTGTGGTTCAATAAATTAACCCAATTAGGCGAATCTCCTGCCTCTTATGGTCCTCGCCTCCATATACCTTGATGGTCATCAAAATTGTATCAGTTTTTTCAGTTTACCTGTATTAATTTTCATTTTATCATTTTTTATGTACTCTACATTGGGTTAGAAAATGGGAATACCCCAGTGTACCGTCAGCCTATTTCCAAAAACGTATTGGCAAGAAAAAACAAACATGAGAGTGGATCGACGCGATTTGATGCAAATGGAGAACGTAAAAGTGCCGCCTGCACATTTAAATGTCACCGCTCTCCGGTGATGGCTCCGTCATTTTTGCTCTATTTACCGGGTGTCTTGTGAACTTTGATTTAAATACCGATCATAGCGTAGACCTTATTTGAATTTCTTAACATGGCTAATGATCTCTATAAGTTGCCAACTACCTTGGGCGAACGTCGCCTGTGGGCCGGTAGTACACTAGTAAGCTAGTAAAACCTGGAATTGACATTTTCGCCGTGTATCTATATTTAAAAAAAACTGTCATAATTAGCTTCTTCTATGCCATATATTATGATTAATGTAATAAAAATAATTAATTCATTTCGGTAAAACAATGTACACTTATGAACGTGAAAAAGAAATACATATTAAATGCTTCTAATTTTACATTTACTGCCAGTTCCCAAATCAAGGGCGTAGAGTGGAAGAGAAGAACATGCAATAAACTTTCCGCCACTCTTTTTAATCGCCAAGTTTTTTGTTTTACACAATGTATTATGTAATGGTTGGTGATCCTTACAATTTGTAAGGATCACCAACCATTACACCATGTTCCACATGATATCCTAAGTCATTAATAATAAGAAAATAAATTAAAAACAAAGATTTTTCCTCTATCAGCAGGAGGCATGGTGAAAATCGTAGTTCTGCCTTGCGATGCCTCCTCAGAACGATTATACTAGTTTTGTAAATAATTTTAGCCTATTCATAAGTAAGTAATAGTAATACATAATAAAAGAACAATTTGTAAATACTAGATCTTACTTGTCTTCTTCTGTATTCTGTTATAAAAATCGTAATAATACATAGCTTTAATAATATTAGTTTACTTTATTCTGTAGTTTATCAAATTTTACTGCTATAAATACAAAATATAGAATGTGCTCGAACACTTATATCAACACTATTGTACAAGATATCGACTTGACCTATACCATTAATTGCTATCATAGATCTACGCACCTAAACCTTTACGCAACCAGTCTACATGTTTATTCCTTCTAAATTGACCTTTGTTTATCGATTATTTACTACATGCCTGTTTCTTAATAAATATGTCCGTTATAATCTTCATGTAGTTTTGTAATATAATTGCTTTTTTTAAGCGTTTCCAAAATGTTGATATGTGCCTTACTATTTTTGTCAGGCGTTAATTTTTGTTAAGTTTGAAATGTGAGCACTGTTCAGTTGTGTCGACTTTAAAAACACAAGCCTCATTTAATTAATAGATAAGGTTCACTTATCTGGTTGGTTTAAATGTTTACCAATTTTTGTATGAAGCTTTTTGTTTACTGTCACCATAACATATAATATGAATGGATTATGTTTTTTTTTAATGTTTCATTATGCATTCAGCGAGGTCCTGCCTTTGTCTCAAAGGTGATATGTAATGGAAAAGTATAATTCAAAGTAATGTTCAAACACTAAATATCTATGCTACTTTCTAAAACTACGAAAACTACGTCGAATAGTCCAGCACGTCTAAAACACAAAAATCGACGGCGTGTTTCAGGTAGGTACAGAAGCCCTACCTACTTGCCTAAAATAGAAAATATATCACACATTCAGAAATCAGATGCCAACGAGGACTTCAAGGGTTGAAGTATTAACTGTTTCCATGTTCAATATGATCTGCGTTTGCAGATCCATCTTCCCATTTCACCCCAGCTCAGTGGCGGATTTACAAATTTTCAAGGTAGAGGCTGTGAAGTTTTTGCCGCCCTTGCCTCTACAATTGTCATGTCTTACATATATAGAATCCAACAATATCGTAGCACGTAAAATATTTTTTTATTTTTGAGCACAAAATTATACACAAATAAGTTCGCAGCCTTCCATCAGTAGTAGGACTGACATGTATAGGTTGATAGGGGGAAGAGGAAAGAGGGAAATACACTTTCTGCAATTTCATTCTTTTCACTCATACAAAGTGTGAGCTTATTTGGAAAACAAAGGCCGTAAGCTTCATCTAGTTATAAACACAGCAAAATTACGACAACATATATTCTAGCCATATAGAATGTTCCCACGGTAACGGATCGCCAGTCTCTTGATTGTGTCCTACAAATCTAGATGCAATCAGGTAAGCCAATTGAAAGCTGCGTGTCATCATTTCAAGGCTTTTCCAATCTAATTGTGATATTTGCATAACCGATTCCTAGAATGTTCCTGGTATATAAATATTACTAAGTTCAGTGTTCGCCTAGTGGCTTCAGCGTGTGAATCTCATACCTGAGGTCGTAGGTTCGATCCCCAGCTATGACTTTATTTCTATGTGCGCATTTAACATTAGCTCGAACGGTGAAGGAAAACGTCGTGAGGAAACCAACATGTCTTAGACCCAAAAAGTCGACGGCGTGTGTCAGGAGGTTGATCACCTACTTGCCTATTAGATTTAAAAAAATGATCATGACACAGATTCAGAAATCTGAGGCCAATACTTAAAGAGGCTGTAGCGCCATTGATTTATTTTTAAGTTTGGTCCGAACGCACCCAATCTTTTATACATTGACACATATCCAGTGGTGTTA